GTCGAACGAACATGTATTTTATAGTTTTTCTAAGATGAAAATATAAATATTTTGGGATTTTAGTCCTTAAATGGTATAATTTTGGTTGCAGGAATTACTAAAAAATCTATATTCTTGCTGAATATAGAAGTCAATTGGCATGGAATAATTATGATTGCAGGGATACTTCCTTCCAATACATCATAATTTAACCCCGATTCTAGCGACTTTATGCGATATTAAAAATATCATAAATAATTATATATTGAAATGATTTAATATAAATTAATTTATAGCTAAAAGATCAATTCAAGGTCTCATCGTAAGCTTAATCTTAGAAATCTATAGACTTCCACCAAATTGAGTACTCACTGTATATATTTGCAGCAGTCGCGTTACTAATTCCGCTGTTATTGCCCAAGAAGAATAATAATATCACCAACAACCGCACAATGAATTAACTGCATAAATAATTCCCCGAAACTGAGCAGGGAGACGTAGACCCACCCCACCATAGGGCAAAGGGGTGCATCCCTTGTCCGCGGAGAGAGACAGGAGCAGGAGCTTCTCTACTGGTGGCACAACAGCACAGCTCTTAACTCCACAGGCGAAGGAAGGGGCAGGGTGCTGGCATTATTCATACATAAAAAGCCAATTAAAAATTTATAATAAACCCCGCGCCAAGCTGCCGTTGCATCAACCCCAAAAAGAGGCTGAAAATAAAAAGAATTAAATATCGTACAGGCCAAGCACAGTGGGCATAAATCAGTGAAAACAGTGGAGTTGAGGAATTCGACTTAAGATCAGTTCGAATTTAGCGATGTAGCAGTAGAAACTAAATTTAAAAATTTTAATTCTAATATTTTTTATAAGGATATGATTTAATGTAATTAATTCAAGGCACAACGTGAACAAATTAATTAAGAGAGCAGTAAAGTAATTCGATCACAGATGTTTTTATAGAAAGAACTTAAGCTTAAAAAATTCCACTGTATTTGAAATATAAGTAGGAATAGTTCAAGTTAAAGAAATCGGACTTCATAGCGAAACTAGAAACCCGGCTTTGCATGCATGTTTATGCTTTTATTATCATTGCAAAAGGTGCTGAGCTAAAAAACAAGGAAAAGGAAGTTTACATTGAAAAGCGAAGGCTTGTTTACCCAAGCAGTTTGCAATTTCATCCAACCGTTACCAAGACTAATGCGTATGTATTTATTTAAAAATAACAAAGTTATTTAAAAATTTACTTATTTACCGATCGGTTTCTCTGACAGTTTTTATAAAGTTAAATTTATAATTTATAAATTATAAACATAGTTAAAACTAGATTGAATCGAATATTGCTAGATCAACTCTACTGTTGATGCTGATCATGTATTTATGTTTATACTTCAAGCCGTTGCAAGTTCCTAACAAAAATTATAATACCCTACAAAGCCATTTACTATAACCACCTTGCCGAGATAAATCTCCCCAGCATTTTTGGTACCCACTGTGCCGTGGCATGTGGGAGTGACCAATGGAGGTGGGCGCTTAAAGGGGGAGTACTGCACGCACCTAGCGCTAAATTAGATGTAAAATAATGAACATTTCAATTAAAATAATTAATATTATGGTGCACATTGAGCTGAAGAGTGGGGCGGGGGAAATGGGTGGGATGTATGGGCTGGGATGGCAAAGGACACACTAAGCACTCAATTAACCATTTTAATGTTTATGGATCAGGTTAGCCCGAAGGATGTGCCCATGGGGTGGGATACTGGCTGTTGGATGCTCGAAGCTGGAGATGCTGTGCTTTTTAATTATAATTAAACATGCGAGCAACCGAATGTAGAAAGAGCAGCTGGGGGCGGACAGGGGGTTGCGAGTGGGTGGTGGTTGAATGGCTCGCTTCTAAGTTCTCTCTCTCTGCTCAGGACATAATCACTTAGCCGCGTGCAGAGCCGCATTTAAAATTAATTCTGCTCAAGTGCGTTTCTTCGAAAGAGACACACAAAAAAAAAGCACGTGGCACACGTGAACGGGGCTGGTGGGGAGGGGGGGAGGGTATCTGAAGGGTGTTGCCCCCGTTTACCGTTGGAATATATATTCGCGAGCGAAACAAATTGCACGCTAATTGCTCATGTTCAATTAAAAGCAACGACGACGGTCCCGGCGAACTCCAAAACGAAGGCCATGCTCTCACATCGCGAACACAACTCCACTCCACACACCCCAAACATTTTACCTAAGCCCGGTTTCGGGCAGTGATGCCACTTCAATTCAATGGTCAAAGCCAGCCAGCTCGGGCCTTTGAAGCTGCTTTCATAATATAATTTGTGATATTGAGTTAAGATAAGCTAGGTTTCACATATACAGTGGAAATTAGAGGAAGAATTTTGAGTTTTTTGAAATACCAGACTATCAAAATAACTCTAATTATCTAATATTCGGGAAATACATATATATTCAGTGATTTGTTAGAGGCTTTATCTTGTATAGTTTCTTTGATTTAAATATATCATAAAAGACTCGCAAACGATCCGTTTTCGAGTTATCGAGAATAAAACATTCCTGTCTACAAACTGTGCGTTTTCGTTGCAAAGCCTAGACCAGCTAGATCAATTCGGCTGTTGTACACACTATCATCATATAGAAATGCAAATGTAAAAAAAGCTATGATGGCATCCTTGATCACTTCGGCTTCGGAATTTGGCTCACAAACACACAGACTCGCACACATTGATGGCTTTCCCACAAGAGGGTCTGAGAGCGAAAAGTGGCAGTGAGAGAGGTGGTTGGTTGGCTATGCTTTTTGTTTTGGTTTTGATCCTTTGCGCAAATAATTGCCTAATTGTCTCTGGTCCGCCTCGCTCACTGCCTCACTGCCTCACTGCCTCACGGCTTGCTGTCTCTGTCAGTGCCACGCATTGTGGCTGCATTCGACAGAAGGAGAGGGCGAGGTGGTCGGTGGAGGGAGGGCAGTGTGGAAATGGCAACGCATATTTCTTACGCAAATCCATTTCCATCTATTAATTGGCAGCCCTCGGCAGCTGCTCCTTCTGAATGTGTTTCGGCAACGGAATCCTGCTCCTGCCGCAGGACCATCGTTCCTCTTTTTTTTACACAATTAAGCGCTTGTGCAAATAAAAAATGAGCACAGCTCTCACTCCCGTTTACCCCATTTCCCGGATTCCCCTTCTTCAAACTCTGAGCTGCGGTTCGATTTGCATACACACAAACATCCACATCCTGTGGCAGGACTCAGAATCGGACTCGGTGTGCGGTTATCGATTGCCACGGACATTTCCATAACCAGGCGGGATTACGTTTCGCCTTTCTATTTCCCAGAACTGTCTTGATTTGTCTACAACAAGCTATCAACATCATTTTTAATTTGGCCTCATTTGCATGGAAAATTACCTTGACGATTACGATACAAAAAAAAGGAAAAAAGGGAGAAAAAAAAAAAACGAATATTTAATGATCACCGCAACATAGTTCAGTAATGGAATTTTGAGATGTGTTGGTTCCTTTTATACGACCAATTATCTGGCTTTCTTTTTGTATTATAACCTTTCAAATTGTTATAATTTTTACTCGGTTTGAGCATATTCAGACGATTCAATCTAGACATTCCAACTTAATTTCTTTCTCGGTATAAGTACTATCATATGTGTTTTTGTTTCTAATATCCTACAGCGACCCTATCTTATAGTTCCTATTTGAGAGATACTACTTCAAGGGTGTTAAACCTACGGCTTGCCTTAACGACTTTGGCACATTTCGCACGCCTCTTTTGGGTTGACTGCAAATTGTTATTGCAATTATTATTGCCGGCTTGTTGTCAACATATTGATAAAAGCCCGCCCCTTTTGGTGCAGAGCTCCCTTCAACAATATCTGTGTGTATGTATGCAAGGCAAGGAGAAGGCTTGCTAACAAGCCCAGGCATAACGGTAATGCTATTGGACGAGGACATCGACTGATTGCAGGCCATTGTCAGCGACGTCATCGCAGTATCGAATTACCGATATTACCACATCTAATTTACGGCCCGTGACAATTGCATTTTAAAGTCCTGCGAACATGAAACGAGGTCGGACTGCTTAGGAAAAATATTGAATAGAAGTAGAGCATATTCCATATTTTCCAGTTTCAATACTTCTTTAGTTTTGTATTGTGGCCTCTTAACCCTAAGCAGATCACTAATTTAAATAATTAAAACTAAATTTCAGAAATATACCCAGAATATACATTGGTATATGGACATTTTAACCGTATTCATTGGCACTCTGGACTTAACCCGAAACATTTTAACCCCAGGCAGGCCCAAACCTCCTTTTAACCCAACTGCGTTGGCCAGAACTGCGGCGGCGACAGTAGCTGCTGCGCTTGATAAATGAGACGGCGCCGCCTACGTCAAGCAGGCGTCAAGGGTTGTCGCCTTCTGCAGTTTTGCGGTGCGCCGCAACGCCGATCAAACGCGATAAACGCTGAAAACGTTGAGAACGCTCGAGAAACGCCGAGGAGGCGGAGGCGGTTAGGTTACGTGGCTGTGGCTGCGGTTGACAGTGCCCACCGGTGGCGAGTCAATATTAATTAGAATTTTTCCAACGGACTGAAGAAAAACCTAAGGGATGTAATCCATCCAGGCAACTTTTGGGCCAAAGCGGTAAATTGAAATCAGTACAAAACAGTGGAATATAAAAAAAAAAAGAGCGATCATTAATCATCGGGTCGAAAAGGGTTGACAAGCTGTGCACTCTGTGACTGCGACAGGGTTGCTTCTGTTTCTGTTTTCAGTTCCGGCTTCTTCCGCTCCTTGACCGGGAGTCACATCCGCAAAAATATAACAATAGTGGACGGAAGGGGTTGCGTAACCCTTAATGCATTCAATGCATTAAATAGAGCTACTCCCGGAGACCTCCAGAGACCAACATTAGGCAATATGAACCAAAATTGACAATAAACATATTGCAGTAAAGGATGTTTACATAAAAAATTAAAACAGGATGTTTTTTATAATTTGAATTTGCAATGTTAATTTAAAGCAGAAGATTCACCAGGATTTCATTTAATGTCTTCTTTTAATTACATATTCGAATTATCGCAATACAATTTCATTCATATATTAAGAAGTAAGAAAGCAAGTGTGATCGACAAAGAGATACCCTTAAATTACATGAACGATAAGTTTTTTATGATGCCAAATGGTTTTGATTTGGTTTCAGTATTCAGTATAGCAATAATATTTCAAAATGAAAACAAAAACTCCCCTGAACATTCAAGTTTTAAGGGAAACTATCAATGAAGAAACTGACGGACACGGCTAGATCGATTCGCTTAAGTATCGCTTGTTATAACTATAGGATCTTAGAGTATAGTTACAAATAAACGCATTAGTTGCTGGGCGGCGAACTCTCCGCAGATGAAGCTGGCGATATATCCCCTTCGTCCGATGCCTCCTCCTCCTCCTCTTCCTCCGTCAGCTTCAATTCCACCTGCTCCTCCAACACCTCTGCCTCCGAATCCTCCCGGGCAACCAACAGCTTCATAACCTGGTCGGAATTTTCACGAATCATATCCGCAAATGCCAGGGCACTGCTCTGCTCCCGCATCAGCTGCACGATGGCGTCGTCCGTGGCGCAAGGATCGCCAAGAAGTGTTGATCGCAGCTTCTTAAGGGAGCGACGACAACGACGACGTCGTCGAGATTCACCATTGTCGTCCTCATCGGCACCTTCGACCAGAAGCTGCACGGCCTTCTGGACATTGTTGCTGCAACGCGCCAGCGATAGGCGTGCCTCGCTCTCCGGATAGCCCATGGCGATGATAAGCTTTACCAGACGCTCCGTTTCTGAGGCATCCGCTGCCACGGCCACTGCGGCCGCCTGTTCCGGAGATCCAGCTCCAGTTGCAACTCCATCTATCACGGGAGTTTCCTCGACTTGCGACATTTCTTGGTAGTTTTTGGCACACGAGTTTCTGCACTGCCAACGGAGCTTTACTTTGGTCTTCCTCTTTTCGATATTGAAACAGCTGTTTGGTGCTCTTCCTTGTTACCATTCTTGCAGTGAGACATGGTGTAAGTGTTTAAGGTGGTCTCACCACCTTGAGAGAAAGCTTTGAGGTGTGTCATCCTCATAAAGGCTTATGAGGCCACCTTATATGCATGGTTACACCATGCAGTGAGAGAGCAGTTTTCAAGGCACAGCGAGAGAAGAATAGAGAGAGGATCAGGTGATTTGGTGGTGAGCTTTTATTTCCTTTAAGAGGCGTACTCTGAATTTTATAAGGGGGGTACTTTTGGGCTGATGTTGATTTAAAAGAAATTAAAAAAAAAAAAAAAACTACATTTCAAAGTCCCTAAATTTAAGAAACTTATCTATATTTTTCGAAGAAATTAAATAATGATATTCTCAAAAAAATATTAAAATTAAATTTTAAACATCAGTCTTCTATAATGTGTTTATATTTTATGTAGTGCCTATTGCTGAGTAACATCCATATCGTTTTGACTTGGTTTTGTTTTCTTGTGTGCTTTCTTTTTCCTTTTGAAAAACCCATAAACAAAGCAACAAAAAAATAATGAAAAACACAATTACAAACGGCCGAGCAAAAATATAGTATGTGTGCAGGAATAACGGGTCCCACAGCTGCTGCCCAGGCCGACTTTGACTTCTATTTATGCGTTGCACAATTTTAAATAATCACCCCATTGGGAAATCTCGAGCAAAATACCCTTTCATTCGCCTCCGCCCCCACCCATGCCCACCGGAACCAGCCCGTGTTATTTACACTGATTTATTGCCATTTTCTTTGGGCTTGTTCTGCTGCGGCTGTTGCTGTTGTTGGTGTTGTTGCTATTGCTGTTTCTGTTTCTGTTTCTCCTTCTGTTTCTGTTTTTTTGGTCACTCTTTTGTTTGCAGAGCGGAAAGGAAGGACACAAACAAGTGGCCCGTAAAAAACATTGCCAAACCCTCATCTATCACAATTTCTTGGCCGCTCGCTCCCAGCTCGCAGGCGCTTACATTTTTGGGTTTAAAAACGCATTATTTGGCTCTTTCGGTAATTGAAGTTTTTAGTTTTCATTAGCCGACGACCCTCCTCGGACAGGAGTCCCAAAAAAGGGGGGTGGCCCGACAAGGGACGACACGGGCACAGATTGCAGGCCAAAGATAAATTGCACATTTAAATTAACCCATTAACGACTCTCTGGGATTCTGCCAACATGGTTACAAAATCCATAATTATAGCCCCTTTTAGGACAAACAAAAGTAGCACTAAGGATATTATAATGGGATATAATATGGGGATTGATTTGTGGCATAAATATTGCAAATGTTCTTACCCAGTGGACAAAAAGAGTAAATATCGCAAAATGTTCATTAAAACACTTAGAAATGATATAAATTCGCAAGAGTAGACTAAAGGTTCGTTTAATATTCACAAACGGAACCAGAAAAGATAGTTTAGTAAACAAAAAAATAAGCAACATATATTTTTAAAAATTCTAAAGTAGTTTGCTATAATTTTATGATAATTATATTACAATTTCATCGCCAAAGGTATTATCAAAGACTCGCAACTTGTCCGTTTATAAGATGTCGAAAATTAAACCTTCTCAGTCACAAACTGAGCGACTAGCGATTCGTTCTTGTATCGCTTTTGGATCTCTAGGACTTTATTATGATATTTGCTCGATTTATAATTAGAACCCATTTTGTAATTAATTCTGCAAAAATTATAAGAAAACTTGCTTAATTTCTAACAATTTTTAATAATATTACAGCCCAAGTTTAAGCCTAATACCTATATTTGCTATCAAAGTCCTTTCCTTGTCAACATTGCTGTGTACATTTAAGCCAGCTAATCGTAATGACTTTTGATTCCTTTATTCTTCTCCCTTATCAGGATATCAAGAATCCAGAGAACTATGCCTACCAATTTCCGGGGTTAAAAAGTGTATAATATTTTAAAATGACTTTGGCCATACAATAGAGCCAATAAAAGCGAAATGGCATCATCGGCAACGGCAGCAGCGGTGTAAGCCGATACATTTGTGCGATTGCCTTCGTCAATTTTAAAGCGGAAATGAAAAGTTCCCCTTCCCCTACCCCTTCCCCCGCCTCGTTGCATTTGAGTTTTGAGTTTCCCAACATTTCCCATAGCGCTGAAAAGCGCTTGAAATATGTGCGAAACGCGTGTGCGAAGTGCTCAAAAGTGCCCAAAGAACTCGATACTTATCGGGTGTGTCGTCGAAGTCGAGGAATTGGGATTGTTCGGTTCGATCCTCCAACAAACGGGGAAATCACTTAACACACCGTTAACACCCACATTAGTTGTACTCCATCGCACACACACACACACCCATATTCATCTCAGCTCTTGGTGCCAAAGGGAAGGGCACCGAGAGCTGCGTTCCACTTACTGCCAGAGTTTCAATTACTTTTCCCAGCCACCACCAAAATATTGGCCCAAGGATCTGAGGCAGCTCTGCCGCGACTCATAATCGAATTAAATGCATTGGCCCAGGGGAAGAGAAGGAAGGGAGATGAGGGGAGGGGAAGGGCTGAATCGAAAAAGTCATTAAAAACGCAGGGAAAACGATTGCACGCAAATTTACTGGTACCGCTCGCTGTCTTTGTTCCTATTACAAATCCCCCTTTTCCTTGGCAGCCACCAGTTGTGGCACAGTCAGGGGTAAGAAAATAGCACCAGAGTTAAATAATTTGGATTGTTTTTTATGGGCAATAAAACAGCATAGTTAGGTTCGACCAAAAGATAGTAAAAGTTGTTAAAATAAATAATTTTACTATTAAATATTTCTCTAAAGTATATTTTTGCAGACCTAATTGTTTGGCTGTGGGTGTTCCCAGCACACACTCGCTTACTAACCCACACACACATGAACTGGTCGAACTATGAATGGAATTGGCAACGAAATCGCACGTGGCGATTCTTCTGGTCACCCGCGATAAGCAACTGCCGCCGCGTGGCCCTGCCCCCCCCACCATTCACCAGCTCAGCCGGGATCTCGCCAGAGCAGAGATACCATCGATGGACGAACGGACGGATGGATGAATGAGGTGTCGTGTGTTTATGACTCCCACTGAATCCGAATCCGATTCCGAGCCAGATTCATTTCCATCGGGCGACAATCGTTATTAATATTATTAGTGTTTGTTCAGGGCATTCGCAGCTCGAGAATAGACGTGGCTGTTGTTGGGCAGGGTCAGTTCTGGGTAAAGACTCATAAATATGTGAAAGCCGATTGCGTTAATTCGTTTGGTGAACCAAGGTGGGTTTAGGGTATCTCCTTACACCCCTTACAATACCTTACTGACCTGTGAATTGGAAAATTGAAGCTCACTTCGCCAGATTGTATCTATATGGCTGAAGGAGGCTGGGATTCGCCAGGGATTTGCGCATATTAGAGATAAAAGCCTCAAATCGGATCTGAGCTGAATTTATAGACTTCTTCCTTGCTAAATATATGACCTCAAACTGACCAGGGGGGAACTCATTCCACTCACTCCCACACACACACATATAACCTACACACCCTGGCCATAAATATTCATACAAATTAACTTTGTGATCGGCTGCACTGGAAAATGGCAGCCGAGCTTAGCAAATCACAGATTTATGGGCCAATCCATCAATGCCAATGCAACGGTTGCGTTGTCGTCGCTCGACTTTAAAAGGGACCTCTCCACCACCAAACGAAAAACGAAAGCCAAACGAGACCAGACCACCACTCCTAATCGCTTCCCACGATCGTTGCGGCGGAGCGACCGAGCATTTCCATATGTAAAGTTGCGCCTTCATTAATCCGTAAATTAGAAGCATTGAATGATATCAGTCGCCGGTCCTCCACCGTTCTGAAGTGCACCCTCTCTTTCTCCGCGATTCCACTATGCATTCCCCCGAAACAAATCACTGCACACACGAGGATGGGTTCGTGGCCAACTATGTACCAAGGGCAAACCTCGAAATCCTAGCCCAACACACAAGCAGCCACTGCAATCCCACCACCAACACCACCATCATAAGGGTCACAAACCGTACAGTGGAGGTAATGCCGCACAGTGGAAGTAATACTCACAGACCTGTTGGATATAGAGCAGTTAAAAACTATAGTACAAAAAAAATTATAACAAAATGTTCATGCTTCCGCGAGCGGTGAGTGAAGTCTCACTTAATACTCGTAAACGAACTCAGAAAAGAGCGTTTAACGAAAAAGAAGCTAGCCAAATGTGTAAATTTCAGCCCGTTTGCTATAATTTTGTGGCATTTATATTAAAATTTCCTTGGCAAAAATATTAATAAAGGCTCGTAAATGAACCTCTTTTGAACTGTGAAAAAAATAAACTTTCACTAGCACGAACTGAGCGAACAATAATTTGATTATGTATCATTTTTAGAGTTCCGCATAACTCTAATAAGCGATAATGCTCACAAAATTTTGGTTTACTGGTAAAATGTAATATTCAAAAATGAAATAATAATAACTTTTGGTTCGTAGTTTAACATTTAAAGATGAAAATATGAATAAATCTTCTAAAGAATTCATTTTGTTATTCAAAAAATTAGACTCAAGGTCATTTGAAAATTTTTTCCACACTTTCCATCGTTTTGTGGACACTGTGCGACCCCGTCGCAACCTTCAACATCAACGCAGTGACATGTCAGCAGCAGCAGGGAGACAGCAACAACAAATTGTTGGACAATCGTTGAAACGAAATGAAATTTCATATTAAAACTGTATTAGCCCGACAGAGAGATCTGTGGCGGCGCCTGTCAGAATCAGAATCTGAATCAGAATCAAAATCAACGTTGCGTTGGGTCATTTGAATGAGAAGCGGCGACCTCAGCCCCTGGACACCATCGCCATCGTCAACCCCCCCTCTTGCCTACACCCATGGCACCTTGCCATTAAATTGCACGCACTGAAGCATGAGAAATGCGAGGAGGACCTCAATCAGGACTCAATTCGAGTGTAAAAACGAGGCGATGAGCAGTCGCGAACCGTTTGACATTTCTCCGCTGTGCATAATTAAATTAAGAGATGCCAAAACCAGTACACAATGCCAAAATTCTCTGGTCTTAGCTCTTACAGATTGTTAACAAACATATAAATGTTTTTTAATTAAAATATATGAATTATGAAGGGTACAAGACTAATAACTCGGGTTAATTAGTTAATCCTCTAGGCCACACGGATTTTTGGAGCATAGAAAGATGCATTTTCGACTTTATAAAAAATATATTTCCATAAATTGTTCATATTTCTATTTCTATTTTACCTACTGTGTCTATATATAGATGTATTTATATATATCTGAACTGAATAAATGTTGTCAGTAGCTCTTAATAATACACTTTAAATACTTTCTTAGATTTAAAAATATATTCTTTGTTGAATATTCACTCACCTTGAAACCCACAGGCCCTATTGCTGGCGGGATGAGGGCGGCAGGATTCAGCTCGATGTTGATGTTGTTCGGCTCCATGATCAGGCCCAGGCTCTGCAGGTTGCAGGCCTGCGGCAACTGGAGCGTGGGCGTGGGCACCTTAAGGACAGCCACCGTGCAATCGATGCCCGACGCCGTCACCGTTGCCGTCGCGGGCAGCGTTTCCGGCATCCTGTCCAGTGACTCAGACGACGCCTCCCGCTCCTCAGCGCTGCTGCTCCGCCTCCTCCCGGTCCCTATGTTGATGCCGGTCCTTTTGACTGGGCTGATACTGTTTCCGGTCGAAGCTCTGCAATGAATTGAGAGACGTATAAGAGTAAGTTTATAATAAAAGGCCAATATTAATGTATATAATCTTTCCAATCAAATTTAGTACAACAAAACATACTTTAAATTAACAAATAATTTACGTTTACATAAAAAAGTGCAGTGAAAATAGAAATAGTATGCCGTTGCTCATCTTGTTATTACAAGTTCTTCGCCCTCACTCGTCCCCAAAACAAATGAAAGAGTTTGCAATGTAAATGCGAGTCGCTTCTGCGTTTATTTGTTTCTTTTTAGCGTTCATTTTGGTATAAGTTGTCCGCACTTATTCATTATGGTTACACTGTAGACCTAAGCATAGTAGCACGCGGCGCCTCCGGCCAGGACACCAAAAAATACAAAACGTACAAATAGGAAAAAAAAATATATATAACTTCGATGCTGGATGGTTTATAAATTAGGAGCGGGAGCGGTATCTGTGGCTAATATCAATCATCGAGGACCTAGGCGGTCTGCAGACGTCGCCGGATCTCGGCGGGAAGCTCCTCCAGCTTGACGTTCGTCTCCTGGCGCGTGGTCACCTCACGCAGCTTCACCAATCCCTGGGCCAGCTCTGCGTCGCCAAGGACCACGACCAGGGGGATCTGGTGCTCCTCACAGTGCTGCAGCTGCACCAGTAGCTTGGGGTTTAGCTTGTAAGAGTGCTCCGCCTGCAAAGATGGGGGATTCGATTAGGACAGGTTCTTAAGAAGGGAGGTCAAGTCTACCTTGATGCCAGCATCCCAGAGCTGGTTCAGAACCTTCAGTCGCTGCTCGTGCAAACCCTTATGGGCGGATGCCACATAGGCCTCGACGTCGCTGGTGCGCAGCTTTAGACCACTGGCCGCCGCCCGCGCCTCCAGAACCGAGAAAATGCGCTCCACGCCGATGGACACGCCCACACAGGGCACCGCCTTGCCGCGTGGATCGAACATCCCAACGAGATTGTCGTAGCGACCGCCTCCAGCCACGGAGCCCACGGTGGCCTGCTCACTGGCCTGCTCGCCATTTTGTTGTGACGTCTTCACAGGCGATCCCACGGCAGCGGACTCTCCCTGGAGCACACCCTCGTAGATAACACCAGTATAGTAGTCCAGACCTCGGGCCAGACTCAGATCGAACCGGACGCGCTTGTCCAGGCCAAAGAGCGAGCAGTACTTCAGGAGCAGCTGCATGCCCTCCAGGCCCTTTACCGCATTGGGCACAGCCTTAAGCTGGGCATCGGACAGCAGCTGCTCCACCAGCTCTGAACCGCCGCTCAGTCGCACGTACTCCCCAATCCGATCCGCCGCAGCCTCATCCAGGCCCTTCTCCTCCACCATCTCCTTGCGAACGTCCGCCCAGGGCGACTGAAAATGGAAAAGACACCTCACAGTCAGCACAGATAGAAGAAGCTACTTCTCCAGTAACCAGAAACCCACCTTGTCCAACTTATCCACTGCCGAGCAGATGGTACGGAAACTGTCCGCCGGCACTCCGCATGCCTGGAACATGCCGTCCAGCAGCTGGCGGTGATTCAGCTTTATCACGAAATCTCCGATATCCAGAGTGTCCAGTATCTCCACCACAATCTTGACGCACTCGGCATCCGCCAGCATGGGATCGTAGGTGCCGGCAATGTCGAAATCGCACTGATAGAACTCCCTATATCGGCCCTTGGTCATTGCCGGATTGTCGCGGCGATACACCTTGGCGATGTGATAGCGCTTGATGCTAGAGATCTTGTTCATCGCTAGGTACCGGGCCAGAGGCACGGTCAGATCGTACCGCATCGAGAGGATCTCGCCACCCTGGTCCTTTAGGTCGTAGATCAGCTTGGAGTCCTCGCCGTACTTGCCGGTTAGCACTTCCTGTCGAGGGAATCAAGAGATCAGTTTAAAAAGTATGAAACAAAGCGAAAATTGTGGATTTATAATATGAGAATTTTACTCAGTAGATATCCCTATCTATATTCTATATATAGGAGTATACCTATAAGAACCCCTCTTTTGTTTTCTTTTTATATTCCATAATGTTTTAAAATTTGTTGCATTATTTCTTTGCAAGGCCTTTGGTCCACTGTCCAAAAACACTGATTACGCAAATCTATATTATTATTATGGGATTATGGGAGGTTGTATAATATTATATTCAAGGCCATATTGTTTCTTTATCAGTTGTCAAGCGTCAAGTATTTTATAAATAATTTTCAGGACGGGGGCTTTATTTATATAATTTATAAAACAGCAACAAAAAAACCTCATATAATTATTATTATAATTCATATAATTATGCCTTTCACAAACATTGGGCATTCTGTAACGTTTTCGTATAAGTATACACGGATTCAAATTAGTCATTGAAGTACCCTAGTTCGAGTCTAAAAAATCATCAATTTATTTAACAGCTATATCTGTAATAATTTTCAGTTGCAGGGTCTTACTAAAAAACATTCCTTTTTTCTTCTAACTAAAACCAAATATCTCTTAAAATAAAAGTTTGTTTAAAAATGGCCACGTATAACAGGATATGGCTAGATCCACACGGTTGTTGATGCTGATCAAGAACACATACAATACAATTTATAGGATTGGAGAAGAGTTTTCTCTGAGTTGAAAATATTGAATTAAAGAGATTAAAAAGAGGTTCTAAGAAGATAAAGAAAGCCTGCAAAGCCCTGAATAGCCATCCTTGTTCTCTATCTGCCCAAAAAAAGGTATCCCTTTTTATCCTTTTGACCACAACTCACCTTCAGCTCGAAAACGGGCGTGTCGATCGCCTCGCCGCCGTGGCGCTTAAACACCTGCACAATCTTGTCCAGGACACCTTGGCGCAGCATCATCTGCTGGGGGCCATAGTCCCTGGTGCCCTTTGGTGTCTTCAGTGTGAACTTCTGGTTCGTGGGCGGGGCATCGCCGCCCAGCTTGGCCTTGAGGGCCAGCAGACGAGCGACCTCCTCATCGATCTGCAATGAGGAAGAGTGTAACGGTTAAAGAGGATTTTCAGGGGAGGGGGGAAAGGAGCTCTAAGGGTGGGGGGATTGCTTAGATGCTAACCTGATGCAGTTGCTCTTGTTCTTGTTGTTGTTGTTCTGGTTGTTGTTTCTGATGTTGTTTTTGTTGTTCCAAGGCTGGAACGCCGGCGGAGCTGGCGCGCCCGCCGCCAGAGGGCGCCGTCTGGAACGTTGCACACTGAAACGCAGCACTACAGCGCCACTGGCGGCCAATTGAACGCAACATGTGTTTGTTTTTCTTTTTTCTTGATTTTCTTAAATTTTTATATAACTTTTTCTCTGAGTGCCTTAATTGGCAACAACTATCTTTATGCAACTTTAAACCTAATTAAACAACAACAACAATAATAAAAACCGATTAAAGTCTGCTCTTTTCTCATTCATGGTTCATTTATTTTAAACTAGTTCGTGTTTAAGACGAAGTTTATATACAAAATAATTAGTATTAGTGACGAAATGAAGGTATGTGCCAAAACCAATGTGCGCTAGTGTTATGGGTGTGTGTGTGTGTGAGTGTGTGCAGGTGTAAATAACAGAAATAACAATACAATTATTGCGTTCCATTGACCGTCAGCGCTGATTACTTTTTCTTGTTTCGAAACAAGTTTTTCGATTTGAATTACACTTTTTTTTTTGTTAGCACTTGAACACTCGGAAACAGGGAAACCGAAAAAACAAGAAAGTGACGCGATTTAATGGAATTTTTACCCCACAGCGGGTTCAAGGACATTCCCACATACACACGCCGCAGAAAGGGTTCCCTGAACCGATTGGACACCGCTAGAGGGCGCCAGCATAACGGGGCAACAGCTGATCGTGGCGGCCATAATAACTGCACAAACTTGACATTTAGTGACGGGTTTCTCGGATTTCTTATTAGCTAAAATCATATGTTGCAGTTGGATGTTGTCTAGCAGGTTTGATATAATCGCTATAACCACCATGTGCCTTTTTGTTCCATGCTCATGCCTCCTGCTTGACCAGTCGCTCGCTCTCTTTCTCGCTTTATCTCGCTCTCTGTCAGTCAGTCAGTCGGTCATAGACACACACACACTCTACCAACAAATCACTGAAGCTGGACGGTAGTGCTGGCCGTTTTCTCAGCGGGAAAAAAGCTCATTTGAGAAGATGCACTTAAACAAATAAATACGGCGTGCTTCCTTGAACATTTTGACGCTCAGTAACTCATAAAAGGTTTCAAAAATAGAAAAGCCATGTCAGTTGTAATGTAATTTTGATTGTGAGATCCATGAATATAACATTAAGTTTGTTTTGGAAGCTGGCTAGAAAGCCGCTAGAGCTGCGCCAACACTGGTGAGCGGGAGCTATGCATTTTTCGGGGGCCGTGTAATGGGGGCGAGAGCGAGACACCAACAACAACAGAGTGGCACGAATGTGAAAGTTTGCGGAGCGCGCGCTCTTTTTCTTCAATTTTGCTATTTTTTGTGGTTCTCTGTTTTGTTGCATTCAATCTAATTACTGCGAAATTCAATAAATGGAAATGGTAAGTGGAAGTGGCACTGCCAACGCAGCATGTGTGTCTGATGAAATGCCACTGCTGCGATGTGTCATGGGCCAGGGCTGTGCCTGTGCCCGGGATTCGATTGCGTATTCGGTGGACTTCTGTGATGAGGTTGATGATGAAAGCAGGGCAAGCAATTACAGCAACAATTGCACTTGTTCGTGTACACACACAATGCCAGGCGACACTATGCGCAGGGGGGCGGGTGCGGGTGCTACTCCGTGAGGTGAGGACAGTGTGTTGTGTGTGTGCAGGACATGAACATGACCACTGACCTTCTCCTTGGACTCCTTCGCAGCCTTCAGTTGACGGACGAGATCGCCTTGCACTTTGATTTGGTCCAGGATTTGCTCGCGCGTATCACTCATATTCCGTATTCGTGCCGCAAAAATCACAACAAGCTGATGACAGTCCTGGACGGCAGGTAGGCGCGCGGCTATTATTCGATTCGATGTGAGTTTTCTGTGATTAACTACGTTTTCCACTCTTTTTTAATTGCAAAAAAACTGCACGCGGTGGAGCTTAGGGTTGTTGATTGTTGCCAACTCTTCTTAAAAAGCTAGAAATAGCCAGTTTGGTAGCTAAAAAATATTTCTATTTGATATTTTTTAATATTTTCTCCTTGGTCACTCTGAATTTCAAGGCAAAAAATGTCAAAACAATGTTTTACATGCTTGGGGTCGAATTCTCGTTTTTGGGGTCGAATTCTCATGTAGAATGTAAAATGTAAGTAAAATATCGCCAACGCTTGAAAAAGCTAAAAAAAGCTAGAAATAGCCAGCAAATTTTGATGATAGCTAAAAAATATTATTATTGATATTTTTTGATATTTTCCCCTGGTCACTCTGAATTTCAAAGTAAAATGTCAAAACAATGTTTTACATGTAGAAAATATCGATAACTAACAATCGAAATGCCTATCGCGTTGACTACTTAAATTTAAATTTGAAATCTGTCAAGCTCTTAGCAGCCCATGAAGTCTACTTCGTTCACTCAGCGCTCACCTCGTTCAAATCGTTCTCATTGTTCACATTGTTCACCTCGTTCGACTCGTATATACGTTCAAAATGTTCCACCGAACTGTCGGCACCGGAACACACACTCACGCAATGAATAAGACACAGAAGACCTCAACGAAGGTGAAGCGGGGCAAGCAGCGCCAGACCACGCACACAACTGGCACTCACCACTCACCGCGGCACACACATGCCAAGGCCCGGCAGAACCTCGTGGAGGCCGAGATGGAGAAGTCTCGCAGGGCCGTCGAGCACAAACTGATTAGTCTTTCGGGACCCAATCAGGCCATAGTCCTGCCTCGTCCTGGCAAGCGGGCCACGAAGGGAACTGCTTCAGGAGCTGGAGTTGGAGATGCAGCAACCGTTGGTGGAGGCGGCGGAGCCAGTGTCCAGCGGCGCAGGCAAGGCAAGAAGCAAGAGGCTACCAAACCACACCTACTGGTGTCGGATGAGATGCCGGAGCAGGAGAAGCTTTACAAAGTTGAAAGCCGAACGCGCGGGGGCTACAATGGTAAGCTATCGGATTTTACAGGATTATGGGTAAGGATCAAGATCCCTGAGCTTTCCATTAAAAATGTATATTTTTCTTTTTAAAAAATATCGATAATAATGTTTACATAAACTCCACCCTTTCTGGGCTTTCCTTTTAGTTCTCCTGGAGTCACCCCGCCGGAATGGGCTCACTCCCCGCGACTTTGCAGCCGAGGCCGAGCTGGCTGCCCTGATGGCAGCCGCACAACGCAGTGGAACCGGTGGATCTAACTCCAAGCTGGGCTACCGTATGCACGAGAAGACCGGTGATGGGGACGCCGAAGACATTGGGCATCTGATGCCATTATCCGCCTACGGACAGCTGGGTGTCCTGCCGCGCTACAAGTGCACCGAGTGCGGGGCCAGGTTCCATGTCCGCTCGCTGCTGGGCGCCCACCGTCGCACCCACGAAGATGACTTCAAGGTGCGCTTCTGTAATCGCTGTCCAAAGGGCAGCAGCACCACGCTGACCACCAGCAATCAGTGCAAGTTCTGTGACCGCAAATTCGACCTGGTTCGCACACTCCACATCCACCAGCTAACCCACTGCAAGAAGATACCGCCCCAGCTGCGCCGCAAGCTGTGCTACACGGAGTTGGCCCACGAGAAGAAGGCCCCACTGCCCAGCTTCCAGCGAAGCGGTCACCATAGCCAGCCCAGCCAAGATAGCCATCATAGTCACCGTTCGCAGCACCGTCAACAGAGCAAGCCCTCGATTGCCACCCATCAGTATCCGCTGAGGGAGCAGCCCGAGGAGATGACCAAGGCCATCTTTCGGTCTTCGGCGCTACACGAACGTTGGCGCTAGTACCAGACATTGTTAAGACCAATGCTTGCTTTCCAGAACCCAGAAGAAAAACACTACAGAATTATGAAAACACATCATTTTAGGGAAATACGAACGAGGTCGACATGAACGAGAAGCAAAAACAAGTCCTTCGCTAGTGTAACCATTTAGGCGTTGAACAGTCACATTCAAATTAAATACAAATTAAAAGTCCCCCAAATAGTGACAGTACGTATTATTAGGAAATTATGTGCATTTTTTTATTACAAGTAAAAACTAACATTTTAAGGGAATTTTAAAAATTTAATATATTTGTAATTACCAACTCTTTTGCATAAATGTAAAGGTAAGCCTCTGATCTTTTGATCTTGAGAACTTCCAAACAAAGCTTACTCAATCTTGTTCAGTGTATAGCTCTTTCTCTTACTGCCCTCTCAGTCTCTGTACTTTTCTCTCTCTCTGTATTTCTTTTGGCTGGCAAAGAGAGCAAAAACAGCTGTTGCTTTTTTAAACTGAAGAGAGAACTTTCAAATGACACACAGCTATGAAGCTTATGACGGTCAAGTTGAGCTAGCTTGAGCCGCTCCACTATGCACTGTGGGCCCAGTCAGCAAATTTCTGGGCTTAAGACATAAACCAAAATTAGCAGCTATATAATAAATAATTATAATTATAAGCAATAACTAATAATATTGAAACATATTTTAAAATAAATTCAAATGCACATTCAACAGCTCCCATTATCAGATGTATCTTTCAAACCTCTTGTTTTTTTTGTTGCCACCGTAAGTATCTCTTGGCCCCACAGTGCACTCTCTCCGCTTCAAGCTCACAGTGGGTCAAGCTTATTTCGAATATAAAAAATTTCAAATCGATATTGCCGCTTAACTAGCCAAGATATATCCAAAATTTAAATATAGTATTTTAGAAAAACACTTTGTTTATTTAACTAAACAAAATTATATTACTAAAAATTTCAAAAAAAAAACATATATCAGATAAATAAAACAAAAAACAGGCAATTCAATTCTCCCACCCAAGCTTATTATCTCTCCCGCGCTCCGTCTCGCTGCGTGTCGTGTGCAGCAGCTCTACAGTTAGTCGGCATCGCAAGAGCGGAACGGAGGCGAAGTGGAGCCCTGTGTGTGGAGCCACTGCATCAGTCGATCGCGGCAGGTGCTCACAGGCGGCAGCTGGCCTAAGGAATCGAACGGAACACTGCCGAAAGCCACCTTTCTTCTTCTTTTTCGGTGTCACTATTGTTGTTGCTATCACTGTTACTGTGTTTTTTTTTTCTCTCTCTCGTGGTTTTTTCCGGCTTGTTTTGTTTCTGTGTTTTGTGGCCAAGGCTCCAACTCTAAAGTGTGCCGGCCGTGCTCCGCAAAAATTTCAATATCGGTGTAAATATTAGTATTCGATTCGCGGCGACAATCACGTAAAATGAGGTAAGAATGGCCAGGCGCCAAGGGGAGCCATTTATCCAGTGGCGGATCTGTAATTCCTGGGGGGCGCTGAAACTTTATATATTTATAAAGGGAGCAAAGATTTTCTATATTTTCTAGCTTGGGTTTAAAGGGGGCTAAGTGACGCCATTAATAGCACGAAAGAAAATTAAAAATAATTGGATATGCATATATCAGGTTTTATATAATTTTCGTATTCATTTTTCTATCGTTCTTAAGGAGGCTATGGTTAGTAGATTTTTATAATATTAAAATAATTATTCAGAAATTATTATAAATTGTGATATTACTTAGAAGATAGATATATTTTCATATAATTTCCGTATTAAATTTTCGATTGTTATTGAGGAGGCCATAGTTTGCATAATTTTATAATATTAAAATAATTAAATTAAATTATTAAATATATTATGTATAATGTCTATACGATCAGTAAGCCATTTTAATAAAATACAAATAGTTATAATGAGATTATATTTAAAGTTTTAAGCAGATAACAGATATTCTAGATCAACTTGGCTGTTGATGCTAAGTAAGAATAGGTATACTTTGTAGATTCAGGGTACAAACTTCTCATTCAAATTATTAATTATAAAATATAAAAATTGTATTAAAAATGATTAAATATATAAAACTCAGATCCCAATCCTAAATCTGAACAAATCTTAGAATAATATATGGTAAACCTTATATAAGATATATAGAATCACTTAATCCCCAAGCTATTTGGGTTCAAAGTTAGTTACTGAAACCTGTTTTGTGGGGATTCACTGTCAGTGATATAACCATTTATGGCACAGTCTATATATCGATGAAAAGAGCAGAGTGGAACGAAGCGATTCCAATGATAGAGTCTAACATGGCAATTAAGTTTTTTAGTCACTTGTGTAAATATCGAGCGAAACCAAAACACTGTACTTTGTCACATGAAGCCTATGATCTATGACGGTGGTCATGACGATAGTACCTCCCTGTTTTCTAAAGAGAATATCTATACAATGAAAATATATGATATTTATATATGTTGGAAACCCTCAATTTCACACAGTGTGTTAACTATGTTGTTGCCGCATTACTTTTTCGCAAGTCAGTAAATTTCAGACATTGGCTAAGCACTTTAGCTGGAACTCGGAGATCGCAACAGATAAGATAAATTAATAAATATATATACAACTAATAGCAGCGTAATTGAAAGCTCTCTGGCTTGAAGATATCAAAAGATTAATTTATGGCTGGGTGCTCTGGTTATTGGTCGTTAATAGATATTATTTTTGGCAGGCTATTTTTATGGATCGAGGTGATATTTTTGCGACTGCCACTGTGCCACTGAATAATCTGAGGACATGAAAACGCGTCATTCGCACTCCCGAAATGTGTGTAAAATACGTTCCATTCTTCAGTGCCCCGGGGCTGGCAGTTTATCAAACTTGTCGAAAGTCGAAAGCAATTAGCTTAATTGCTCCGCTTTACGACGCCCCATAAGATATAGTACATGGCTGAGATATGGGCCGCCATAGAGGAATGAAGTTTATGGCACGGGAATTCTTTCTTTCTTTCAGAACAATTTGCGTTCATTCAGCTCGGATCATTGACAGGCTCTGTTTTATGGATATATGTGGTATATTATCCCGATAAGATTGGGTTAGCACTGGTGCCCTACCATAAAAAAAAGTACCCCTCAATGAGCATTGCCATTGAAGTCGGCCATTAGGGAGAATGATTTGTCAGGTCATTCCGCTGGACTTGCTTTTAGCTCGCTGAAAACAGGTTTTGCATTAAAAAATAATAATAATAAACAATGAAAGAATCCCCTGCGTTTCCCGCTGCTATTTCCATAATTCATTAGAACTGCATCACAGCACAGCAATCACAATTATCGGTGGGAATAGTATTAACGCTTCGGTCGGTGGGCCAAAGGCCTATCAGGGCTCGTACGCCTTATTTATTTACACCTGCCAATTGGCCAAGGATGACTTTCGTTCCTCCCGCGGTAACGTCACTAACTTATCTTCCCGTTCCATTGCAGACACGGTTCGATTTCGTTGACGAAGCACATATTTCACAGATTGATAAATGGAAATGTGTGTTTTTGCTTTTCTTTTCGGTTTCTGTTTTTCGTTTTGATTAAACACAGAGCTCCTGCTCTACACGAGATCTACCGATAGACTCTGTTATTAAAAGATGTTTTTATTTTCTGCAGAAAATTACACCGTGTCACGGTATATCTTATCAAGGGTAGCAGGAAGCATCCTAGTTAGTTTTGTAAAAGTGAGGACCTTTTTGGTACATGTACCAATCTATGAAAAGATCAGTAGGGTTAATGAAACTCTAGATTCTGATCTGGGAAGCTCTAGATATTCAGATTCTTTTGTGTTATGGTATCATGATGATGGGTTTGGTCCCACCACCAAACTAGGAAAGGCAATCAATATCGATATTTTTCGATATTTTGCGATAAATTAAATTTTTGATATTTTTGATATGATATTGAGTCCATTATTTTCATCGGGATATCATCTTTTCGAAATAAATCCATCACTACATCTAAGGATTCTGTTTTGAACTCATAGTTTACCCTGAAATTATGATATATCCCATCTAAAAAGACATGTCATAACAATCTAGTTTTCTATACTTTTCCGTAATGCCAATTACTGCAGTTCAAGTGCCACACCCTCCACTTAAGTTGCTTTCTTGAGATATCAGTTTATTTAAAGAACGCTTTATTATCAAATATTGCCCATCATTGTTATTATTATTCTCTGGCTTCATAATTTTGGGTTCGGGTCTTTCGCTTTTCTACAGGTTCAAAGATCTTTCCATAAACTTTTACTGTGGCAGCTCGACCTTAGTAGCGTCTTTCCAACAGCTATAAAACCCGCCATTGATAGTGCCGGATCAAGCGGCTTTAATCCCAGCCGCTTATCGCAGGACCAATCATCCTTTATGACACCTGTTTGTGTCGGCATTTCGATCAATTGGAGGCGGCTTCCAGGCAGCTACCGAAAGTATGGCCAAAATAATTATGGTATCGTAAGGGACCGGCCGACACTGGACTAGCCCGAACTGGTTCTTATCGCGTTGACCGCTAATAAGTATGGCATGCGATATGCAGATCAGGCAACGTCCTATCGAATGACAAGGCAGAAAGTGGGCTCGGACCCTCGAGGATCATAATCTCCAGCAGACGGCGTCGATAATCAATCGGTTCGTATCGTATCGATTCGAAATCGAAATATTTGGGAACACGTATCGCGAGGACGCGCTCTGTGCCATGACGGGCACTAAATCCAAGTGTTTTTGCCCCTTTCCCCTTGCGGGAAATCTACGTTAATTATAGAAAATTGCCTGTTAATAGCGCTCAAGTTTTACGATCTCTGGGGTTGGCATTTTTATGGCCACGCGTTGTGCGTGGACAGAGAGGGAGCCCGAGCCGGGAGAGGAAGGGCAAGCACATTGAGCTGATAAGACTCGGACTAGCACTCTCCCGGACAATAGGTATGTCCGGACTCATCTGGTACGTGGTCATGATCAGCCAGCCGGCAGGCAGATACACCTGAAAATCACCTAGTCATGGGACACTCCAGAGACGAGCGCAATCAGTTACCACAGCCATGGATGGGTTTTTTTTTTATTACCATCGCGCAGCTACTGAATGGGCTTATACCTTTGAGATATACCACACTTCTAGATAGATCGAAGGCAATGATTCGGCTAATTTCATTAACTGCACTTTAATGGTCACTGATTACAGGCACTGCGAACTATAATAATACCATGTCGTATATAATCAGTATTAGTGAAGGGATTTACACTGATAAAAAAGTAAGAACTTTGGTCATAAAATGGTGAGCAAGCAAGCATATTTTGGTTTTCCTTTAAGATTTTTCTGTATTTTAAAATTTGTAATTTTAATTCTAGATTTAAAAGATTTCAAGTCAAGATTTAAACTCGAGTTTTCTTAAAATAAACTTTGAAACCAATTTAAAACTTTGTTACTCAACTAGGATTTGTCTTTGCAATCTCTCTCTCTGTCTCTTTGCATATAAAGACTCTCTTCGAGTGTGCTTCGAAATTATAATCTTAAAAAAAAAAAATAACAAAAAACATGTGAAATTATGTTGAATAAACCCTAATTGAGTTGTAACGACAACCCCTTTCGTTTCGTATCCTTTACTCTCAAGTAAACTGGCCCCCAGCTACTGATTCTGCCTAAAAAACAGATTCCGATTAGTTGTAGGTATTTTGTTCTTGAAGAGTTCCCCCAGATCGCAGGGTATTACCTGTTTCGTAGTGGAGTTCCAAGTGGTGACTCGGCATAACGTTGGAGAACCGATAGCGGCGCCCGGCCCAAATCAAAGCTAATCGTCAGCGCCGCCACCGCTGCTCCACTCGACCAGGTTCTTAAGCTCTTCAGTCTCGAGGGGCTGATGACGATCGCGGATTGTGGATCGCGGATCGCGGATCGCTGATCGCTGATCGCTGATCACGGATCGATTGCCAACAACGACTGATTGCATCTCTTCCTCTGTATATTCGCAGGTTGGTCTGTAGCAAGAAGGTCCTTCTATGGCTGCTGCTGGCAGCCGTGATGGTGACGGCTCTGACCCTAGGTCTAGTTTTCGGACTCCGGAACCGCGACTCCCGGCTCATCAGCGGCGCCGTCGTGTCCAATGGCATCGGGTGCGCCGACGTTGGCGGTGATGTACTGAACGATGGCGGCTCTGCCGTAGACGCCTCCATTGCCACGCTGCTCTGCGAGGGACTCCTCCTGCCGCACTCCATGGGCATTGGTGGTGGCTTTGTGGCCACCATTTATACGCGAAGCAGCAGGAAGGTGGAGACGCTGATTGCCAGGGAATCGGCACCGGCGGCCGCGCACAAGGACATGTTCGTGGGACAGTCGGAGATCACGGGCGCACGGGCGGGCGCTGTGCCCGGCGAGATCTTGGGCTACTGGGAGATGCACCGTCGATACGGTATCCTGCCCTGGAAGCGTCTGTTCCAGCCGGCCATCAAGCTGGCCCGCGAGGGTCATGTCGTTTCCCGTTACCTGGCCTCTGCCATTCAGTCCAAGCTAACCCAGATCCGGGCAAATCCCGGCCTGGCCTCCGTCTTTCTCAATGAGAATCAGGAGCCCTGGCTGGAGGGTGACTTTATGAAACGCACCGTTCTGGCCGATACGCTGGAGAGGATCGCCGAAAACGGGGCCAAGGAGATTTACGATGGCGGCGAGACGGGTCGCAAGTTCGTTGAGGATATCCAGAGCCTGGGCGGAATTATCACCGAGCAGGATCTGCGCGACTTCAAGGTCCACTGGGAGAGCGATGGACACATTGCGGCCAATGTCAGTGGCTCCTACACGCTGTACTCCACCCCAGTGCCAAGCAGCGGACCCCTGCTGGCCTTCATTCTCAACATCATGGGAGGTATGCACACGGACGACGAGTACATCTACTGGCAGCGGGCCGTAGAGGCCTTCAAGCATGCCTATGGCCAGCGAACGAATCTGGGCGATCTGTACGCAGATCCTAATAATGCCGCCTCCATCAACGCCACCTTGGAGCAGATGCTGCAGCCGGAGTTCGTGGAGAGCATCCGGAAGCTCATCCACGATGACAGAACCTCGCAGGACTTTGACTACTACGGCGCCAACTTTACGACCGAGGAGGATCACGGCACTGCCCACATGAATGTCCTGGCCCCCAATGGAGATGCGGTGTCCATTACCAGCACCATTAATAACTAGTAAGTGGAATCAGTCGCGGTGAAAGCAATAACGAAATGCTAAATTTTATTTCCTGTTCTCCAGCTTCGGCTCCAAGGTGGCCTCCTTGCAGACGGGCATCATTCTGAACGACGAGATGGACGACTTCTCGACGCCGGGCGTGGTCAATGGCTTCGGTGTGCCCGCCTCTCCGGCCAACTACATTTATCCAGGAAAGCGGCCAATGTCCTCGATGAGTCCAGCCATCATTGTGGACCAGCAGGGCAATGTGCGTCTGCTTGTGGGAGCAGCCGGTGGCACCCGCATCACCACCAGTGTGGCAGGCGTGAGTACTCCTCGCTCGATCTCTTGCAGAGTCAGCTTTACAGCTTTTCCATCTATTTTTTCTAGGTGATTATGAAGTATCTGCTCCGCGGCGAGTCCCTGACGGCGGCGGTGAACAATGGTCGGATACACCACCAGTTGGCCCCCATGCAAGTCAGCTACGAGCATGAGGTGGACAGCGGCATTGCCGCCTACCTGGCCAAGGTGGGTCACGTGCTATACGAGGAGCCCGCCGGCTCCAGCTTCGCCGCTGTGACGGCCATCGAAGCTCTGGAGGAGCCGGAGCCCTTCTACGATCGACGTCGCATCGGCAGCTCGCTCACCATTGCCAAGAGCAACAAGATGCAGCACTAGTTCAGGGATTAGGGATCGCAGATCCGATCCAATGCCTCCAAGCAGGGCTCGTGATTTTATTTATTAAACCTAGCTTTAAGCGCCTGTATATTGCGCGGCTCCTTCCAAGCCCTGTATATAATTGTTAAACTGTATTTCGAATAGAAAGTGTTTCTTCGAAGGTATACATTTCTTTTTTATGTAAATAACGAGCTGTGAAGCCCAAAATAGCCAAATAAAGGAATTTATATATAAAATTTTACACTACACTAAATACATCCATTTTATTTAGAAATTTAGAGTTGCCGCAGTTAAATAAAATGTACCTTATTTTTTTATATTAGACTATTTCCCTCTCGCTCTTTCTCACAACTTTTGCACAAATTTTATACTTTTTTCAATTAAAAAATTTAAATAACAGCAATAGTTCAACTTATTAACTATGTTTTTGAAAGATAAAAATAAAAATAAATAAATAAATTAAATAATAAATAAAATTTACGCGAAAAAGAAAAAAAAATTATAAATAACAATTAAAATTGAAAAATAAAAACAAAGCAGTTTTCATATTATTTGCAATTATTTTTTAATAAAAAAAATATATTTAGATATTTATAATATTATATTTATATATATTTTAATCACAAGAAATATATAAAATTTCCATGGAGATGAAAAAAATAAAATAAATATTAACAATTAAAATGAAAAAGTAAAATCAAAGCAGTTATTTGTTATTTGCAAATATTTTTTAATAAAAAAAACATTTCTACCAATTTTAATCGAAAGAAAAAGAAACAGAAAACAGAAAACTTCAAAATTGTTTTTCCTCTCTTTCTCCAATATTATTAATTTATGTTTTAATCAAAGTTTTAGGCTGTTATTTATAAATGTTACTTAAGGTAAGTTTTCCAAAAAAACATATTAATATAAAATTCATTTTGAAAACACACAAAAATTATAGAAATTTTCAACAAAAAAACGACAATGCTGATGGTGATGATGATGTCGCCAGCCTATGCCTTGAGCTCGTACTTGGACAGATCCGCCTCCCGGCCGTTCATCAAGTACTTGTTGATGGCTATCTGGCTGAGCACCCGCACTCCCCTCTGCAGGAGGTGGGCCAGATCCCTGGCTGCCAAAGGCATCGTCTTCACATCCACGAAGCAGTGCGTAGCCGTGGTTGCCAAGGGATCGCTGGCGAAGGGAGACTTGGGCTCCAATATGCAGGCTCCTCCGGCACGCAGCACGTTCCTAATGGCCGCTCCGCTGCGCTCGTTGATGCTGAGGATTACCCGATAGCCGGTGAAGGCGCCACCGCCTTGGGTGCCCAGCTCGGTGCGCCACCGATGGACAGCGGCGGCAATGGGCTCTTCCTCGGGCGTCAGCTTGGGCAGATTTAAAGCCCGCGGATTGCTCCACTCGTAGAGGGCCTCGTCGATGAAGTGGCCCCGCGCATGGCACTGGTCGATGTACTGGGTGTGCAGTATCCACTTGCCCGCCGCTATACAGGCAAGCATCTTCTCGCCGCGATTGGGACGCTCGCACAGCAGATGGGTGCAGGCGCTGTCGTAGTTGACCAGATTCTCGCACAGCCTGCCGCCCAGCTGGGTGATCCGTTCGCTGAGCTCCGCTCGCTTTTCGTCATCGTCGCCGCACGAGATGCTGAAGCAGGGCATGCCCTGGTGCTGCATTCGGGGCGAGGACCCAGCACCGCCGGAGGAACGCCGCTTGGCCGCATTAAACTCGACGGGATCACGCCAGCCCACCATGTCCTCGGTGCCCAAAGCGAAGCCCTCGGACTCGAACGGCTGCACATACTGGACCTCGCTTTCGGGGCACGCGTCCATATCGTTGTCATGGCTGCGCTTCAAGCTGTTCCTCCGGCTCTCGCAGTTCTTTAGGTAGTCGGTGATCTGCTTGACATCGGGTGCCATCACGGAAGCGGCGGCCGCTGTAGTGGTCTCCTCGAAGCTTATTTTGTCAAAGTTAATGGTGCTCTGGCCGGGACTCTGGGAGTTGGGCACAAAGGGTGACTGGTGAACCGAAGATGTCCTTGGCGAAGCAGACTTTCTGAGGGATACCGCCGCCACCTTGGGCGTCTTGGGTGAACTATCAAAGTTGAGTTTTGTGACCTGAGGCGGCTTCTTGTGCTGCTGCTCCTTCTGCTGCTGCTCCTTATGCTCCTTCTCCTTCTCCTGCTGCTCCTCATTCTCCTCTTGGTCAAACTCAATGCCCAGGGTCTCGCAGGTGATCCGCATCACCCGCTGCCTGATCACCGCCAGCGGTGTGTCCGGCTTGATTTTCTGCGTGGGCAAGCGCCAGCGTCTTTCAAAGTCATCCGCCATCCTTTGCTGGAACTCGGGGGTCAGGCAAAAGTCTGGTATTCCAGGCGCCGGTCGTGGCATGTTCCGACGACTCACTGGGGTACAGGCCTGCCGACGTATGCGCTCCAGCTCGGGCGTTTGATTCTCACGCATCTCGCGTATAATCTGTCGTACACAGTCCTTGCCCTCGTCCGTGTCCAAACGCTGGACAAACTGCTCCAGGAAGTCCAAATTGTAGTTCTGGGTGCCCACTTGGCTGAGCGGAGTGCAAGGCGAGTCCGGAGAGGAGGTGTAGCTGCCGCCACTTCGACGGCCAGAAGGGCCTGCCAGCTCGGAAACGCGTCTGTTTCGGAGTGGAGTGACTTCAGGAGCTGGTGCTGGAGGAGCTACTACAGGAGCTGCTGCCTCTGGCTGGTTGTTCTCCACCTCCTCGCCGTTCTGGAGTGTGACTTCCTCCGGGTGCCTTCTTCTGGACGTCGTTCTGGAATTATTTTCCCTCAATTTCGGGGAAATGGGGAAATCCTTGGGACTATTGCCCACCAAGTGGTCCATATACGGCAGCTTTTCACCTTTGCTGGCGCATTGGACCAGCCATTCGGCCGTGACCACCGGATAGTGCCACTTGATAGCACCCTCGTACTTGGAGCCCTCGGCCCGGGGACACACCAGCAGCGGCTTCTCCTTTTTGTTTAGATTCTTGTTCACTGTGGCGCCCATTAGCTCCGCCGTGGAATTGATAAAGTCCCGCTCTAGGCCCGCATATATGGACACCACAATGGTCATGCCCGCCAGCGGCTGACGCTGTGCAGTAGCGGGCACAGGCCTGTGATAGTACTCCACGGGCAGGAGCTTGTTTTGCTTCATGCAGCTCTCGAGGAACAGCTCGGTCACCACATGACGCGCCCGCACAGGCAGCTCCTTCTCGTCGAAGGCCACCTCGAAGCTGACAATGGCATAGTCCACCTCGTCGGCAAAGCTGGAGGAAACCAGCAGACCCTGGGCAGCCTCGCACTCGGTCAGCATGTGGGCGTAGAACTCCGAGTTGAAGCAGTCCTTGTGGACGTACACCGAGAGGCCGAAGAAGTAGTGCAGCTTGTCAAAGTCAATGGACATGGCGCTGGCACTGAGATCGGGCAGGGGAACCTGCGAGATGTGGCCTGGTTTTGGATCTGGATGAGCTGGCATCTCCATTTGCGTGGAACTAGCGGCCGGATGGAGCAGACTTGTGTCCGCCGGCGGCAGCTGGGCCACTGCTCCCTGATCCTGCGAATACTGATCCAGCAGATGATGGTCCGGCTCCTCCTCTAGCTCCTTCTCCTTCTCCTGATCGAATAGTTTCTTCCGGATGGGCTGCGGCTGCTTGAAGCTGTGGTTCATGGAGCGCAGCGTCCGCTTGCTGGCCGGCGAGGCCACGTCAGGTTCACGGTTTTGGGGCAGGGACACGCGATGCACTAGCTCGCTGACCACGCGACCGGCACGTATACTCTCGAGCAGCCAATCCAGACGCACCACATGCACCGAGCTCATGAGACCGTCGCTCTGCCACTGCCGATACTCGTTGGCCGCCTCGCCGTCCAGCTGGCCCACAATGATGTGGGAGACGCCCTCGTTGGCCTCGTCGTAGCGGGTGGCACCGCCCGTGTTAAGGACGCGGTTCAGCTTCTCGCGCTCCTCCCCGCGAAAGCCGCAGAGATACACGCAACAGCCGTCGAGAAAGGTGCCCGCCTTCTTGGCCTGTCGCGGGCAAATCTCTGCCAGGACCTGCTGGTAGCTCCTGCCCGTAGTGGTGGTGGCCTGCTTGAGCAGCTCCTTGGCGGGGGAGCTGCAGCCAAGGGTTTCGTTGACGGTGGTCAGGTCGCTGCACATGCGCCGGGAGCCCGAAACGAAGCTGATCCGGGAGAGATCCGAGAGCTGCGTTTGATCGGCGCCGGGAGCTGTCGAAGAGGACGAACGGCTGCCGCCGGTTCTGGTGGGTGTGGATGACTTCTTGCCCGGCCGCACCTCGTACTCCTTGGTGGGCAGGGCGTAGCCCCGATTGTGGCTATCGAAGATCCATTCTGGCAGCAGCACGTCCTTCTTGTAGCGTATGGCCGCCTTGTACTTCTCCGTGTCCGTCTTGGACTGTTCGGTGATGACGATGTCCACCACCTGGGAGCGGAAGGCGCGGTGATAGATGCCACCATTCTCGTTGACCAGCCGCATCACCTCATCCTTACGCGCCACATCCAGGCCGCTGCACGTGATGTTCGCCCCAAAGAACGTGGGCAGGCGGTACTTGTCGAACTCGGTGTCGGTGGCTCGGACGCCCTCCCGTTGGCGGCGCCTGCTCTGCTCCCAGACGTACTGCACCCAGTCCACGTGCATCACGGGCACCCCGTTCAGCGTGGCCTGCTCGTACTTATTGGACTTGATCGTGTTCGAGATGAGGTGCGTGGTGCGGTGCCCGAAGCTTTGAAAGTATACGCCGCCCATCCAGTTGATCAGCCTGCTGAGCTCCTCCTTCTTCTGCGGCGTTATGCCTGTGGCGGACACCTGCAGATCGCGCATGGCCGTCGTGTAGATGGCACTGCTGCCCAGGGGAATGGGCTCGTTGTTGCGCAGGCATGTCAGCAGGCATGGCGGGCCCAGGACGAGGGCCTTCGTCAGCTGGAGCTGCACAAAGAAGTCGCCCTCGAACTGCGCCAGCACGAATACATCCTTCTTGGTCAGCTTGCCGGCTGCAATCAGGGGATAGCCCTCGCTGGGCTTTATTTGACGGATCTGGGTCTCGGCAAGCTGCTGGCCGAGCAGCTCCAGCGACGCCTCGAACTGCTCCAGAGTGTCCGCATCGGAGTCGCCATTGCTGCCCGCTTTCAGGTTGTTCACGAAATACGCGCAGATGGACTCATCCAGGCTAATGCTCATCGTGATGTGTGGTGTCTGTGGTTGCGAATTCTGTCCTGGTTTTCACCGCCTTTTACACTTTTTTGCGTACGCTATTTTGGCGCCGTTTGTTGTGGGTCTAGAGATGGCAAATCTCGATGGAAAAATAAATAAATCGATATGTGCAGCACTCGATAGATTGCAAACTGTCATCGGGGGAACACAGTTTTGTTGGTTTTTCTTGATTGTCAATTCAAAGGTCACACAGATTAGTAAAAATAAGCCAAAAATTAAAAAACTTTTGACGAATTTTGTTGTGATGGCACGTCTCGATAGAAAAAATGTACAATCGATATCAATATTCGATTTATGCCCATCTGTTATCGAGGACACAGCTCCGATTTGCTGGTTTTTCTTGAATCCCCACACAAAGGTCACACTGATTGGTGAAAGAAAGCAAAAAAAAAAAGAAAGAAAATAATAATCGGGGAGAAAAGTAAACCAACGCAGAAAAAAACAGAATACCTGCCAAGAGTGGATCCGTTGCATCCAGATACCGCACCCCCAAATGGGCAACTTTGTGAGCAGGCAAAACGCGGCGGTGGAGGAGGCTGATCCCAGCACGAATCATGCCTACAAGTACCCACCGCGAATGGGCAACTTCTTTGGCACGCACTTCATCATGGGCGGCGAGCGCTTCGACACTCCGCAGCCGGAGTCGTACCTGTTCGGCGAGAACGCCGATCTGAACTTTCTGGGCAACAGACCCACCGCCTTCCCCTATCCGCCGCCGCAGCCCAACGAGCCGACAAAGACGCTCAAGAGTCTGGTGAACATTCGCAAGGAGTCCGTGCGCTTTGTCCGTGTGCCCAAGGACTCGAAACTGATTGTGCCCGAGAAGCCCAAGGTCAAGGATCGCGAGAAGGAGATCAAGGAGCGTGTGAAGGAGTTGGAGCGGGAGAAGGAGAGGGAGAAGGACAAGGACAAGGACAAGTCGAACGTGACCATTGAGGATGTGGATGGCAATGTACTCTGCTCAATGGGCCTGGGGAGTGGCGATGTTGACCTGACGCCACCACCGCCGCCGCCGCCCAGCACGTACAACATCGAGTTCACCTTCGATTCGGACGCCAAGTGCGCCATTACCATCTACTACTTCTGCTCGGAGGACGTTAGTCCCAGCGGTGTGACGCTGGTGCCGCGCGAGGGCCTCACCTCCGAGACGTACCACTACGAGAAGGGCATCAATCAGTGCTTCTCGCAGCCGAGCCACATCTTTAACCCCCAGCAGATGCCCGAGGACGAGCTGGGCTACAGCCCTGGCCGCGAACAGTACCCGGTGGCCATCCACTGTGTGGTGGAGGAGGGCAGCGACGAGTGCCGGCAGTCGCACACCACAATATGCGTGATTGACCATCATCCGGAGAGCGGAAGCTATGTGCTGCGTGCCCTCAAGCAGAAGATATTCGTCGACGGGCTGTGCTACCTGCTGCAGGAGATCTATGGCATCGAGAACAAGGCGGTAAACAAGTCGTCGCTGGACGAGGAGATCGACGACCATGGCAGCGAGTGTGTCATCTGCATGAGCGAGACCAGGGACACCCTGATACTGCCCTGCCGCCACCTCTGTCTGTGCAACTCATGCGCGGATTCGTTGCGCTATCAGGCCAATAATTGCCCTATTTGCCGGGCTCCCTTCCGTGCCCTCCTCCAGATTCGGGCCGTGCAGAAGGGCATCGCCACCCATGTGCTGCACCAGAACACGCCCACCTCGACGGCCGGGGAGCCGGCACCGGTGGACGTGCCGCCGGGATACATTCCTGTCTCGCTGATTGAGGCACTCAATGGACCGCCGCAGTATGTGGCCAGAGCGAGGACCAGCGATCACGATATTACGGACTCGGCCGGCACTGTGGCCGCCTCTACAATGACCAGCGGGGGCGACATCAAGGCCACCTCCCCCATCAAGTCCAGCAGCCAGCGAAGGCCGAAGATCAAGAAGAACGCCTCCACATGCACATCGACCAGTGAGGTGGGCACCATTACCAACCAGTCCGGTGGCGGTGGCAACGGCTCCTCCTCGGCCCTGTCCGTGGTGGAGGTCGAGAGCGAGCAGCAAAAGAAGAAGGCAAGCACGGCCACCTGCACGTCGCCTACATTGGGTGGGGGTGCCAGTACTTCGCCGGAGCTGAAGCAGGACAAGCTGCAGATCGTTAACGAGCGCAAGTATCCCAGGTCCCACGGTACCGGCTCTGGTGGTGACGCCTCAGCTGGCACCGATGACGATGTGGACAGTGAGAACGAGAAGCTTTCGCCGCTCCTTTCGCCCGGCAGCAAAGCCAAGAACATGTCCAGCAAATCTCTGAAGCAAGTGGTGGCCTGCCTGGAGGCGGATGATGTGGACAAGAGTGTAAGCGGTGGCGGTGGAGATGGAGTGTCCGAGGACAAGAGAAGCTCCTCGCTGAAGCGCACCAAACCGAGGCCAGAACTTGGCGGAGGAGGCGGTGGAGGAGTGGCCTCCCCCGTCGAGCCGCAGGCCGACGATTCGGATTATTACACGCCCGAAGATACTCAGAACTCCATACTGAGTCCGCTGTGTCCCACGGATCGAGGTGATCCTTTGGGCGCTGCGGGCATCGGCGGCAACGTACTGGGACTGGGCAGGAGTGTTGGCTCTGTGGGTGGATCAGCCGGCATTGGAGGAGGCTCCTCCGCTGGCGGTGGCGGAGGCGTCGTTGTAGGCTTCAGCAGTGCCATGAAAAAGAACCTGCACAAAAAGTCCACCTCGGTGGGCAACATGGTTGGCTCCGGATCAACGACGGCCACGGTGGTGGACCTCAAGTCCAACAACGTCAGCTCGCTGCCAGGTGACTAAATTGTGTGATATTCCCTGAATTCCCAACAATTCCAATTCTTTTTGCATTGCTTCAACCGCAGATATGCTCGACAGCCCGATTAGCGGCAACTCGGCGTCCACGCGCAGCTCCAGCGACAGCTACTCCTCCAGCTCGTCCACCAAGCAGCTGCTCAGCTCCAATCCGACCGCAACGGCGGCCAACATCATCGTGGACGACAAGACGGCCCTGCAGAATGCCGTGAACGTGTAGAGAGCCGGTCTCCGCTTTTTGTTTTAGCTTTGCGTTAACTCTATTTATTCGTAGTATCCGTTAGCTTTAGGTTAAATCAATGCTGCTTCCCCCGCCCGCAGGAACAAAAACATTAACTATATATTATACTATATATTAGGAAGGTGGTGACGATGTGCAGAGCAGAAGGACATGATGACGAGGATGTGGGATGAGCCGAACAGGACACAACACTTAACCAGTACCCAGCAGACAAAAACTTTATGATATTGAAAGCGATAGTTTTCTGCTGGGTGTACAGAAACACACACCCGTCTCTCGCATCCATGTGTACGTAGTCTAATCTAGCATAATGGCTTGGGTATATATTATATACAATATAACAAATAAAACAAATCAAATAAACTCCAAATATTGGTAAACCTTTGGGAGAAAGTAGTACATGAATTGGTAGAGAGAAGGGTATAGGACTTTTTTTTTATCATCAATAATAATTAAAATTGAGCAATATTATACAAATCAAGTTTTTTTTTTATCAAAATTAGCACATAATAATATTATTTTAAAATTATTAATTTATATTATCATTATTTAATAAATACAAGTCAAGTTTTAGAAGTTATCATGAAGTTTTTTTTTTATATAAAAATGATTAAAAATCGCTTATGCGCGAATTTGGATTGGAATATTTTGAAATCTGTTAAAGTGCTAAATTCTTTAAAATTGGATCAATTAGGACACATTTTAATGTGACAGTATAGAAAACAAAGAGTTTAGTAAATACCCATATGATTTAATAATTCGATTTTAATAAAAATTAAAACATTTTATATGTAATTGTCGAAATCTATTGTATTTCACGGTTTAAGCACATTAATTTAATCCAAAAGATGCCAAAATCTTGTCCCAATTGCCTTGCACGTCCGAACACGTCTGCATATTATTATTATTATATTAACCTAATAGTAAAAAGGTTTAAAAATAACGAAAATCTAACAAAGCTTTGGCTACAAGTAAATCTTGTTAATTGTTAAATTTTAAATAAAATGTAATAAATTCGTTATATATTCGATTAGCTTTGAATTGAATCGATAACTCTCACGTGAGCTTTCGATTAATCGGTCGGCGCCGTTGCCATCACTAGAGGTCACAATTGGGCAACGTTTTGTTTACAAAAAAAGTTTAAACTTTTCGGTGGTTTTTCGAGCGATAGACTGGATAACCGCGCCGTGAATTGTGCAGAGGAGTGAGACGCCAGCGAGAAAGACGAGACGAGACGTCAGCGTTGGGTGGCGGAGGTACGTAGGCTGCCGCAACGTTGTCCTGCAGCTAAGGGGGTCCCTTTTTCTCCTCCATGCCGTGCCGGACATGTGCGTAATTGATTTTTACGGTCAGCGGTCAGCATTATTTATTTACCAACTGGCGTTCCCCATTCTCCTCACCATTTGGAAATCCTCGCTATTCCTTTTCGTTTATTTTATTTATTTTTTTATTGGAAATCTCAATAGAAAATTGCACTCTTCAACGAAAAACAACAAAAAAACACACACCTTGGATTTTCAACATTGTTTTAGGGATTAAGTGTAGGTACAGAAATTGGGATTATTTGGGGAAACACAGACTACAGGATACATACATACATATATGAATTATTTCATTAATTTTGCTAGTTATTTCCCTATCGTTTCTTGCGTTTTGCTTAACAAACTTGAACTCGACGCGAAAGGTTCTTCTCTTCGACTGCAATTTTGGTTTCCTTCGAACATTGGGAACTGTTTCGGAAAAGTCCAAGGAAATGGGTTATCGATTCGGGGGGTTCGTGGGCCGTAGGATGCATTTTCTGGTGACTCTACTTGGGCGCCGCCCCCGTGGACAGGGTGCGGGATTTGCGCTTCTTCAGCTTGGTCTTCACCTTGCGCACCAGATTGACGGTGTCCAGGGTGATGCCCGTCTGCGACTTGTTGGCGGTCAGCATGCCGCTGCCGCCGTTGGTGCTACGCTGGAACTGCAACGCTCCTCCGGACAGCTGATTGACCACGCCCGTGGAGCTGCTGCTCTTGGCCTGCAAAGTTCCAGAGGCGGCGTTGCGCATGCGCCGGGAGCTATTGCTGCCGCCTGGCATCTTGGCCGGCTGCTGCACCGCCGTGATCACCAGTCCGCCGGTCTTGAATTTGTTCGGTCCGCGTCCGACTATGACTCCGGCGGAGTGCATGCGCCCGGGCATGGATCCAGCTCCTCCCTGGCTTTTGAGCATCATCCTCTGGTGCTGCTGGTGGTGGTGGTGATGGTGCTGCTGCATCTGTTGGTGCTGCTGCTGCAGTTGCTGCACCGCTGATCCCCCGGCACTGCTACGATTGCGGGCGAACCGAGTCACCAGCTGCGTGGTCTCCGCTATCTTCATCATGCTGCTGGACTTGCGCTTCACCTTGCCGCCGCCGCCACCGCCAGAGACCTCGGACACCTGGCCCTGCTGCATGGACTTGCCCTGTCCTATGCCAGCTGCCGTCTTTTTGGCCATCTGCATGGGCCTGAAGGCGCGCATCATCTCCCGCTGCTGCTGCTCTCGGTCCCGTTCCCGTTCCCGATCACGGTCCCGCGGTGCATCCTCCACCTTCATCAGTCGCTGCGGCAGCTGCTGTTGTGCTGGGTGGGAGCGCTTGGGCTCCTCCTGCTGCTGCTGCCACAGAATCAGCTTCTGGGAACAGGCGCTGCGAAAGGAGAATCGATTAGAAAAGCTTGGGGGGGAATTCCTCCAGCGACTCACTTAAACAAATCAACCTGCTCCAGTTTCCTCGGCTTGCGTGGAGCTCCCACGAAGGCGGGGGGCATGCCCATGTTCAGGGCAGCGTTATTGGCTGCTGTTGCTATCGGTTCCCTCCCGCCGCTGGATGGGAACATGGCTCGGCTCTGGCCGCTTCCACCGACTGTTCCTCCTCCTCCTGCACTGCGTATGGCCGACGCTGTGGTGTTGTTGGACATCTGAGTGCCGGCCATTGAGTGACCCTTGTACCAGGATAAGGGACGTCCGTCTGCGTCGCCGCCATGGGCACCCGTCCAGACCTTCTTCTTCAGGGAGAGCTTCAGCTGCAGATCATCCGCGGTGGGCGCATTTCCGCCATGTCGCTGGGGTATGAAGTTATGAGGAACACTCCTTAAAGGAAGGCAAAGGTGGATATACAAATACTAGATAGAGGCTGGTATTAGAACCCACCTTCTGGCCACCTGCTTGGGCATCGCCTTCATCGATGGCTTGGGATCGCCAATGTAGAAGTTACCCCCACCGCCACCACCCTTGCCTGCACTTCCCGTGGGTATGTCCTGCTGCTGATCGAGATTGTGCCAGGAGTAGGTACGTCTGGCAGCTGCACCCACTGACCCCATTCCACCGGTTTGCCTCTGAATCATGCCCATTGGGGGGCCGCCTCCACCTCCGCCTCCTCCTCCTCTGCCTGTATCCAGTTCTGGAGCGGTGCGCGGCGTCAGCTTGTAGACATCCATCTTCTTGACGCCGCCAGCGCCAGGTGTTCCACTCTTCGAGGGCGTGGTCACTATCAATTCTGGAGGCATGTGTGCCGGTTTCGGCTTTTGGACCACAGTGTCCCCAATCTCCTCGATGTAGCGCCGCTGCAGATCACTCTGAAGTAGCGTGTGCCGGAGCGGTGCCACAGCTCCGTAGCCATTCTGGCCGGCCGTGGGCGAGTGCTCTTCGTCATCGGTGGAGAAGTGCAGATCCGAGCCGGGATCGGTGGTGGGCAGGTCCAGAGTGGTGCGCACCACCTCGCCGCGCTTCTTTGGCTGCTTGCTCCTCACCTTGGTGCGTCGCGTCTGCTGGGACTGAATGGGTTAGATGGGGAGATTCGGGAAGGGAAAGGGTGATCGGTGGTTAGTGCTATAGGTGCTTTTGGTGGTGCTGGGAAACCCTCAACTATGTCCTTGAAATATATACATATAAATGCTTTCAAGGACTTTTGTTGATGGAAAAAATTAAATTAAATTTGAAAAAATAAGAAATATATCACTAAGTGGTACTTCTCTTGGCAGAAACTCTACCTTCTTGCGGCGATAGATGTAGATACAGCGGTTGGCCAGCCACAGGCGGAAGTTCCGGTTCACCTGCGGCTTCAGATTCACTTCTGGCTTCTTTCTTTCCGTGGGCATATACTTCTTCTTTTTCTTACTGCCCGCCTTCTTTGGCCCACCACCGCCGCCACTAACCTTGGCCAACCTCCGCTTTGCTTGCACCCCATTGCATGGGGCTTCCTGGTCACGACAGGACTCTGACTGCGAGGAGGTTATACTGTCGGTACTCTCCGAACTTCGGGCAAAGCCACCTTTTAGGCGCTTTGCCGATTTCTTTCCCAGCTGCTTGTGTTGCTTGAGCAGCTTCTGGTGCTGAGCTGTAGGGGCTGCGGAAGGAGCTTCCAACTTTGCTGCTGCCGCTGCTGCTGCTGCTGCCGTGGGGTTCACATCACTGACCTGGCCGCCTCGCAGGCGCTTGGCATTCGAGGCAGGAGATGCCGTCACCTTGCCGCCCAACTTGTGGCGCCTTCGTTTCAGCTTGATCAGCGTCTTGAATTTGCGTTGGAAGAGCGGCGTGAAGTAGATCTTGTCCAGCTCGTGCATTACCTTGCGCATGCGACGCATGCGGAACTGTGTGTGTACGTGGGTGCAGTAGTGCCGTAGTGCGGATTAGCTCAAAAGTTTAACCCATTTGACGTCACTTTTTAAAGAACTTTAGACTTCCCATACCCATCCATGAGTTATTAGTAGCGTCAAATGGGTGATGGTAGCTAGAACAATGAGGAGTCTGGCTTACCTTGCGGATCTCGTGGATCACCTCCGGCGAACTGGGCGGTGCTCGGGTGGGCGCACAGCAAGGTCCCTCCAGATCGGAGGCCGTTATCGAGTGCTTGCCCTCATTATCCGAACTGGAGCTGCAGTTGCCCTCGTCGCTAGTTGGGGTTAATTAAAGTAGCAGAGATGGGGGATTAAGGCAATTAGGGGTTAGTAGTCAAAAGGACAATTGATTATATAGGGTATAAAGTAGAGCTGGACATAAATCGATTTTTCAATATATCGCAATAATCGGTTATTGATTTATATATCTACTTTGGTCCAATATCGATCGCTACATCCATTCCTATTAGGCTATATACGGCACATACATACCTTGAGTAATCCGACAGAGGTATATTCAGTGGCTCGTCGGCACTAGAGCCTTCTCGCATCAGTCTTTCGATGATTTTGGAACGTAGCCTGTCCTGTTGTTTGAGTAAATTTAAAATCTATTGTAAATGTTAATGTATTTGGATTAGTTAGAAATCATACACTGGCGGCTAAGAAAAATATTAAATATTAGAAATGTAATAAAAATAAAATAAGGAGAAAAGCAAGCAAAATTCAAATGAATACTAGCGCTACAAGCAGATGTCAGTGACGGATATCAAATAAATATATAGTGTATTTATGTGGTATTTTTGTTTGTTTTATTAAATAATAATAATCTTCCTTGGTTATAATAATACGGTTACGACGCTTACTCACTAACTGGCAACATTGAGAAAACATCGCGAATTATAGTTAAAATTAAGTTTAGAGAGCTCTAGCTAGTGCCTGGCGATGCTGTGCTGTATCTATTTACGTTTGTGCGGTATCAAGTGATATATACATATATACTGTAAGCTGGTGGACCCGTTGCGTGGATAGGGGGTCCTTTCCACGCAGCTGGGGAGGTCAAAAACATTAGAAAACCTGCGATGCGCGCAAATAGACAGCATTCAAATTAATTCAATGCCGCACATATGTATGTACGTAATTCCCGATTGTATATATATATTCAGGGAGTCTGGCCGATGTTTTGGTGTTCTTTTATATGCAGGTTTGCCGCAGAAATTGCTCTTAATATGTTTCAAATCAATTATGTATGCATCGAAATACTCAAGGTAGCATACTTTTGGATCGCCTCTTCACAGCTATTTCTGTGGCATTCCTGATAGTGTGTTTTGTATGTGTATGGGTCAGCACAGCAGCGTTTTTTGGACACATTTCCATTACTTTTAGGCAGCGACAACAGTTGCAATTACATTACGATTAACAATTAACAATTTACGATTAACGATCAACGATAACGGGGCGACGTGTGTATGTGTCTGTGTGTGTGCGTGGATCGATAGGAGAAGGAAGACACTTCCTAGGAGACACTCTTCTCCACAGAACGCTTCACTTTCAGTTTGTCGTTCATTATACATCCCTGATCGGCCATTTTCTGTAATTTCAATGCTTTCTGTTCGCGTTTCTCGCGTTTTCTTATCTTTTTGATTTGCTTAAATAACTTTGCGTGCCGCTTTACTTTGTTTGGATTCTCATCGCAGTAGTCCAATAGTGTCTCGCAAAATGCTCGTCCCATGTGCTCGTAGTCCTGCAAATTATATCCAGGATACGCGTTTTAGTATATACACAACTCTGCGGAGCTAATAGCTTGTCTCACCTGCGTGCTGAAGTGCGTTCCCTTGCGCGATCCTAGGGAGGAGCCGCCAAAGGAGGCCTCGATCGTATAGCTGTTGGTTATGCCCAGCATCCAGACGACAATGCGTCCGGTTCCCTCCTTGCTTCGCTGGATCTTAAACTTGCAGCTCTCGAAGGAGAACTGTGGATGAAGAGATTTCAGTTTGAAGTTCTATTTTTTATAGTAGAAATAGGAGTACGAATAGTGGCTAAACTCACCCTATCCGCACTGTTCTTGTGCAGCATCAGTGGAAAGACCTGCTCAGTGAGCTTCTTTTCCGGATTCCGCTTGTTCTCACAGCCATATATGAATATATTGTGCTTCCGTGAGTGAGCGTGCATATCACAGTACATGGCCACGCCGCATTCCTCAATCAGTCTGTAAATGTTAATGTTAGCATGCAAGAAAGCTCTTTAGGTACTTCCCATTAACTCACCTTCTAATCATGGCTTTGGTATACCAAATGGATGGATATGTCTCGCGGATGACCGTGCGATACTGGCGATTAAGATCCTTGCCGGTCAGCGAGTTGCGGGTGTTGCCCACAATAACGCCGTCCGGATTTAACATGGGCACCAGCTTGAAAATGAACTTGTGCCTCAATCGCTTGGCCACCGTCGTATCACCGGTAATGAAGTCCATCAGGCCCTTCATCATCCACGATGCCGGCGTCTCACTGGGATGCACTCTCGCAGACACCACAATTGATTTTTTACGCTATATATACAGGAGAAGGATATATTAGATTGGGTTCTACTCCATGGGGAGATATACCCTCTTAGCCCACTCACCCGCATGTTCTCCTCGTTGGTGGAGGGCGCCGTCACCGTCAGGTAGTAGACATTGTTACCCGCCAGCGTGCGGCAAAGCAGGCGCAACTTGCAGAACTTGGACTTGACCGGATGCCGCTGGATCTCCATGAGGTAGTCCTGCAGGTCGCTGTACGTGTATGGGTAGCTGTGGGCAAAGAACACGGTGTCGTCGTCATGCTCGAACTCAATGGTAAAGGTCAGCGTGTACGTCGAGTTGTCCTCGTCGTCCTCGTTGGCGCTGTTGCTGGCACTTCTGTATTGCATAGAAAGGATTAAAAAGGATCATGGCGAAGGATCATGAAGACACTCACTCATCGTCGTTGCGATAGTAGCAGATGTTGTCGCCGCACCTCCGCCAGCCCTCGCTCTTCTCTTTGGCGCCCAGAGTCGAGTACATTACCGGCTGCATGCCATCGTTGTAAAGGCTGTCCGACTTGACCAGATTGACAATCGAGAAGCGGTAGAGCATTTTGCGCCGGGTGCGGCGAACACGGAAGTAGAACCACTGCTTGGAGCGGCTGGTATAGAGATCGGGACGCAGGTAGAGCTCGTAGTAGGTGGGCGTGATCTGCACCGCCTTGGCCAGGTTGCCGCTCTCGAAGCGCGATTCGAACTCCAGGCCGTCGTACTCATCAGGATTCATTGGATGGCAGTTGGTCACAAAGCGGGCCCCACCGACCGCCGATCGGCTGAACTGTGCTTGGGATAAATCGAACAGAGAGGATTGCGACGAGGCGATCGTGTCCTGGTTAGTACTCATCGAATTTGTGGTACTCGCCGACGTGGTCGTCTCCTGGCTGGCCATTGGATGCAGCAGCGTGTACTGATTCTTGCTCAGCCGGAAGACGTTACCGCCGCTTGGGGAGTTGGTGCTAGTAGTGCCCATTCCCATTCCCATGTCTAAGCCCATGCCCATGCCCATCCCCATCATTTCCAATGCCCTGGCCTGTTCTTCGTGGTTGCTTATATGATCTTCTAGGTCGCGGTGCCGCCTTCTAGCCATCGCCGCCGCTGATGCAGCTGCTGAAGCTGCCGCCGCTGCCACAATGGCCGCATGGCTGTTGGGCCTGGGTTTCGCAGAATTTCCTCCCTTCTTGCCCATCTGTATCTGGTTCTGCGGGCGGTGCTGCTGATTACCAGCTGTGAGCAGGCAGAAGGATCTGGTTATTGACAATGAAAAACAGATCTTTCTAAATATATTCGCAGGGCAACTCTGCCTTGAAAAGATTACTTGGAAGATTTTACTAGGAGTTAAAATAAATATAGAAATCAAGAGACTATATCCTGTACATTTTAGACAACTTTCAGGACTATTATTTTGTTTATCGTTGCCCTAAGGTTTAGGATTAGGGGTTTAAAGAAATCCCCTTAAAAATCCATTAATCTTTAATCGCTCTTACATGCTATTCGGCTGTTGCCCTCGTCCCCCACCAGGGTTTCCGTATCCGAAATAGATATGGCCGAGCCCTCGGGACAAGATCGCTTCTCAGCGCCACCAGACAGGCGGACTGTAACGATACCGTCCGAACAGTCAGAGTCTAGGTCGGACTCCTCGTCCTCCTCGTCGTCCTGGTCCTCCTCCTCGTCAAAACCGGAGCTACTGGTTTCGTCGGTGCTGCTTGTCCCGGAACCATCGTTCTCATTGCCCATTTTCATTCCAATTTCCCGATCCATTTCCCCCCCACTTCGCCTCTGAGGAGCCACCAATGTGGATCTAGTCCTTGGAGGACCTATGGCATTCTGCTCGAAGGCCGCCTCCAAGCGGTTCAAATTCGTTTTGGGCAATATAAAGGGTGTCACGGCAAATTCGCTGGATACCTTTTGCGATCCGGTGGGACCTGTGGGAGGTCCAGCACCATTCGACTGTGCAGGATCAGAGTCATGGTCCACGAAGCGTTCGATAACGGCCTTGGCCACCTTCTTCCCAAACTGACTGAGGACGTAATGTGGCGAGGCGGGCTTGTATTCGCTGGTATTGTTCTTCCAGATGTCATCGATGTCGCCGCTGGGATCTTTGCTGGCCTCCGACCTGCTGGGTGCCCTCGAATTTCGGGCTGTACCACCGCCATTCGGAGAGGCTGCCTCCTCCTGGTAGCGCTTCTTCTTCGCCTCGATGAGATCCTTGATGATGGCCTTCTCCCGAGCCTCGCCTCCACCGCCGGAGGTATCGTACTCATCGTCATCGTAGTAATCATCGTTGTCGTCCAGGGAGGCGCTCGTCGATCGATTGTCCACGCTGTTGATCATCTTGGACACGCTGCTATTCAGCTTAAGGCGTCCACAGGCGCCGCCGCCTCCAGCCAGTCGCATGGGCGTGGCCCGGCTGGGCGGCGTGGAGTCCTGGTGAGAGTCTGAGGAGTAGTCCGATTCATCGCTAGACTCGTCATCCCCCTTCTTCGCCTTGGGCTTTTCCTGCGTATGTGTAGGTCGGTGGTTTTAGGTTTTATTGGTCTCGAAGAGCGTTGAGTTAGTTATGGTTTGTTAGTCGCAGTCTTCGCTTAGTATAACTATTATTATTATTACAATAGTTATCAGTGAGTGCAGGTGCAGGGGGGAGGTTGTAGGGATAGCTGAGGTTTCTCGGCTGGAGTACTCACGTAATTAACGGCGCTGATCGGACTGTAACTGAACACAACTATGCCGTTCTCCTCGCCGACGGGACGTGGCTTCAGCTCGTTGCCAGTTGGAGCATTAAGCGGCTCCGGTGTCGCGGGCACGTACGGAATGTGTTTGATGCGCTCCTCGATGACCTGAAAGATAAAAAGGATAAATAATGGAGAGTGGTACTGCATCGCTATTTGACGCGTAAGGCGATAAATAAATTGATATTTCAAGGCTGGACTATATGTGGGATTATTAAAATTTTTAAAGAAAAAACTGTAAACGGAAAAAAGTAAAATATTTGTGTTATTCGATATTCAAAGTTATCGATATTTTAATTTAAATCTCGATTTGTTCCGATATGTATCTAGATATTATAAAATCAAGGCTTTAAACAGAATTTTTAAACAACCACACATTTTAGTTTTCTCACAATTAAAGGCTTTAATAACTACCAATCGGATTTAATAGTTAATTTTCTAAATTACTTTTATTATTGGTACGACATCCCGTCAAGTTTTCGTTCGATTAAAGGCACAAGGATATTAATTCGATTAAAGGGGCACACGTGCTGTTCGCTTAGGAAAAAGTTCTCATAGTTTTGTACGTCCTTGACAGGGAAATTGGCGAGTGCCAGTCATTCTATATAATGATATGCAACAAAGGATCTTTGTCGCAATTCCGCAATGAAGATTTCCTAGATGTCCCTGGCCCCAGTTGCCCACTCAAATGTCCTTTTCTCCCTGTCTCCCCCCCTTCTGCTTCTCTGTAGCCTGTCCTCAGTTGAGGCTTTGATGTCATTCGGCTGTTGTTTTTGCCGTCTTTCGTTTGTTGTAATTCTTCCCATAAGCCTGCTCAGCTCGGGCTTATTTGTTTAGCCTTTTGATATGCTTACACATGTAAGACATGCACAGTGGAACGATTCTTATTGAATAATATTGAATAATAGTAATCAAAAGTTGCAAAAAAGATATGCTTTGCCTTAAGAATATATATTTATCTCTTCTAATGTCTAATGTCTAATATTTAAAGCAAAAGTTTTCAGGCTGATAATGTTTAGTGTACTTCAAGATTAAAGCTTCGTGCATGTTTAAACGGGTTTAAGCTTGTATGAATTTTGCATAGAACCCAAATCCTTCAGATTTTTGCAGTCCTTTGCACACAGTGCAAAAAACAAGACGTTAAAACATGCAAATCTGATACACACACACAGATATACATATAAGAGAGGGAAAATGACAGAGAGAGTAGGGAGTGTGTGAGCTGGATGGCTTAATTGAAACATATCAGCGTCAGTTGTTGTTACAATCTCCTTTCTCTCTTTCCCGCTTTCTCTCTCTGTCTGTCTGTCACGTGTGCCAAAAAGTCTGTGTTGCAAATCGTGACATTCGCTTTTTGCCCGCTTTTACATGGTTCGGCTTTATTTATTCATGTTACGATTGTCTGTTATCAAACTAACTAATTAGCTTGTTTATTTCGCCTCACGGCTTTCTCTCTCTCTCTCCCTCTCTTTCGCTGGTAATGAAAATTTGCAACAAAAAAAGAAACAGCAGGAAAAAGCGAAAATGAAACTTTTTTTTTTTTGTTGCCCATTGCCAATGCCAGTGTCATTGCAAAAAAGAAAAAAAAACAATAACAAATGTCAAGTCAACACTGAAGGCGATTTATTCACTTTTGTTGTTGTTGTTGTTGTTGTTGTAATTTCACTTTTTATTTGCATTTTCTTTTAAAACGCCATGGCCAAACGGAAAGCCCAAAGGAAAAAGGAGAAGAAAAAAGAAAAGCGTAGCGAAAGACGTTTCCCCGAAAACTTTTTTGACTTCTTATTTATATTTTTGCTCTTTTAATTGCATTTTCAGTTTGCGCAACTTTTTGTGTGTAGGAGCCTGGAGCCGAAAATAAAACAAAAAAGAAAAAGAAGGAAAAGGAAGTAAGCAAACTAACGGTACCACGGCGGTAAAGGTGCAAGGAGCGAGCGATAGAGAAGTAGCTAATGTGGTAAGTACAAACTTTAGCCTTAATTTGGGTTTCTTGAGTTTCTAAATGTTATATCTTTAATATATGCTGCACAGCTGCAGCAGTCGCATTAATCTAGACAGGACAGTCTGTCCGCTTGTAAGCTAACAAGTCCCTCAGTCTCTGCTTGAGACTTCCAAAAATCTATCTTCCCGATTTGTTCAGATTTTTTTAGTAAAAAAATTGATCAACGGGTTTGTGGATTTGTATTCAATTCGTAGGCTTCCGAATTTTAAAGCTTTTGTGATTTTCATTGAGGACTTTCGATGGCGTTTTTTGCTGCTCCTTTCAAGCCACGTTAATTGACAGGGAAATGTTGGTTGGCCGCTAGCGGTGGGCTTCCTTTGTTTTCCGCCCCCCACTCAAATTGCGCCACAACAAATTGCTCAACAATTGACCTCCAATTGATTCATTTTCCGCCGCCGCCCCCCCTCCGGCTCTCCGCCTTTCGCCGCCTGTTTAATCAATCAGTTGGCCAATTCGTTGTTTGACCCCTGAGACAGAAGTCCCCTGCCCTCCTCTGCAACCCCATAAATCGTTGCCATTCAGCAGCGGCATGGCATACGCCGGGCGGAGGGGGCGTATGTGTAATGTGTAATATTTGCCCAACACAATTTGGCAGAGAATCGAATGCAAATATCTTGGGTTTGGGTACAAATAAATAAAATCGATTGTTAACAATGCTAAACGACTTGGCCAACAATTAGGCGAAAGAGTGCAGAGTGCAAAAGGGGGCTAGAGGGGGACCGAGGAAAGCCAAATAAATAAAATCTCGAAAGCGGAAACGAAAGGATTTTCATTGCACTTTATTGGCGAGCAGCGTTTAACGGGGCGCTGCCATGGGTTAAGCTAGTGTGTGCACCTTTCTTTTTTTTCTCGGTTTTATTTTATTTTTTTATTGCAATTTGACCTACATAGAGAGAGCCAGAACAGTAGGGGGAAGGGGTGCTGCCTGCCTGCGTATTATGTTACGGTCCAACTTACCTATGTCGAAAATTGAATAAGCTAGCTATCTATATATTACAAGAGCTTTTGAGTCCAAACTATCGAGTATAGTTACCTATGGTCCTGTAATAAATAGTTTTAATCGTTTTTAAAGGCTTCAACTATTAACTTTCTGAACGAAAAAGGAGCTATAAAACCATGACTTTAAATACCCTGCTGGTATTTCCTTGAACTTAGGCAGGTTGTACTGTAGTGTGTGGCCTTTGGCTTTCAGGGAACTTCCTCCTTAAAAAAAAAAAAAAAGACACCATAGCTGTAGCTAAAGCCTTAGCGAGGTCGCGCTCTTCCCTTTCCCTTTCAACTTGCCACCCAGGCCGCCTTTTTATGCGCATTAATATTTATGAGGCGCGGCACGCATGTCCTGGGACACATCCTGGCAGACAAGGTGCGTGTCAAAGGCATTCAATAAGCCATCGTCATCCCTGGGACAGACACAGCACACAAATCTAGGACAGCTCCTTAGCCTCGTCCTTCAATGCCTGTTCGATAGGTGATTCAATGTGTGTGTGTTTGTGTGTGGATTGATTGGGGTCTGGGGGATTGGGGATTCCCCCGGTTTGTTTGATGTTTATCCACTTCCTCTCACCTGGCACTCCACCGGCCATCTGGGGGCCTGCTGTGAGCAGTCATTGTCCTTGTCCTTAGGCAGGGCGAAAAGATCGCGCGGTTCCTTTAGACGTGCAACCGGTCGCAGGGTCTTCTCATCCGTGTTCACAACCAGCTGATTGGTCTTCAGGCCCTTTGAAAGGAAACTGCCAAGGAAGCCTGGAAGAAAAAGGAGAAATTTATGTTACACTTTCACAGATAAATCTAAAAGATCTTAAAAATTATTATTATTGGATTCAGTTTCGATAAACAAATTGTTTACAGCACTGGGAATATGTGTATACAGTATGAAAAGATATAGCGATTCGACCGAGACAGATTCAGTAAGTCAGCAATTATACTATAAACATTTGTCGTGCCAACAAAGTACAAAAACAAAACTGTCTCCTCTCCAGAGGGACGTGAGGGTGGTGTAGGCGCAAATCGCCATTAATATGGCCTAAATGAGTGGGAATTTTCGCAGCATTTTGGCCGCCGAAAAGCGTCAACAGCAATTAATTGCCATATGTGCGTCCCCACTCTCCTCCCACCCCCTCTCTTAGCCTCATTTCGCCAAAGATATTTCGCTTTGGAGCATTTTCCTTTTGGCTTTTGCTTCTTTTTGCTTTGTTTTGTTTGCCGCTTTGCTACTGCAACATATTTTGTTAATTAATTTTTGGTTTCTTTCTTTCGGTCTTCCCTGTGTCTGCTTAGACGGCTTTTATTAGCACATAAAAGCAGATTTTGTTTTTCAGTTTCTGTTTCTCTTACTTTTTTTTTGGCTTCTATTATTGCAATTTTTCGCTGGAATGGCGGAAAGCGTCGACGGAGATTGGGGTTGGCTGGCTTAATGTCTAGAGCAACTGTAAATCTTAGCGGGGGCAGCAGGGCGGCTTCCAGCGAAAAAGTTTTTCCTTGGCAGCAGCCGCCCATTTTCCTCCCAGATCTCCTGTCAAGTCGATTAATATCGCTAATAATTTGTCGGCTTCTTGACTTTTTATGTTTATGTCCCGCGGGAGACGGGTTTTTTATGGATATGGTTTGCTCCGTCTTTTGTGGCTTATATTTTCTTGGCCTTAAATTTAAATGCCCCAAAATGTTGTTCTCAGAAAGTTAAAACGAAAAGTTTCCTTAGAGAAAATATAAATCATTAAATTAAAAAATTAAAAAAAGGCAAAAGAATAAATGATATCTAAGAATGCAACAGAGAAACGAAAATTCAAAACAAAAGTCATTTCGTTTTAATTGGAAAACATATACAAAAAAATCTGTACATTAATGTGCATATTTTATTGATTTTTGTAGCTATAAAAAGTGTTTATGTAGTTAAAACTAATAATCTGATTTATTTTAACGATTTCTAGCAATGTTCCTTTAATTTTAGTATTTATATTTATCCAGTATATAGCAACAAAAGAATATGATCTTTTCAGGTAAACAATTTACATCCTTCTTACCCCCAGATTTCCTAGAGTTTTCTTCTAGCGATCTTTTGTTTCTCAATTATTCTGGGAAGCTGTCGCGGGGATTATTTCCGATTTTTTTCGTAGAAAAACAAACAAACAAACAAATCGGTTGGCAATTTAAATAAATATTATATATAATAAACAATATATTTTTATGTAGCGTATGTTTATCAATAAAGAGTCAAATATGATTTTTATATTTTTGTGTTTGTTTAAGGCAACAGATAGGTGAAAATAAATAAAAACATTAGGAGAAATCAAGCTAAAGCCTATTGTTTTAATCACAAAATGATTCCTGAGGTAACATAAGATAATGATAGTATGTAGTATTTGTATTTAAGCATAAATAAATAATGTATTTATATATATTTTTTTTATTTTGAAAATATTTAAGTTTGAAGAATTTTTTTATATATTATTAGTCATAAATTTCTGTATAATGTCATAGATCATAGATTGTCACTTTTTATTCTTTAATAATTAAAAAACAAGCTTACTGAAGTTTCAACATTATTTTAAGGTTTAAAAAAAAAAGTTCATAAATTGCAATAAATATATTTATTATTGCATATTTAGTGTTATACAGATATTTATTTTTAATAATATATAAAAAATTAAATGAACATACACATTTTCATATTCAAAGATTTAATATTTTCTTTCGGGTGCCAAAATCCATGAAATATAATTTAAGGATTTAGGATTCAATAATTTTGAATAATTAATTAATTTTTCCACTTATATATTGGTTATTGATAATTAATTAATTCATTAATTAGCGAACTTAGTTTTCAGATAAATTGTAAAAAATACATAGTTTTAAGCAGTGGATAAAGTTCTTTGCCCTTCTTTTTTTTTTAATATTTTGCCCAATATGTGCATTAGTTACAAACTAAATCACACATTTGTTACAATTTTGTGTTTACTTTTTGCCCCCTTTTGACCCTAGAAGAATTCTTCTTACCGGCAAAGAATTGGGCACAGACTGGCCCGCTATTCCAAACGCAGAGACGCGAAGACGCAAAGAAAGCGAGCGGAGAACAGAAGACGACGCTGCACAAAAGTGGGTGGCGCGCGCACAGCTGTTCGCTTCTGCTTGATATTTGTTGTTTTTTTCAAAAATTTTGAAGCACTCAAAACAAGTAACAAAAAAAGGGGGAAAAAAAAGAAAACAAAAAGCAAACAACAAAAATGATTGCAAATAGACAAAAAATTATATAGACAGGCTATAGATAAACGATTTGGCGGCACACTTTCCGAATTTCCGAATATATTTGAGAATTTGACAAGTCGCGTAAGTTCGCGCTTACTTTGCGTTAGTTTTCCCTGAATGCCGATTTTCTTTATGCAGAATCCAACTTCAAGTTGTCAACAATTTGTGGTTTGAAATATTTTCGAATTTCGGTTTCGATTTCGGTTTCTCGGACTATTTTCAAGTTTATTTCGCTCGGCGGCTGCTTCTGCTTTATTTGTCGCTTGCCGATGCGCGTTTTCTTGTTGACTAAAACGGAAAACCCAAGCGAATGTGAAATGCTCAAATCTGCCAGCGTCGCTGCCGCGGCTGCTACCGGCGTCGCTGCCTGCGAATATTATTTAATGCGAAAGAGCATGGAACCCCCCAGGCACACGGACACACACCCACACGAGAGAGAGAGAGAGAGTGGGCTAGCTGAGCTTTTGCACTTTCGCTGCCAACAAGCAAGCTTCACGCGCGCTCAGCTGTTCTCGTATGCATCGTTATCCTGCTGCGTGAGCGCGCTCTCGTGTGTTCATGTGTGTGTGTGTGCTCTTGTTGCCATTGTTATTGTTTACAAGGAGCTTTAGCTTAAAGTTCCGCCATGACAGCTGTTCCAAGGATGTGTGGGTGCGTGCTTGTTTGTGTGATCCTCAATTAATGAACAATGATAATCCGTTTATTGCTCTCAGCGGAAAAATAACGCTGTTCTCGATTCTGTTTCAGAACAAGCGAGCGAGGGTTTTAATTATAGGATTCACACAGGAATGTGGGAACATGAAATTCTTAAAATTGGACTTTCGTTATCCCTAAATTAAATTATAATGTATCTATCACGTGTAGAGAATTTTGCTGACTCTTAAGTTAGAATTAGAAATTAATTAATTGATGTATTTATTTTAGGAAATTGTAAAGATATATTTTTATAATCCCCAATTTATAAGGTTAAAATAATAATTAAATTATAAATCGGGTATTACTAGAATATTATCTTTAACTTAAAAAAAGAAACATTTAAATGTTTATTACTCATACGCAGTGTTGGCGATGTGGATATTCTTTGCCATTCAACGTCTGATTGCGGCTTTGAAATTTGTGATTTATTCTCCATTTAAAATTCCACTTATGCACACACTAGCACACCCAACAACCCACCACTTGAGCTGCAGTTTAAGTGAAATGACAAAGCTCAATAGGCGACCTTGACCTTGCACCCCAAATGCATGTGTTTTGTTTGTTGCTTATTTTTTGTGTTTTGTTTGCCTTTGCCGTTGATTTTAGACGTTCTCTGTTTGCTTTTTGACCGCAATTTGGCGAGCTTTTAAAATGCCAGTTGTCGCTTGGATTGGTACACTTAGAAAATAGGATTGTGAAAGGTCTTTAATTAAAAAAATAATAATTTAGAAGCAAAATTCGTGCTTTAAAGATTTGTAGTTCCAAGGATAAATATTTACAAGGGTATACTTAGAATCAGCAGGACATTTTCTTCGAGTGTATGGGCCACGAAACGACGCGATATGGGCAAATTGACAGGGACACAATAAAACCGCTTTGCTTTCATTCATAAGAAAAAAGCAAAGAGCGTTGAGAAAAGGGCTACAAAGCTCGCTCTGCTTGCAATTGTTGCGCCAACTCTGGCGTCACTGCTGCCGGCATCGCTGCCGGCGCTGGCGTTGACGCAGGAATTTAGCATTAATTAAATTTTTATGCTCAAATGCAGGCGGCAATCGAGAGCCAGCAGATCTACAGATAAAGCGATCTGGGGCCGCCCGATCGCCTCTAATTGCAATTTTTTGCATATTATTTACTTAAATTGTATTATTGCCCCGTAATATTTATGGCATTTTGTTTATCCCAATCGCAGGCATTCGGCCAATGCCTTTGCGGCCCAACAGATCCCCATCCCGAAGCCTATACGTCTATATCTGAATGCATACATATGTACATATGTACATATATGTATCTGCGAGGCGCAATTTTTTGCCAACCAAAAATATTTCACAATTTTTATTTGTTGTTTTTTTTCGCTTTCGTTTGCCTTGAAGATCTTTGTGTTTTTTTGTTATATGCAATTTTAATATTCATGAAATCTGTATAATAAATTTCGTTGTTACATTTTGCATTTCTTTGTTTGCAATTTCTCCAGACGCATTTATGTGGCACGGCCACCCACCATTTCGTTCTATTTTGCCTTATCCTAGGGGTATATCAGTTTTGGCAATGGGTTTGTTAGTAAAAAGTAAGTTAATTGTTATAAACGAAAATAAAAAAAAAAAAAAAAAACTGCCGTGTTGCTAAGCCTTATAACAGTGGGGGGCAACAAGAAAGTTGCCATCTTCTAATAATATAACAAATTGATTGGCATTTGTATTTTGATGGGCAGCAATTGGCTTCCGTATTTCACAAAGACAATCGTCAATTAATTAACCTCGGGTTAGACATTAACCCAGATACAAGTATTTTACTTCGGTAAGGGGATTCCCCGATTCGCAATCATCGGAAACCAATTCAACCTGCACGGATATGGTATATCTGCTATTCCTGTTGCCATCAGACCCAAACCGCAAACGAATTTCCACGCTAGAAATACCGAAAATACTCAAGTCAATGAACATTAATGAGTTAAATGGCCTCTGCCTTTGATTTATGCAGGTGGAGGAATAACGTTAATCGCAATTCAATGAACCGAAATATATGTAGGTTCGAAAGTCCTATAACCAAAAGGGACGTTGACAACAGGCAACGACTTTGATTTCCGACTTGCGATGCCCGGAATTTGTGTGTTAATGATTTTGTGTGTTGGCGTTTCCATGACAGCCGCAAGTGGAAACCTGAAAGTTAAACAGTTTTGCGGCTAATTCTAATACCCATTTATCCGCACTTTATCCAATTGCAGGAGCGAGCACGATAAACGGCAAGGCAGGAAGGAAAAGGATCCAACTATCGAGCAACGAATCGCAACGAAAACCACCTTTAGTTCAATCAATTCCCAAAGGCTGGCCATGTAGTACAGTGGAACCTACCTGTAGAATAACAGCGACCACTTAACGAACAACAACACACCGAGGTGCCCTTAGACAATCCATTTGTACAAATCAATAAAAAAAAAAGAAATTGAAAGTGAGTATACTACATTTTGAGTTTATTTATATTCATATTTTTTATTTTTTAAATTGAAAATTCTATGGAATTTAAATCAATTAATATGGTGCCTAAAAGTATGCAATGCTAGGTATAAAATGTATTGTTTTTGTAGATACCCAGGGTAATTAAGGGTTTTATAACATATCCATATCCTAGAACATATAAAAACTGTAGCTAAGTTTGTTATAAAATTGATTTAATGAAGTTCAAAATGCATTTTTTAAGTTAGAGCATTGACTTTCTTTAGAATTTACATTCAATTCTTGATACCCTTTCAAATTTGTTCTCGTTGAAAATAATATTGATAAATGTTTGAGATATTCTGTAGCAAATATCAACTTTGGAAACTGATATATTTTGTATAAGTTGGCAAAACGAGGCACTAATAGGATATAAATAAAGATAACGCAAGTATTCAAGAGGTGCAATGTTTATGTTTTTGTCTCTGCATTTACTTTTGCCTCGTTTCGGTTTACAGTTTAAGTCTAGGGAATATATACATAAACATAGATCTTAAATATAAAGAATAACTTTTATTAGGACAATTTGACTTGAGTTTTATAATAAAAGCTAACATTTACCTCCATTTGACGTGGTCAGCGTGCAGACGGGAAAGAGCTGGGCCTGCAGAAACTGCACACGACCGCCCCCAAAGTCCATGGTTTATACTCTATATATATATATATACAGTATAGTGTATATAGTGTTTCAATGCTTATGGCATTATTGTGGGAAGACCGAGCGGAAGACAACTGGGTAACGAACGGGAATATATGATTGAAACGGGAGCACTGCTGACTACTACTGATTGATTGATTTGATTTCACTTGATTTCGCTTCACTCGCGTTTGGCACACATATCGAAAAAATGCAAGAACCACTGAGAGATGATGATATATACTTTGTAATAGCCTTTGCCGCTGAGGTCCTTATGCAATCACTCGCAAAAAAAATGTAAGAAATCAAATGGACGATCCATGGAGGAAAGGAGTTTCGTGTTTGTCGCGGCGGCCACTCGATTCGCATTCGCATTGCGTTGCGAAATGAATGATAACTACTGATTTCACCGAACTGCCACTGTTGTGAGCCGCAGTCGATTATTCGAGCCGTTCGTTGTGAGCCAACTCGAATTTCCACTGCGACTGCTAGTGGGCTGTTATAAACAAATAAACAAAGCGCTCGCTCCCTCGCTCGTTCGCTCTCCTTCGGCTGGCACAGGCACTGGGCTCGTTGTCTAATGTTCCATGTTCCAAGGAAGTGCAAGGTAGTCCTGGCATTCCACACACACACACACACCCAGGCATATCTATATAGACCCTAGAGCAACCATGCCGTGAACATGAATTCGATTCGATGGCTCAAACAAAGCCAAAGGCAACCAGCCTTGGATACGCCAAAAAAACACAAACTCCGCCCGCTCCTCGGCGGAGGAGTGAATGGAATGAATAGGAATTTGTGTGCATACATACGTATATTCTAACGAGCAACAAATGTTTGCCGAAGGATATATAGCAGGGGCTTGCTTTTTAGGGAAATATCAGGACCCAGCCTAGGGTTTCCAAGTGGTTTCTCGAGTTGAGTGTTTATTTTTTTGGGTTAGAAACTATATATAAAGTTACAGTTTCAGTGATTAATTACTTTTGTGGTTAATCTTCTATTCAACTTAATTTTAGTGTTTATTTTGAAATATACATATATATATATATATATATCTATAGTTACATAGCCTGTTAACTCCATCTTTGAAACCCCATTTTAATTCGATTTATATTTTTTTATTTATTATAATATTTTTCAAATAAATTTTATATCTTTGAAAGAGAACGATTTAAATAATAATTATTATTAATTATTTTTCACATCAATTAAATGTGTTTTCCCATTTGTTAAAATTCATAATTTATGGACCATTTAGCTGCTAGACCCTGGCGATCAGCTGCCGCCGCTTCTCCCTTTCAGCTGGCCAGCGGCAAAATAGGGAAAATATATAGTCAAAGCGAAACAAATCAAAGCAAAGCCTCGATGCCAAACAAATTTGTCAAAGTCGCTCCCAAAGCAGTAGCAGCAGAAGCAGCGGTAGCAAGTGCGAGGGTGAATCGAAGAAAAGTCGGACGGAGGAGAACCGTGGGAAAATCCATGGCAAAACTTAGGCGAATAGCAAAGGCGAGAGCAAGGGGAGATGCAGACCAGCGGCGGCTGTCGGACATGAAACGAACAGGTGTCAAGAGAGAAAGAGAGAGCGGGTGTGAGAGATTTTCCTGCCTATGGGGATTATGTCATCGAAGTGGATGCAGAAAGCGTGCAGAAGAGGAAGAGTCTGAAACGAGCAATTCTTCCTCTGGCTTTTGTGTGTTCAGAAGAAAATAACAGCAATGATCTTGATCGTGCAATTTATGTGTTTTCTATTTTGGCAAGCCGCCGTGACTGCCAAGGCAAAAGAAAAGAGAAATAAAAATAAAAACGAAGAGCAAAATCTCTCACCGAACCGTAAACGCATGCCGCTCCCCCCTTTACTTCCCCCCTGGGACACCTCTCCGCCTTGCACCGCCCCTTTTGGCCCTCGTCAATCATCGAATTGTGCCAGCGATTAGCTTTCGCCACCCCCAAAACCCACCGTTCCCCCTGTGTTGTGCCACACATTCGGGCTGGCACAGTGATCACTGGCTGTAATGGTCGAGCAAGACTACTTAAGTAACCTGAAGGCTCTAAGTAATCTTTTATAAAGGCCAAGAATATGTCCTTTCTACACAAAAACATGTTTAAAAAGTAAGGATAGAACCAGCTAAAATGTTAATAAATTTCTAATCTATCTAAAACAAAGTTTGATTTAGTTATTGCCCACTGTAGACATTTTCTCGGTCGCTTTTGGCTGCTCTAAGCAAATTAACAAATTGCAATTAAAAATTTCCGTTTGCCATATTTTGGCAGCGGGCGACATGTGTGTCTTTGTTCACACAAAAAATAAAATCACCCGAACCCATGGTATCAGAATCCAAATCCAAATCTTAAAGCGGAATAATAATTGTGACAGAGATAAACGATGTACACGAATTGGAAGTGAAAAGCGAATTATGAGTTGGCTGAACAAGTGGATATCTGCCGATATAGGCACTCTCGAAGGAGTGAGTCATTTATTGTTATCCTATAATCTTGCACGAGGCGATATATATTTTTCTACAGGAGATTGCCACACAATGGAACAATCTGCTACCCTAGAAAATTGATCAATTTGAACTTGGGGATATTATTTTAACGGTTTCAAATAATTACAATTGCTTTTTTTTAGGTAAACATATAATTCTTGGTAACATGGCGTATGAGTAATAAATAAAATAATAATCACTCATACGCCTAGTGTGCCATATAAGTATTATTTCTGTAAATACTTTTTTAAAAAATTTAGCCTAAAGCAATTAACTGTTTAATTTAAGTTAAAATATTATTATGATTAACATGGCGTATGAGTAATAAAGAAGACAAAAAGTGCGCCATAATAAAATTTTTAACCAATTTTTTCACAATTCGTCGTGGCTTATAGAAATATCCTCTACCCTAGAAAATAATAAATAATATAACTGAGTTTACTAATAATAACTTTTTTTTTTAATATTATTCTGGCTAACATGACGTATGAGTAATACATAAAATAAAAGTCACTCATACGCCATGTGAACCACATTAATATTTTTATTGCACTTTTTTTTTCCCCATACTTAATACTCTTTTTATGTTTTAAGCTAAGGTTAAGTTACTTATATCCCCGAAAAGTTAACGTCAACTAAAACACGCTGACGATGGTAACCTTCTTTTGTTATTTCTTTGTTCCACTTTGCGAGCTATCTCACATCAAATTGAATTGAATCTTCATTATCCGGCGACAGCGCTTGAGTAAGCATCTTGAGTGGTTCAGGGTCGTGAGTAATGGTAGTGGGGGTTACTGGAATATCTAACGGCACTCACCGTTCACATAGTCGCCGAGGACCAGAGAGCATTCCATGTCATTGCATTTGAAGTTGGCTCTCACCACATTCACATTAACGGTGCCCTCTCTCTTAAGCTCATCCTGCTCCTCCTGTGCCTCCGTCCCTGTCTGCTCTACCGTTCGCTGCTCTTTGGGCACGTCCTCCTCCCCCTCCTCCTCCTCTTCATTCTCGCTCTCTCTCTCCAGTTTTCCATTGTTGTCGTTGTCATTGTTGCTGTCATCACTGAAGCTGCTGTCACATCTTTCGCTGGACGTGTTATCTCCCCTCTCCTTCTGGCGACCACGCAGTGGCTGCAGGTGGGCGAGGGGACAGCGACGTCGCGTCATTGAAGCCGAGCTTAGAGTTCGCAGCAGGCGAGAAAAGGATGCTGATACCTCCCGCGCTGCAGCCTCTCTCGCTCGCAAGCTTTCTTCTTCCATGACAAAACACACTCACTCAAGGACGCGGACACGGACAAGCACTTGCAAAAAAAGAAGAAGCCGCAGATGACGCGCGTGCCTGTCCGGCCTAACGGTTTATCTCATGTAGAGTCAAGTCGAGTCGAGTCGAGTCGAGGCTCTGGTAGCACTCTTCTTCGCTCAGCTCAGCTGCTAGCGCAACGGCTGACTGAAGCTACAAAACCAACTAAACTCGGACGACAATGGTGGCCTCTGTCGCTGCCGCCGACGCCTCTGCCGCTGCCTTTGGCGAAATTGCGAATCAGAGTAAACCACGGCATTAAAATTGTTGCTGCCACAGCGTTGCCTTTGTGCAAGGCACCGCACCGACCAGGAAAGCAACAACAGCAACCAAAATACACAAAAAATAAGCGACGAAGGCCTAGGATCAAGCACCGGTGGAGTAAACACTCTCACAAAAAAATTCTCAGCCAACTAGAGTTAATAACAGTATTGAAAAGATAAAACACTATTTCTTGGGATTTTTCTTTAAATATTTTATAAAAGCGTTAAAAGTGTTTACAAATAACACAGAAATATTTATATATCTATATATTTCCACATCGTTTAGGAGTTTTTAGGAGTTATTACTTTAATCTCATAAATACAGATATTTTTGTTAGAAAATCTTATAATAAATATTAAAATAATTTCATCTCGATCTAGATTTCAACTAATATAAATACCATTAGCTAGAGTATTCGAGAAAAAAAAACTCAGAAAAAACAACATAGTTTTTCGTTATTTTGTTGTAGGCCTACTACACGTGGCAGAGGGGGGCACTGTAACCCCTTTGAACCCACACCCACGTCAAAAAAAAAAAAAAAAACAAGAAGAAACCCCAAGCCCGCCCGTGCAACTCCGCTGTGATTAACATAAATTGCGCACGACATGGGCTATAAACAGCGCAACAAAGAACCCTGCCCCCAAAACCACCGCCCACTCCAGTGCCTCTTTTACCCCACCACCACCACCACTTCAGCTGGCTTTGTTTTGCAATTTTAAAATATTTCTATATATAATACGAAATATGCTTACTAAATCCCGTTTGAGCCGGGACAAATGCTCATGTGGTCCTGGGTCTTCTTCTCCCTTACCATTAAAATCCCGCCATTTCAGCCCCTTTTCTGTTGCCTGCTTTTGGGACGCGTGAAGGATTGCCACCAGTGTTGCCGAAATTCGAAAGGCAATTATAATTATAAACTATAACTAATTTACTAAATGTAGATATAGAATGTTTTCATTATCGAAAGAATATCGAAATGTTTGAATATCGAAATGGAAGTGTTTCCTTACTAGTCCTTAGTCGAGCTTTTCAATTATTTTACAAATTACAAAGTACTTAATTGTTGCAGTTACAAATAACAGAATAATCTGCAAATTAATTCATCATCGCCGCCATATGTTTATATTCTTAATCCTATGGCAAAGACTCGACTGGGTTTGGCATCAATAAACATTTTCCCGAAAGCTTTTGACATTTATGTACCATTTCAATTTAGCCTCAAGTTATTTAAAAATGTCATTTGGCGTTGACAGATTGTTGCGATTTCGAAATGCAATTTTGTTAAGTACAAAATGTAAAACTTGGACATCTTCCACAAGATAAAATATTTAATAAAGTCTAATAATAAATATAGTTATCGTGGTAAAATTTTGTAGAAAAATCCAGGATTGATAGCCAATTTTGGCACTGAAAATAGCTGATTTGGCAATTCTATTGACTCCTTCTCCCAGCTCTCAAGCTCTTTCCTCTTTTTTTTTATGCCGCGCACCCGCGCTATTTGTGTGTTTTTTGCATGGCCCGCTTGGCACCAATTTTTTAGCTCTGGGCTTAGTTGTTTTTGCCGGAGATGGAGACGATGTCGGCTTATTGGCATTTGACAGCGGCCTGGCAGCGGCAGGACGTCCTTAGAGAAGAGGTCCTTACGGGCGGCTCAATCTCAATGACTTGGCGGTGGCGCCACGCAAGGGAAACACTCTGTCGGAATGTGGCACAGATCCCCCACCCCCGCAAAGACTTCTTAACCCATTTTGCAGTGTACACACACAGTTTATTAGCCCCCTAGCACAAGCCTAATGTTTACAGTTTGTAAGATAAGATTTTAAGAAAAAAATTACTAATTAAACAATGCCTTTGTCCAAATATCGATATATAATCGATATATAATAAAATAAGTAAAACTAAATTTGAGTTTAAACTTTGAAGAGTTATTTAATTACTAATCAAATAACGATTTAAGAAATAAATCTGGTATAGAGCTATCCTTTTTCAGTTCGCCATAGTCAGTCTCCGATTGCCAACGTTGTTATCGATTGATAATCGCGAAAATAATCAGCCACTTCCGCTGGCCGTCACACCTACAGCAAACCATATCCGGCGGCGAAGTTTCCACGAGGCATCATGTCGTTTTTGTCTGCAATGCGTCATTAGGGCCCGCGGTGGTAACCCAACCCCGGGTGGGGTACCCAACACTTTGGTGCAACACCAACACAATACCCAGTGGCACCTCCATATACAACAATACCCAATCCTTGATTCCCAAAAATCCCCGGTAGCCGTAGCCTTGTCGCTACCCCCGGGCCGCCTCGCACTCGCTTGCATGTCCCGGCGTTGTCATTTCGCTTCACCAATTGGTTGCGTCTCTCCTTCATTGTTTTTTCCATGCTCCACACTTTTCTATATATACTTATTGTTGTGTTTGCTCAATGGTTTCGTGTAGTATTTTTGTATTTTTGGCTGCGGCCGCCCGCAGTACAGTGAAGCCCATCCGTCCGTTCGTCCTTTGCCGCCTTTCAAGTCAAGACAGTGACAAGAGCCAGAATGGGGCGGCAAAGTGCTTGGCTTTTCCTTAGTCCTTAGTTCTTTTTCGTTTTTAGTTTTTCGTTTTATTCGTTATTGATATGCATTTAGAGCCGAGCCCAAAATAGACGCCAGCACCAAAAAAAGAAACAATTTTGCAAACTATTTACGGTGGACGTCAGGCGTCAGGTACGTCAAATGGCAGGCGAAAAAAAAGGAAAAAAAAAAAAAAACAAAAACTGCGGCAAATTTAACGAAGTGGCGGCGCGTTTTGATTTATATTTGGGCACTTTTCGTATCAAAGGTACCAGCCTAATTGATTTTATTAATCCTTAAATTGCTAGATGAATTAATTCGTTTTGTATTAGGATTTGGAAAACTTGAGTTATATATTTTAGTTTGCAAAATATAGTTTTACATACTTTTTATGCCCTTGCTGGGTATTATAGTTTTAATAAGAAGTTTGACCTTATCAAGTATATCATGATCAGCATCAACAGCCGAGTCAATCTAGCCATGTCCGTTTCTAGACAAACTAGTCCCTCAGTTTTGAAGCTACTATCTGAATGAAACTTTGCATATAGTCTTTTGACTACACTCACTACTATATAAGTCGGAACGTTCTGGATCAGACGACTATATCATATATCTGCCATAGAATTGATTGAAAATTTTTTAGAAAAAAACGTATAACATGGCTGTTTTTTTAACACATTTTCCATTATGTGTACGTTTATAAATTTCCTCTTATTTTTTCTATTAATTTAACCAAACTAGATCAATTCTTAATGATACAATTGCAATCTGCAAGGGTATACAAACTTCGGCGCGCCAAAGCTAGCTTCCTTTTTTTCTGGAAAGCATTAAACTCTTTAAAAAGTAACACCCTAATCTCTAGTTTTTATATACAAACGGAAAGAGCTACAGCTCATGCACCACACACACGATTTGTCGTTGAAATCTCCAAAGAGCTTCGTCGACGCGTTTATGCTGCTTTCTTAACGCCATGTTGAAGGCTATCAAGGATAAAGCCAGGTCTAAAGCTATCAATATTCGGTTCAACTTGTATTTGAACCAATAGATAATGTTTCAAGTCAAAAATCTCTATCTCTCAGATCCTTATCCCTAGCCAAATGGCAACTTACCCTCGTTCTGTTTGGACGGCTGTTGGTGGTAGGATTCCGTTGGTGCCGTTGCCATTGTTCTATTCTCCTTGTCCTTGACGCCCTTCTGCATGCTGGCGGTGTGGATCTTATTGGGATCTTCAGGTTAACTTTCTCCACCCTGGTATCGTCCTTTCAATATTAGAATTTTGATATGGATGGCACGCGGTGTAAACGAGGATGTTATGGCGCCTGTGTGTGTGAGTGTGTGTGTGTGTGTGTGTGTGCGGGGTTATACCTTGGACAAACTATGTGAAGGAACGAGCTTTTTGTGGATGTAGTCTATATTGAACTCTAAAGTGTGTTAAGGATGGAATCGAACTGTGATCTCGAGGCATGCTTTTCGCTGAAGGGAAACAAACAACAGACCAGCTTGAATTCGATTTTTGTCCAGGCACACTGCAAGTTTTTCTAACAATTTATTTTTTACATTTTAGACACTGAAAAAAAAAGGATAAACAAAAACAAGGACTTCCTCTCAGAAAAAGTCTAATGTTTATCACAAGAACATTGAAACTAGAGGCATTTCTTCGAGTGTACATTTCCGGCGGAACGAATTTGTTAACGGTGAACGGCGTCCGACGCCGGATACCGGGTGACTGGCTGGCTATTGGCCACTGGATGGGATCGGATGCCGCTGGAAAAGCCGGAAAATTTGTTGTTGTCGAAGAACGGCAACGGAAACGGAAACGGAGCACTTCGTGACAATGCGACGCGGGCTGGCAAACAAATCAAAGCGAATTAGTTGCATTAGTGGCAGCTATCAGCGGAAAAGCGGCATGGCGGCGGCCGCTCTGCTCCGGGATGCGACGTTGCTACCAATGGGCTCTCCCTGTCCCCAGGCAGCAGTTCCAGTTTCAGTTCCCACTTTCCCCGAACCGCTGCCAAGTCGGGAAAGCGGACCAGCTGGCGTGCCAGCACCTAGGAGCCACAATGCACATGCGAGTCCATTGGGAAACAGGGTGTCCTTGGGTTCACATCCGGCAGCTGCCTAAAACAAAGGTTTAATCTTGAGTTGAATTACCTAATTTACCAATTTTTTAATTTGTTTATTTAGAAAGTGTTATAAACTTTGTATGCCCGGATAATCGCATTATTTTATACCAATTTCTGGACACTCTGTATGCCAGATAATCGTATGTACTGGCATATTTATCAGATGCCCCTTCCCGTCCCTCACTGCGCCACCATTGGTGATTTTGTGCCATTAAAATTGGCTGCCAATTGGCAGAAGTTTTTTCTTATATTTTTTTTTAGCTGCATTCCCGCTTTCTCCAGCCTTTTTGTTTTTTATTATCCCCCCAGAAGCTTTGCCCTTTGCTGCGGTTCAAAGTTCAATGCATTTTACTTGCGACACGCACACACCTAGCCCCCATGACCTCCCCCTCCCCCACAGAAACACCTGAGCGCTGGTGGTGTTGTTGTGTCCAATTCCCCCGCCAGAAATGGCTATTTTTTGGTTTTAATCTTTAATTAAAGTTAAGGAATTATAATAAGTTAAATTTAATAATTAAAAATTATGTGAAATATCTAGAAAAATTTAAGAATTTAAAAAGATTTTAGCAAGAATGGTTTTCACGAAATATATGTTGACAATCTAAGCGCTTATGGAATTACCAAAAGTTCTTTAAAACTTTTATTTTTGCTTTAGTAATACATTTAAAATATTTTATATTTATAATATATAATATACTCAAACTTTAAGACAATGTTAAACATTTGTTTTAATTTATATTATTTTTGTTTTTATATTATTTCCCATTTATTTTGTATTTAAGTTAGCTACGTTTCTAGCCTTTGGCCTCATCGCTATAAAAGCTTTTTAGTCGAACTGCAAAACTGACAGTCCATCTCACACATTCCCCTACACACATGGAGGCGTCGAAAAATCCTAAACGCAACTTTGTCAGAGACTCTCCAGGTGGAAGGAGGCGAAATCTGAGGGCTTAGGGATAGTAGTGGCTGGGGCCCGGGAGAGTGCTCCTGTCAGCCGTCAAGCGGGAGAAATGAAATATGCGCGACTTCTACGGGCCAACTAAATGAACTCTGAACTTTATGCGAAATATCACCACCTGCATGCATGCATGTGTGTACCTGTGTGTGCCTGTGTGTGTGTGTGCTGCGTGTTTTAAACTTTTGCCGCTTGGCAAAGTAAATTTGCATACGGTTTTTTCGGTTAAGTGAGACGGGGGGACAGGTGGTGGCAAAGAACACGGTAAAAAAAGATGTAAAAAGTGGGTGTATGTATAAGTTTTTTAAACTGAAGAGTATGAGACCTTTTTAAGCAAGCTCTTAGCTTAATTTATATGTTTTATTCTATTTTGATTAACTATTTATATCAGTGCTGGGCGAAAGATTTAAAGAAAAGAGCCATTGCAGGAACATTGACCCACAGAGAGAGATGTGCGTTGAGTATAACACACGATTTGCTTTTGCAAGACTCTCTAGAGAGTCGTATTCTTTGCTTTGCTTCAGGATATATATATTTGATAATTAATTTATGAATATCAATAATTAAAATTATATATTATTATTTAAAAAATAAATAAGATTCCAAAGCTTATCATAATTCCTCTGTGTAGCATTTGGCTTTCAATTTTTGCAGCTCGAAATGCCAAAAGTGCGTCACGAATGATAATATATGGGAGCTGGGACAGCAGTCTAGGTGAGGAAGTAGCCATAGCACCGGAAATTCCACAACTTGATGGGGAATTTCCGAAGTGCTACACACACTAGGGCGGGCTAGAGGCCAGGGATTAACCCGAAACAGACAGTTTTAACCCTGCAAAACAACACTTGAACTTAGGAACATCGGTATCTGAAGCCTTAACACTATTTACACTGTTTTTAGATATTTTTACATTTTTATTAGATGATAAAAGAACATGAAGTCTTGGAATTCTAGCTAGGAAAGATAAAATACCTATACATCGAGGCTGAATTAATATGTTTCCATATAGAAGTCGATATTTTACAATATACAAATGATCGATAAATCGATATTCTATTTGTTATATCAAACCCATTTAATCAAAAAAAAAGAGAGCCAAATAAATAAAATAAAATAGTTTGTATATTTTTCGATATATCGATTTTGGCATTAATCGAAAAATATTTTATTAACATTAACTCCAATGTTTTTTGATTAATGAAATAATCAATATTCTTCGATTAATAAAAAAAATCAATATATCAAAGTTTACAATATTTTCTTAAGGATAATGACCGGCATACCATATATATATTTTATATAGAACATTTCCTCTTCATATAGTAAATTTCTTGTTATAATCGAGAATCCTTATCGGTGGACTTTTAGGTGACGAATTCGCACTTGGGAATTTTTATTTGATAAATATTCTGTCATTAATATATACTTTAAATATATTGGTTTCATTTAAGAAACAAATATATCAAAAAATATATAAATTTTTTATAATATATGTAACATTATAGCCATACATTCCTTATTTTTACAACTTAAAAAATATATATCTCCTGCAATGGGTTAATTTGAAGTCATTCCGGCGGCTGGCTCTAATTTTAGATGCCGGCTACGTCAGCAGGCCCATTTCGGAGACCGGCTTGTTTGATCAATAACCCAGATATATGGCCATAATAGCAACAATGATGGCAACAACAATGGCAATCGCACTGGCAACAGCCAGCCTTAAAAATCAACAAAGCCCACACAGACGAAAAAAGCCGTGAGACCGCCGAGTTCAATCCGAATTCGAATCGCAGCCATCAAAATTAATTGCAACCGCATTGTGCAATTAATTAAAGCCATTTAACACTCGCTCCGTTCTTCCTTCCAGTTGATAACTGCCGAATTTTCTGAACAACCAACGACAATAAAACGGGATATAAACAAAGTGCAATAAGGACATAATCCCAGGATACAAGGATACAGCCAAAATGGGACGCAAAGTGACCGTGGCGGTGTCCACTCTGAACCAGTGGGCCCTGGACTTTGAGGGCAATATGGCGAGAATATTGCAGTCCATCCTGGAGGCCAAGGACATGGGTGCCAGCTATCGCACGGGACCCGAGCTGGAGGTTTGGTAAGTTCTAGCTTAAGCCTATAGTGTCATTTCCCACAATAAGGAAAGAAATTAAATGAAATAGAGGCTAAATCTTGGGGATGAGAAAATTTGTGGGCTACTTCTCATCTTATTCTACAAAAATCCTCACTTTTCCTGAGCTTTCTCGCTTCTTTTGTTTTTCCCACAGCGGCTACAGCTGCGAGGATCACTTCCGCGAGCCGGACACATTCCTGCACTCGTGGGAGGTGCTGCTGGAGGTGATGATGTCGCCCATCTGGTGAGTAGGCAGGCATCTTCTGCCATTTGTCCTGATTAACAATTCAACTCCCCCAGCGAGAATATGCTGGTGGACGTGGGCATGCCGGTGATGCACCGCAATGTGGCCTACAATTGCCGGGTGGCGTTTTTCAACCGCCAGCTCCTGCTGATCCGGCCCAAGATGGCCATGTGCGACGATGGCAACTATCGCGAGTCACGCTGGTTCACCGCCTGGACCAAGTCCCTGCAGACGGAGGAGTTCGTTCTGCCGCGAATGATTGCCCAGCACACGGGCCAGCAGACGGTACCGTTCGGGGACGCCGTGATAGCCACCAGGGACACCTGCCTCGGCTACGAGATCTGCGAGGAGCTGTGGAATGTGCGAAGCAAACACATCGAGATGTCGCTGGCAGGCGTCGAGCTGATCGTCAATAGCTCCGGCAGCTACATGGAGCTAAGGAAGGCCCACATCACCACCGATCTGATCCGGAATGCCAGCTTCAAGGCCGGCGGCGCCTATCTCTTCAGCAATCTGCGTGGCTGCGATGGTCAGCGGGTCTACTTTAACGGCTGCTCGGCCATCGCCCTGAACGGGGAGCTTTTGGCCCGCGGACAGCAGTTCGCCCTGCAGGATGTGGAGGTAACGCTGGCCACCATTGATCTGGAGGAGATTCGTGCCTACCGCGTTAGCCAGCGTTCCCGCTGCTCAACGGCTGCCGGGGCGGCCGACTATCCGCGCATCCACTGCGACTTTGAGATGTCGACGCACAGTGACATCTTCAAGACTTCCACGCCGCCCCTCAACTGGCCGAATCACACGCCCGAGGAGGAGATAGCTCTGGGTCCCGCCTGCTGGCTATGGGACTACCTGAGGCGCTCGGGACAGGGCGGCTTCTTTCTGCCCCTGAGCGGGGGCGTTGACTCCAGCAGCTCGGCCACCATCGTGCATTCCATGTGCCGCCAGATAGTCCAGGCTGTCCAGCTGGGCGATGCACAGGTGCTCCACGACATACGCAAGATACTGGCCGACACGGAATACACGCCGGATAATGCCGCCGGGCTATGCAACCGCCTGCTGGTGACCTGCTTCATGGGCAGTGTGAACAGCAGCAAGGAGACGAGGCGGAGGGCCGCCCAGTTGGCCAACCAGCTGGGCAGCTATCACATCGAGATCAGCATTGATCTGGCTGTGAATGCTCTGCTAGGGATCTTCAATGCGGTCACGGGTCTCACGCCCCGCTTCAAGACGCAGGGCGGCTGTGCCCGCCAGAATCTGGCGCTGCAGAACATTCAGTCGCGGATTCGGATGGTGCTGGCCTACATCTTTGCCCAGCTGATGCTGTGGGTGCGCAACCGGCCGGGCGGACTCCTGGTACTCGGCTCAGCCAATGTGGACGAGTCGCTGCGAGGGTATCTGACCAAGTACGACTGCTCCTCGGCGGACATCAATCCGATTGGTGGCATCTCCAAGATGGATCTGCGTCGGTTCCTGATCTACGCCAAGGATAAGTAAGTGATGTCCAGATTATAGGGTTCCTGGGCTGGTTCTAATCTATTTTCTTTTAACTTCAACACACAGATTCAACCTGCCGGCATTGGAGGGCATCATAGATGCCCCGCCCACAGCCGAACTGGAGCCGCTGCAGGAGAACGGGGAGCTGCAGCAGACGGACGAGCAGGACATGGGCATGACCTATGCCGAGCTCTCCGAGTACGGACGCCTGCGCAAGCAGTCCTTCTGCGGCCCCTACAGCATGTTCTGCCGGCTGGTGGCCACCTGGAAGGGCGACCTCAGTCCCAAGGAGGTGGCCGACAAGGTGAAGCATTTCTTCCGCTGCTACGCCATCAACAGGCACAAGATGACCGTGCTGACGCCGTCGGTGCACGCGGAGAGCTACAGTCCGGATGACAATCGCTTCGACCATCGGCCCTTCCTCTATCGCCCCAACTGGAGCTGGCAGTTCAAGGCCATCGACGATGAGGTGGACAAGCTGCAGCCCATCTATACGCCTTCGTCGTCGGCTCAGCTGCGTCCCAGCAGCGAGGATCTGCTTCTCTCTACGCAGAGATCCTCGCACCTGGACGACTCCAAGCACTCCTCGCCCCTGTCCTCGGCATCTGCATCGATTGACGTGGGCATATCGACGGCGGCAGGGGTTCCACTGCCGGGCGCTGCTGCTCCAGGCGGCGGTCTCTCCAAGAAGCCCAGTGGATACTCCAAGGTGCATGTCAATGTCCTGGGCAAGATCAAAGACCGCACAGGAATTCCCGTCTAAGAAACCGAACGAACTCGCAAAGCACTGTTAAAATTATACAAAGTAAACATTTTTTTTTTTTACCAAGCTTGATGTCCTTACTAAAAAAAAAGAGAACAAGCTAAGACCGTAGCGTTATATACATTTTTCTAAGATCTAAGACATACGTTTGTTAAAACTTAATCTATCAATTTTATGTGACTATGTGCCTTCTATTGTTCGTAATGCTCCGCAGTTATGGTCCTTAAATCACTCTGATGAAGTACTGCCATACCAAGAAAATTATATCCCAAAGAAAGTTTTATCCTGTTTCCACTTATATATCTCACATTTTCATGTTTTCCTTAAATTACTTAATTCATTAATTAGGGATTGGTAAATAATTAAATTAGAGCCCAAATCGTATTGATAGCAAGAGTAGCGGTTGGAATTGAGGGAGTCGTGTGCAGGGGTGACCCGGAAAGATACTATATATATAATTAATAGTATCGATTAAATTTTATAACATTTTTAAAACTCTTTTTTTTTTAAGTATTTTTTCTAGCAATTCTAGGTTAAAGTAAAGCTTAGCTGTAGAGCTGGAAATTAAACCGATTCTATAGTAGATTAATCGATTTTTTAAAATTATGCTATATAAATTATCGATATACATTTTCAAAATCGATTTAATCGAATTCATGTTTCTCTTTCTGAAACCCCAACCGTTTCTATGGCATCCCTGCATATGGCATTGGTACTTTGAATTGAATATAGCTCATTAATTGATATAGCTCGCATCTAACCGATATAGGAATTGAGCAGTTCGCCTAAAACTAACTAGTATTATGAATTCCATATCAAGCACTCGGCACAACTCTAGCTAAAGTAGATCACCATTATCCTAGGTGTAGTTTATGAACTTTCCTAACCCCCTTTGAAGGTGTCACAGCCTTCGTAGCGTCTTTTTCCAGTTGGCCTTATCTTAACGAAAGTCTTTACTCATGCTCAAAACAAAATTTGTACAGCAGCAACTTCTTTGGCACTCACTTATAGTCCTGGGTTCGCTTTGGATCATTTTAATACATTGGTAGTTCTCAAGATACTTTTTCCATTTGTAAAATCGCTACACTATAAAACCAAGGAAGCGTCAATTACAACTAGTGCACAAAGCATAAATATTTAGGAACTATGTGTATTAACTTGAATATAAAAAACACGCTTTAACAGGCCACAAACCTCAGACCAGAGACCCGAGAAAGGCATTGATATAATACTATATAGTAGCTCGCAGTTGTTGTATTTGCGAGATCAAGAGTTAGTTCGACTTTTTTAGGTACTTTATTATATATACAACAACTTTATTGTACTCTTGCGTTGAGCACCCAAGATATTGGTCGAAAATGTTGCAACTATTCAAGTATTTTGTATTCAATATTTAAAGTTCATTTGTGGCCTTGACTAATTGGTTGAATTCATGGTGGAATTAAATTGGTTTTTAAATTGGTTTTTTAAATTCAAGTGAATGTGGACGAAACCTGTACTAAAATTGAGTTATCAAAAGTACATTTCAATGACCTTTTCTTGGGTGCCCTTTTTTCTGTAGTAGCATGTAGGTCTAAAGCACATTGTGAATTTGAACACTCGCATCGCATCGATTTAATGGAACACTGATTGTAGAGTCTAGGAAATATATACACCAGACATTTTTGTAGTTTCAATTGGCTTGACTATTCGCTGGGCGGCCCCGCTTGCAGAGCTCTTCGACGCTCGCCTGTGGATGGAAACCCGTCCAGGAGATGATCGTACGGAATACTTCCCGATTGAGGCGTCTGATAATACGCACATTGATCTTCTTCCCGTGAATGGCGTCCATCTTGCGGCCACGCAGGTGGTCCAGTACCAGTTGACCACGAGTGTGGACTCCGGCTAGCTCCACGGCGGCATAGTACTCGCTCTGGTCGAGGATCATTGCTTTTGGGAAGAGATAGGCGGCCGTGAGTGCGGCATCGGGATTCCGCCACTTTGTAATGCCACGAGACACCAATATAGATCGCTCCACTCTGGTCAGGAGCTCGACAAAGGGATGCATCCCAGCGCCCAGCTCATTCAGGCGCCAGTCGAGCGTCGGGGTAAAGTCATCATCGCAGCACGGCTCCCAGGGCAGGATTAGGGCTGGCTCCTTCAGCCGCTCGAGAGTCGAATGAGCCGCCTCGGGATCCATCATGAAATTGAACTCGGCACTCTTGGTGATGTTGCCCTGGCCGTAGATGTTGCCGCCCATCATATACACCCCGCCGATCTTGTCCAGAAAGGCGTCGTCATAGAGATTGATGCAGTTGGCAAAGTTGGTGAGCGGCCCGCACAACAGAAAGTCCACTTGTTTGGGATGCTGGCAGACCAAGCGATACATGGCATTGACGGCATGCTCCCGCTGCAGTTGCTCCTGCCAGTCGGCCACCTCCGGATAGTCTCCTACGTCCTTGAAGCCATCACTGCCGTGATAGCGCGAGGTGTTTGTCCAAGTACGCGGGACTAAGGGCAAAGCACATCCCTTGAAAACGGGCACATCCATCCTGTCCAGCAACTTGAGCACCCTCAAGGCATTCAGTGAACCGTTCTCCACCTCCGAGTTGCCTTGGACACAGGTGATGGCAATCACTTTGTGGCGTCTTCCGTCGGGCAGGGACAACGACTCCGCTCTCAGGAGCATGGCCAGGGCCCAGGCATCGTCTGCACCAATGTCGCAGTCGAAGATGACCAGGCGTTCCTGCTTGCCACTGTCCATGGCTGTGTCTGCAGGCAACTGCTGGTGGTTACCCCGGGGTCTTTTGTTTTTGATAAAAATATTTGTTTATAATATATGTTATACATATATGCATCTGTGTATGTGAGTAGATTTTGGTGTGTTATCTAGTGTGGCTTTGTTTTTCAAGACCGCATTTCTCTTTATCTTTCTTTGTTCTAAATTTTTATTATATTTACTTTTGTCTTGCAGTTTATATGCCTGATCTAAAACCAGACATTTCTTTATTTTTTTTTTCGTAGTTTTTATTTATTTTTTACTATGAATGTCCAATATCTTAAGCATATTTTGTCAAAGTTTCACATCGATCGTATCAAAATTGACGAAGTTATGAGCAGTTGAACGGAGGTCCGTTTGGTCTTCAATGTTTAAGTATCAAAAAATTTAAAATGGTTTCCTGAAAGGTGCCATTTTGATACACAATAACTTAGCATCTACTGGACGAATCGGTTTGAAATTTGGCTCTAAATACTTTAACAAATTCTACAGATACTCACGTCGTTTTTTTTATTTTTAAATTAATTATATTTTTTATTTAACAAAGTAGTTTAATTTTTTGTCAAAAATCGAGATTTTAATTTCTAATTTAAATAAATAATAAGGAAAAAATGTAAAAAATAAAAAAAAACACTTGAGCACCTCGGCACACTTATCCTTTAATGAATGCTATATATATTTTTTTTTATCAAATGATTCTGAGGACAGTTGGAATGTACACCGAAAACCAACTTTTTTTGAAGGGCACTCGGGAGATTTCGTATAACTCCTATACCTCTTTATATTTTCCAATACAACATTTAACACAAAATTGTTTAAATGTTATTTAATTGAATAAGCTAACTTTAACTGTTTTGCCACGACAAATTTTTGAAAAGTCGCACGTTTGGCACCGAGTTAACCATATCCCACCCTTAAGGGTGTTAAGGGAATTTTCCGCCTTATCAATGCCTGAAAATTGGGTTATCTTCTACGTTTACTATCTACTTTCTTCCACCCTACGTGAGCCAGATAAACCTTGGCCATAGTTAATACCACAACATACTTCAAATAAAAGTCTTCGTATAATCTCGCCTGATGCCTTATCTAACCATAAACTCTGATTAGATCAGAGGAATGGCTCAACCAGAGATTACAGTTCGTTCAATTTGTTCTTTTACATAATTTCCCCTATATCTATAAAGGTTCCTAGAGGTTCCTAGCACAGCTGTGCTATATCCGTCTCCGGCAGGAATCCCGTCCAGGCGATAATCGTGCGAAAGGGCTCGCCATTCAGACGTCTGATGACCCGCACATTGCTCTGCTTGCCGTGAATGGCATCCACCTTGCGGCCACGCAGGTGATCCAGCACCATCTGGCCGCGGGTATGCTCCCCGCTCAGCTCCACGGCGGCATAGTACTCCCTCTGGTCGAGGATCATTGCCTCGGGGAACAGATAGGCGGCCGTGAGCAAGGAATCGCAGCTGATCCACTTCACAAAGCCGCGCGGCACCAGCATTGATCGCTCTGCTCTGTTGAGCAGCTCCACAAACGGATGGCGGACCGCTCCCAGTACGTTCAGTCGCCAGTCGAGGGTTATTCCAAACTCGCCATCGATGCACGTCTCCCAGGGCAGGACTAGAGCCGGCTGCCTCAAGTGGGCCAGAGATATGTGCGCCGCCTCGGGATCCATCATGAAGTTGAACTCGGCGCTCTTGGTGACGTTGCCCTTGCCCTGGATGTTGCCGCCCATGATGTACACCCCACCGATCTTGTCCAGAAAGGCGTCGCCATACAGGTTAATGCAGTTGGCAAAGTTCGTGAGCGGCCCGCATAGCAGGAAGTCCACTTGTCCGGGATGCTGGCAGGCCAGGCGATACATGGCATTGACGGCGTGCTCCGGCTGCACCTCCTTGTCCGCGTCCACCGCCGGATAGTCGCCCACGTCGTTGAAGCCGTCCATACCATGGAAACGGTAGGTGTAGCTCCAAGTACGCGGCACAATGGGATTGGCGCAGCCCTTAAATACGGGCACCTGAGGGGAGAGGGAGGAAATGAAGTCAGTTGAAAGGGCCAACAGTCAGTGACTTACATCCCGCCTGTCCAGCGTATGGAGCACCCGCAGGGCGTTCAGGGTGCCATTGACCACGTCAGTGTTGCCCTGAACGCTGGTGATGGCCACCACTTTGATGCTCCTGCCGCCGGGTAGCGTCAGCTCCTCTGCCCGCAGCATCATGGCCAGGCCCCAGGCATCGTCCGTTCCGATGTCGCAGTCGTAGACCGCCAGGCGCTCCTTCTTCTCCATGCCAAACCGATCGTGGCTGTTTGTTGGTTAATAATTTGTTGCTCCCGCAGAGCCGGCACAGCTTCTATCGATTGCGAGTGCTGTGTTATCGCCAAGAGGTTCCTATCGCTATTTTGGCCACCAACAAATAAGCTTAAATACAGTGGATTTTTGGGCAAATGGTTTATAGGGAACCGTAGGGGGCTTCATTGTGTTCTTTATATTTTGAAAATGGCTCTCGAAAGCCATTGATCGCTGGAATACCAAATTAGTTTTACTTAAGCTTTTAATTTAAAACTTTGAAGAATAAACAAAGCCTAATGTTTAATTTTTGTTTAATTAAAGCCCTGAATTTTGGCCAGCTGTTGGTCAATGTTGTGTTTCTCAATTCAGCTGAGTTTCCGTGGTGAATTTCATTGGAAGCCGACTTCATGTTTTAAACAAATAAAATAAAGCATTAATTAAAATAAAAGAAGCATCAACAACCGAGTCGATCTAGCCATGTTCATCTGTCCGTTTCTACGCAAACTAGTCCCTCAGTTTTGAAGCTAACTGAATGAAATTTTGCAGATAGTCTTCTGAGTACTCTTACTGCTATATAAGTCGGAACTGGCCGGATCAGACGACTATATCATATAGCTGCCATAGAAATGACAGACAAATTAGCCGAAGTTAGCTTCCTTTCTTGTTGGTAGGTAATTTAGCAGCTGTTGGGGAACTTGAGGATGTTTTTTTGGAGTTTCTATTTGAGGGGTTGTCTAATGTGGTGATAGGGTTGGGGTTGTGGCGGAGTAGGGAACATTGCATGGTAAGGGCAGGGAAGGGCAAATAATACAGGTAGTTTTTTGTTCTCAGTCGGGTGATGATGATTTGTTCTCTGTTTAGGGCGGGTTTGTCGTTGATAATTTACTGATTTCTTCATTGTTTTTCTGGTAGCGTTAGTTTTAAAATGTGAGATATGTATATCGTTTGAGTTATGGTTAGGGGTGTAGGTTAAGGTCTTTGTTTACTATACCCTATAAAGCATTTCAACCCTAGATCAGCTTTGAATCTCAGCTTGATTTCAAAAATATATTCCCCCTTTTTCAAGACTCTTTTAATTAAGTTAAACTATGTGTATTATATGCCATCATCCAAGCTAGAATATGCAGATTACGAAAGACCTTAATACTATATACTATGTGTTAAGTGGCTCCACACCCACATTACAACTAAACAAGTATTCTGTATAGTATGTCTGGGGTTCTGCAGGGGGAATCTACATAGATTAATCCAAGTGTCGCAAGTGGGCGATACGACTTTCGTCTCGTGGCCTGTTATTATCGCAACGACCTGCCACAAGAATTATTAATATACGTAACGTAATGCTGGTCCCAGTTGCCCTTCGTCGCCGAGATTTATTAAGTTAAATTGTAACGTAAACTCAATTACCTTCGGCACCATTCTGGGATGTGGATAATCCGGAATTCCCACTTGGGTTGTATTTCTTGTCTTTTTATAGTAAGTTTAGTTTGAAAGTTGAACTAACTTTGAACTGATAAAATCATAAATTAAATATTACAAAACTATTATTATTATTCAAATAATAATTAATATTAAGTATAAAGAAAGAAAAATAATATGGTTAATAAAAGTCATACTATTTGGGATTAAAATATATCCCATTAGAAATTGAATTCTTTTTCTATAGGTTCATTTTTTTAATATATATTTTTTGTAAATTTTTATAAATACATTTTTATTTCAGGTATTCACAGATCATAGGTTCCAAAACTATGTAAAAACTAGTAATTAGTGTTTACGTTTGGATTATCTTTCCATTTGAATCTTCACGTTCGAACTTTCCCGCACTGATAAGGGTATTTGCCTGTCGTCCAGCCAGAGAGAGAGAGAGAGGGAGCACCCCGATTCCCGCCGAATCCCACACACACATCCCCATCCCCCGTCCAGGCTGGGCGCAACTGATTCACTTAACAGCGCACTTACAGCACAGATATGCATTGCACACATGGCGGCGACTTATCGCACATGTGGGCACGGAATCGGGAGTACAGATTGGACCACGAATCCGGAGGGCAGGGCCGGAGAGGCGTTGTGAAATTCCCTGATACGACTAGAGCTGAGTGAAACCGATGACCATTCACCATTCACCAATTGCCGGCGATGGCAGACAGACGCACAGCGGCAAACGGCGGCGGCGACGGAAGCGGAGATGTGCCCAGATACGCCATCCTGGACTGTGACGGTGGCAGCGACGATGCCTGGGCGCTGCTCCTGTTGCTACATGCGGCGGAGAGCCATGGCATCCATCTGCTGGCGGTGACCACACTGGGATGCGGCAATACCAGCCGGGAGAGTGCGGCGCGGAACATGCGACGGATACTCGAGGCCTCCAAGCGCACAGACGTAAGTAAATATAAATAAAGAATATGCATTCGGTAAACAAATTCATGGGAAAAGTATATGGTATTCCGAGTGGGAGAGAGTGGCTGTCTTAAATTTAACTCTTTTGAAACATTAACATTGCTTTGCCACAGGTTCCCATCTATCTGGGCGCCGTGGATCCCCTAATCCCCTGGAGCGAGGACGACAAGAAATACTTCCATGGCCGCGATGGGTTCGGGGATGTCCTGGACGATGCCACTGATCCAGTGGAGAGCTTTGTCCGGCCGGAGCATGCAGTGACCGCCATCTATGATCTCTGCCGGGCGAGGCCCAAACAGATCACTATTTTCGCCGTGGGCCCTCTGACGAATCTGGCCCTGGGCTATACCATGTATGGCAAGGAGTTCGGGGAGAACTTCAAGGACATTTTTATCATGGGTGGTAATTACCAGGGCGTGGGCAATTCCTCGCGAGCCGCCGAGTTCAATTTCCATTCGGATCCGGAGGCCGCGCATACTGTGCTGCAGAGGAGCCGCTGTCCCGTCACCGTCCTGCCCTGGGAGCCCTGCACCCCGGAGAAATTCAACATACCCATAGTGAGTACATACACCGACTTCTGGGAAGGATGCCCCCAAATTACTTCTGTACTCCTTCATCTGCAGGACTGGCGCCTGAAGGAATTTGCCGCTAGGGCCGAGGATGCCAAGCATACGGCCATCACGATGCTCAACCAGGTGGAAACCGCTCAGTGGCTGCCGATGATCGAGCAGTACGGGATCGAGACGTGGAATCCCTGCGACGCACTGGTGGTGGCCGTGTGGCTCTTTGAAGATCGATTCATCTGCAAGCATAGTACCTGGCACGCGACCGTCGACCTCCGGGGCACCCACACCCGCGGCCAGATGGTGCTCGATCACCTGCGGGAGCGGGAAAGGTATCCGGAGAATGTGCGGATCATTGAGCACGTGGACGCGGAGTTCTTCAAGCGGATTTGCGAGTGGATAGCCGGCCTGAATGACGGTTGTTCGCTGCTTGGCGACACGGCATAATAAATCCATATCTGTAGTAATATTCCCGCTTTTTTTTTTGTCATGTTTTATTAATTTTTTATTTGCTCGTATTTAATTTTTATTGTCCGCACTGATAAGGAGCCAACACATCACCGAGTACAAGAGCTAGTTGGTCGCGTAAATTAATCGTTCATAGTTCATTAAGTTAAAAATAAACAATTTAACTTCTAAATGGCGCCAATTTTTAATAAAAATCAAACAATAAGTTTCTTTTTTCAAAGCTTAAAATTTGAAAAAAACGGTTTGGCTTATAGTGTGGCCATACCGCTGCAATTGCTCACAATTGCGTTCGCTAGACTATCGATTGCAAAGGCCTATCGGCCTACCCTCCTCGCTAGCACTGAAGCTCGATATCGATAGCAAAAGGGGCAAATAAAAATAAATCACATTCGCGAGTGTAATATGAATTAAATGGTAAATGTTGAAAAACCGCGACAGGTGTTGGTAACCAATGCAGTTTGCCGCATTGTTGTTGTTGCCTTAGCTCATAGGCCGCTGCTGTAAAAGTTGTAGCCGCTGTCACGGTGTTTCTTGGCGCTGTTCTCTCGCGTGTGTTGTTGTTCGCTCCCCCTTCCACCCCCTCACCTTGCTATAAGAGGGAGCTGCGGAAGAAAAACCAAAAAAAAAAAAAACAACGGCAAATCTATTGATTTTTAACAATACGCACATAGATAGACACACGCACACATAGCCGAAGAGGAGTTTAGTGTTTTCCCACGGCTGGCGCTAGCAGCGTGTCGGCGACAACAAAGGCTGCACCACCCCCTGCCACCCCGTGTGGGTGTTTGTTGTTATGTCTGGAAGTGCATCAGCAGCAGCTTCCTGCGTTTTGTTTTGCCTGCGCGAGAGGACTTTTGGAGGCCAAGTTTACGTGCGCAATCACACACACGGACGCGCCAGTTATCCATATAATACACACGTGTGTGGCATGTAGTGTGCGTGTGTGTGTGTGTGTGAAGTGTTGTGTGTCCCCAGATGCCTGGCAAGAGTGGGTTAATTGCCCGCATTGATTTACCAAAGTGGCCGCGGGCGGAGCAACTGCAGCAACAACACCACTTGAGCCTGGGCAACAACAATGGCAGATAAAGAACGCTGGCACAGACTCATCGTCATCATCATTGAATCATCACCAAGAGGAGCTTACGTACAAGTGTAGTTGGAGTATTCAAAGGCAAACTGCCGAATCGAACAGAGATTCTATGAGTGTTTTATAATCAAATAGCTTAGGCCAAGGGAAAAGTAGAGAAGTATTAGAAATTTTAAGGGTTTTATCAGCAAAAGAGTGACTAAACTTTAGTTAGCTACCAGATATTAAGTGCATCAAATCCAAGTGTTCAGGTTGTAGTCTATTTACAGTAAGCTGCTTTATTGCGTTATCGAAGCAAACTCGATATATAAAACTCGATATAATAATAATGAGAATTCGGCGATTTTTCTTACAAGAGCACTCTGGTTTTGCAGATCCTCGAAAGTTGCAGTTGATATCCCCGTCAAATCCCTGATCTTCGTCATAGTTACTTATTGTTTCTCAATTGCTGATAATATCAGACAATCCTCTCTGTTCAATTTTCTCATTTTCGATCATTCTTTCGCTCGTAAATAATTATTGATAACAAGCTGTCAATCAAACGCAATAACTCGAGTTAAGACAGTATAAACATACATATATTTTACTAGAGCTAGAAATAAATCGATTTTTTTCTAAAAAATTCTATAATCGATTTAAAATCGAAAAAATTGTAGATATATTTATATTATTATATTTGTAATTTTATTCTAAAAACTCAAATGTCGTAGCGCATAATTGAAAAAAAAATTGCTTATGGAATAGATTTTATTTCCAGCTTTACATTCTACATTATTGCATTAGATATCGATAGGTAACTCCTTTGATTCCAATACTAAGTTTCCCTGAAAGCAAGTTTCAAGTAGGCCAAACTTAAAAATTAAGAACAGTCATAATAATAGCCTTTCCTTTTGAATTGGTTTTAATTTATTTTATATATATTTTTTACATTAGATAGAGTTATCTGTGTGAAACTCCAAAAACCAATTAAGAACCCCAAAGAATAATAGAAACTTCTACCATTGCTTTTGCCAGTCTAAGCTCCAAGTCGCAGCACCCTTTGTAAGAGTAATTCCAATTACAGTCTGCCCCTCCTTGCCATGGACAATGATGATGATGATGATGATTCACCATGGGCTCCATTAGATCATCGGCTAATCCAACCTCCATTTTGTTCTCCACCAGGCAGTGGCCCCCAGGTGAGGGCATGTCAGCAGCCATCGCAGCAGCAGTAGCAGCAGCGGTCGGAGCAGCAGCAGCCACATTAGAGCACTAGCAATCCAGTTCCCAGTTCCGATTCCGATTCCCAGCCGAACCAGACATGAACTCCAATTCCTGTAGCGACAGCAGCAACGAGTCAATGGCCAATCCGCAGATCCAGCTGCCGATGGGCTTTGGCCAGCAGCCGGGGAAGCAGCAGCCGCAGGAGCGCTATGTGTGGGAGATGAGAACCCGCAGTCCGAATGTCACGCCGGCCAGCACCGTTCTGAACTCACCGGATCTGAATGCCGAGCTGCCCTACGTACCCATGCAGGGGCAGAGTCCCTCCGTGGGTGGCGGCGGTCAAGGACTAACCGGCTACGGGCTCTCTTCGGGCCGAGACTCTGGCAGTTACTACTACCAGCGGCCGCACTTGCACCAGATCCGACTGGGAAGGAGTCCGGGCAGCCAGTTCGAGTCCCGGGATGCCCTGCCCCAGGGACTGACCAGTCCCGGATCGCCCACGGATGTGGGCAAGGCGGACGGACAGTGCCTGAGGGATGGCGAGATCGTGGTGTTCGATGACATCGACACCAATTGGATGAACAAGGCGTCGAGTGGACAGCGTCCGCTGGGCAGCAACGAGGATGTCCTCAAGGTGACCAAGATGATTGGCCAGCTGCCCATTGCCGAGTACGAGGGATCTCCGCGTCGCTTTGGCGGAAATCAGCCGAACAGCGTTCCCCCACGGAAGCGTCCGCCGGGATTTCCCCAAAGGGTTTCGCCCACAACCAGCAGCAATCACACTGCAGCCAAGGCGTCCGTGGGCAACCTCATTGACCTGATTGACCACGAGGATCACGAGGATCGAGGCGCCAGAACGGTGCGGGAGGAGAAGACCCCAACATTCGATTACCTGTACGAGTTCTCGGAGACGCGCAAGGTGCTGGAGGAGTTCTTCAAGGCCAATCCGGAGGACGAGAAGCGCTTCACGGACTACACCACAGAGAGTGGCGACGATGTGGCCAGTTCGGTGAGTTGTGATGGCGTTTTGCGCCTCTTATCTCTTTTTAATCTCATTTTTAATTTGGCAAAAACAGCAACAGGAGTACCCAAGCACTCCCATGGAGCAGGCGTACATTGGCCAGCGTCTGGCGAGGATTCCCCCAAAGGACGATGAGCTGTTCCTGGTGCACAGATCGCCCAGCAAAAGGCCAGCAGTGAGTTATCACTCCATGAAACTTTTTTGTATAAAAAATTAAAGTTTGAATCTTCAGCCCAGTGACCCGAATGCATCGCTGCAGAATCCCTACCAGGAGCAGCACAACGACATTGAGCTGTACATTGATTCGAATAGTCGCAGCAGCGGCGATCTGGCCGACACCGAGCTGGAGGCCAATCTGAGGCGACACTCGCGAAACTTCACCCTGTCCCCGGAGACCACGGACTACGACTCGAACTGCGGCGATCTGGACAGCTTGTCCAACGACATCAACTGCCCCACGGACTATGGCAAGCTGTACACGAGTATGCCGGTGCTGGAGGACGGCCTGAGCAGCGGCCATGCCTCCGATACCGAGAACAATGTGTCGGTGATTTGCGATAAGCAGTCCCAGTCCCAGTCGCATTCCCAATCCCAGCCAGCGGTCCTGGAGCACAACGGGAACGGGGGGGAGCGACTGGAGAACGAGTACAATGCCATGAGTGCCAGCATGGCCACGCTGACCACAGATGCCTCCCAATCGGCGCTGATAAGTGACTTTGCCTCGCTGCCCATGCCCATGCCCCCGGGACCGTCGCCGCCCCAAATAGAGATTGCGGATCCCAGCGAGTCGGTGGTCATACCCTCGGATGGCGAGAACCCCCTGGACAGTCACTACGGCGCGGTGTATGCAGCGGCTCTGGGCGGAGACTCGGGATCGGTTGTGGAGAAATCAGGACAGCCGCAGCCACAGCCGCTGCAGGAAATCCAGGAGGCCATGAAGGAGATACGCTCGGCATTGCAGCGTGCCAAGACGCAGCCGGAGAAGCTCAAGTTTTGCGATGAGGTCCTGCCGCCGGATCCCGATTCTCCGGTTTGGGTGCCGCGCAAAGGAGCGGTTCCGGCTGTTCCAACCGAGGAGGAACCGGACACGGATCTGGAGACGGATCGGTTGCTGGGCCAGCAGCAGCAGCAGCAGGACTTTTTTGCCGATCAGGTGGGGAAATTGAATATATTCTCAACTTCTGCCTTCTCAACTTATAAATTTTTGTGACATTTTCAGCCTCTGGCGGCGGACAGCAATGCGAATGAGGACTCGGAGATTGCCGCCAGCAATGGTCACCTCAACAATGGCGCCTTGGACAACAACAACCCGAATCTGAACTCGAATCCCGTGTGCAATCTCAAGCCCCATAGCTATTCCACATCCACCATACGCCAAGGTATTGGCACCTCACTGACGCCCAATTCGCCAGACATATGCCAGATTGTGGGCACGTCGGCGGCGGACATCAGGACATCCATAAGCTCGCCCGAGAAGCTGCAGTATAGCAAAAGTCCCACGGGTTCCATCAAGTCGCTCAAGGATTCGGCCAACTCCGACAAAAAAGCCAAGTCGCGCAACAAGGAGGGTGAGTAATAGTTGGCTTTCTAGCATTAGATTGCGTTGCAGCTTACTAATTACCATTACGAACATTTCACGCTGCGCAATTTGTAAACATTTTTGAATGTGATGCCATGTAAGTTGAGTTCGAAATGCTTGCGAGAGGGAGAGATGTGGGAGGAAGGGATGTGGGTAGAAAAACGTAGAAAGAGCGTAGAATTCTGAATAAGGCAATAAGTGAATAGAGCATTAAGGCACTTTTGGGGTTAAATTTGAGAACGAGCTATGTTTAGTTCTTAAAATTATATCAAAAATGATTCAATGATTTACTTCTCATAACTAAAACAATGGTTACAATATTCCCTGTCCTGTGCAGGTCTTTTGGAACCCAAAGTTCTTATCGAGGGCGTGCTGTTCCGTGCCAGATATCTTGGATCGACGCAGCTGGTGTGCGAAGGCCAGCCAACCAAGTCGACCAGGATGATGCAGGCCGAGGAGGCCGTCTCCAGGATCAAGGTATGTGCAAAATAAGCCCTAAATCTACAGATCAAGAGCCCCTCCGACAACCCCGCTAGGCTATGCTCTATGTGTCTCTGTCTAAAAATATTTCTCGTTCGCTTTTCTCGTTCCCTGCTGCTGCGCATTCCTCTATCACTCTGTATAGGCTTTGGTAAGAGATCGATCGATCGATCGTTGTGTTGGCCCCCATTAAGAACCTAGTGCCAGATATCCCCCGAAATTCGAGTCCTTTTTCATGTTTACCTTCCGTTTCTTAACCAGGCTCCCGAGGGCGAGAGCCAGCCGAGCACCGAAGTGGACCTGTTCATATCAACCGAGAAGATAATGGTGCTGAACACAGACCTCAAGGAGATCATGATGGACCACGCTCTGCGCACCATATCCTACATAGCCGACATCGGTGACCTGGTGGTGCTGATGGCGCGTCGCAGATTTGTGCCCAATAGTGTGACAACGGAGCCCACTGTGGTGGCCAGTACCACTGGTGATGCGGTGGTGCCGGGTGCCGAGGATGAGTCGCCCCCCAAGGAGCAGCAGCAGCAGCACAGCAAGCACAATAATCGCACGCCCAAGATGATTTGCCACGTCTTCGAGAGCGACGAGGCGCAGTTTATCGCCCAGTCCATAGGACAGGCCTTCCAGGTAAGCCAACTACATCCCCAATAGCCTTTGGTTCACTCATAACTGGCCATATCAGGTGGCCTACATGGAGTTCCTCAAGGCAAATGGCATCGAGAACGAGAGCCTGGCCAAGGAGATGGACTACCAGGAGGTGCTCAACAGCCAGGAGATATTCGGCGACGAGCTGGAGATCTTCGCCAAGAAGGAGCTCCAAAAGGAGGTGGTGGTGCCGAAGGCCAAGGGCGAAATCCTCGGCGTGGTCATTGTCGAGAGTGGATGGGGCTCCATGCTGCCAACTGTGGTGATAGCCAATCTAATGTCCACCGGTGCGGCTGCCCGCTGCGGTCAGCTAAATATCGGTGACCAGCTGATTGCCATCAACGGGATGAGCCTGGTGGGCCTGCCGCTGTCCACCTGCCAGAGCTACATACGCAATGCCAAGAACCAAACTGCCGTCAAGTTCACCGTTGTGCCCTGCCCGCCCGTCGTCGAGGTGAAGATACTGCGACCCAAGGCGCTGTTCCAGCTGGGCTTCAGTGTCCAGAACGGTGTGGTGAGTTCTAAAAATCGACTAATTGTTTCGGCTTATGTAAGATATACTTTTGTAACTTTTGTAGATCTGCAGCCTCCTGCGCGGAGGCATCGCCGAGAGGGGCGGAGTACGAGTGGGCCACCGCATCATTGAGATTAACAATCAAAGCGTTGTGGCCGTTCCCCATGACACCATTGTCAAGCTGTTGTCATCCTCAGTGGGCGAGGTATTTGCCATTTCCATAATTTCCAAAGATTTGTGTTGCAATTCTGTTTCTTTCCCTCTTAGATCCTGATGAAGACGATGCCCACGTCCATGTTTCGTTTGCTCACCGGCCAGGAAACGCCCATCTATATATAATTATATAATATAATAATTTATCTGCTCACACACCTAGCCGCACTTCTTCGCTGAAACGAAGCACACACACTGCAAAGCCGAAAAGCCACAGCAGTCGATCAGCCTCAAGGGAAAAATTGAACTCGAGACCTTGATTTGGTCGATTCAATTGCTGTTTTCAAACATTTGTACATTTTTTGTAACTCAACTGGGTCTTTTTTTACATGTTTCTGAAATCTGTATTCATTAATACATTTATGAGCAGTTTTAAAATCTTCAGAATCGATAAAAACTAGTGAGAACGCTTGCTCGATAATTTATCAAAATGATAACTGCCCAGAAATCGATAGTTATGTTATATTTCATCAAATATTTGTGTTATTCATGAGCCAAATAGACTGTTGATCGATTTGTATGACGATTGTCTTCATTTAGATGGACTTTTAAGTCTGGAAAGATTTCGATATCAAAGAGGATATAAACTTTTTTAATTGAGATTATTTTTTTTTAGAAATTAAAAGTTTATTCAATCTTTCAGCAAAATGTTCTCGGTTGCATTGCTACCTATTTTTATTTCCATTCTCTGAATATGAAAAAGACTGAATTTAAAGCATGTGTGGGCGAGTGTGCGTGAGCAAACATTGTACAAAAACCTTGAAAAAAATGTATCCCCAAAAAGAGTTCCCTCACCAACCCCAATTCCCAAATTCCCTCGCATCCAAAAATCATGTAAGACAATAGTTTAAGCGTTCGATTGAATTTAATTGCAAGCAATTTATATTTATAATATGATATTTTCACATTATTTGTCAAGTTAATTGTTTAGTTCTTTGACTACATTTATAATTTCGATGAAGAGAAACGAAACAAAAGACCTTATGCCAAAAAAAGAGTTAACTTTTAAGAGATGCAATCAGTTGAGATTTCGTTAAACGTTTTTTTTTTTCTTCTTATTGTATTATTGTATAAAGAGATTGTGGAGGATTATTGCAATACCGATTACCGAAAACCGATATTTATAGTTGTATAGCCTTAGCTAACGAAGCCATGCCTGCAGAAACAACAAACAAACCAACTAACAAAATAAAATGCATTTAAAGCGCGTCAAAAACGAAGCGAAATTTCGATTCTAATTGTATAATTGTATGTACAAGAAATCTGCACATTTCCCAATCGATAACGATCGATATATACTCGTACGATAATTAAATGCGATAAATCTAAAGCAGAAACAATAAGCAAAACAGCAAAAGTAATACGAAGAACAATAATTTCAGCATTCTCCAGTTTCTGTTGAGCGAAGATAAGGAGCCACCACACAAATTGAAAGCTGGAAGGGAGCCCAGAGCACGATGCAGATGTATAGGGTGGTAGGATCAGTTCTTGGGATGAAACCCAAATACACATGCATCATGGGATAGAGTGAGGGAGAAGAGAGCTTATTTTTGCATAACTTAGAAGGCGATTAAAGAAAAAGCAGCAAGCGAAAAGTATAAAGCAAAGAACAAATAATATATTATTTAAATTAATATGTATACATATGTTATAATTAATCCAAAGGGAAAAACGAAGCGACTAACAAAAGATATTTTAAATATTCCAAGTGCAGGTAACAAACGCAAGTTAATAATATTTATATAAATATATACATAAATAAATAATTAAATATAAAACTTCTGATCGCCATTCGGAAGCGCAGGCGCAATATTTTTGCAAGACAACAAAACATGACACACAAACACAGTACACGGCCAGAAAAAAACCCAATTAATACCTTCTTAAGCTACTTGCTACACAGCAAAAAAAAAAAAACGTCAAGAAACCCACATACAACTCTCTGCTACTGCGCCTCTAACTAACTTCTAAAACCAAACACTAATCGTATACTACTTAATGCAATTTCATTATTAATATTTAACACGCAACCGAATACAAACAAAAGCGAAATGCAGCAAAACAAAAATAAACTACATTTATACACAAAAGCAATATGACTTGGTTTTTACATTTCCTGCGTTTCTTTTTCAGTGAATTGTTAAAAAAGATTTTTAATGGATCGGATAAGTCATGGGGGGTACAGTATTTAATTTTAATTTACAAAATATTTTTTGTTGTAATTTTAAATTCAAATTTAGATAAAAAATCAGAAATCAGAAATGATTTTAGAGGCTGGCTGCCTTTGTGGACGTATTCTCTATTACCTTTAAACCTCTACATATTTTTAAATACAAATTACATTTTTTTTTTTTAAATATGGTAACAAATATTCGTAATAATTTTTCGTTTTCAATTTTGAAATAACAAAACCGGTGCTCCCGTTTTCGATTTCGTAAGAAGTTCGATAAGTCTATCGCCAAGGCTGCCATACTGTTGGTAAAAAGAAAAAATAAAACCGGTAAAAATACTTATGAAATATAAAATAACACACCATTAACTTTTAAGGAGGGCCAAAAATATTGTTTAAAAATATTGATATTTCATTTAATTACTTAAATGGTCAAAATTGCATAACATTGCTAATTTTTCAAATTACGCGCACTTTCATAATTGTTCAACTATCTGGCAGCACTTGATAGAGTTTATGGGCTGCACTGGCAGCGTGCAACAGCTGTTCTGAGCGAGCGCACGTTTTCTTAAGTTTACAAAAATCTCGAAACAGTGTGCCTTTTGCCAATAAACAAATGCGAGAGAATGGTGGATAACATAACGCTGAATGTGAACGTTGAGCCGCCCACCAAGGCGGCCAAAAAAACTCAACAGGTAAGCGGGTTCTTCTCCTGTCCAATCGCTGTTTACTAAGTTTTTTATTTTGGTTTTTCCAGAGCCAAAAGGGAACCTTGCCCGCGGCAAAGAAGCGTGTCTCCGACATGCAGGATTTGGGGTTTAAATTTGATGTGGGCAAGCCGAAGGTCAAGGCGACTGTTGTGCGGCGCAAGGCGACATTGACGAGATCGGTTTTAAAGCCAAATTCGACTCCTCTAGGTGATCCCTCCGAGAAAACTAAGTTAAAGCCAACAAAAGCCACTCCTTTGAAGGACAACTCCAAGCTACATGCGACTCCAACAGCGTCGAGTGTTGTGCCAACAAAGGACAGTTCTTCGACGGGCGACTCCATGCCAACAAAAGACAGTTCTTCGACGGGCGACATTATCCTAAACGTGACCATAGGTAGCTCGATAACGCCCCCGAAACCAAAACTAAAACCCCTGACAAGGGCCGAGAGATTGAGCAAAAAACGAGAAAAGAAGCCCCTGGTCAAGCTCACCGATGAGCAGCTCAAGCAGGCATTGGGAGGCTCCAGAGGAGCCGTTAAGAATCCCAATCAACTGCCACGGCCTGGCGATATTTTCCGCGCCCAAATGGAGGAGGAGAGGCGAAAGAAATTAATAGCTGACGGCATTTTAGTGGAAGAAACACAATCCGAATCACCGAAATCCCAGGAATCCCAGGCAAAGGACCCCAAAAATAAGGAGGAAACATCGTCCATTAATCGTTTTCGCACCAAGAAGATTGGCCTGTTCGATCAGAGCGATGTGGAAGCCCTCAAACAACTGGGACAAAGGGCCGTCAAGCCGGTGAAGGAGACCATATTCTCGGGTTCGAAAATAGAGACCTTGGGCCTGCATCCGCACGCTGTAAAGAATCTAGAGGATTTGCTCAGCATCAAGGTACTGACCACGGTCCAGGAGAGGGCCATACCCCATGTGCTGGCGGGCAAGGACGTTCTAGTGCGATCCCAAACCGGTTCCGGCAAGACCCTGGCCTACGCCCTGCCCCTGGTCGAGATGCTGCAGAAGAAGAGTCCCAAGGTCCAGAGGAAGGACGGCGTACTGGCTCTGGTGATTGTGCCCACCCGGGAGCTGGTCATTCAGACCTACGAGCTCGTCCAGAAGCTGGTGAAGCCCTACACGTGGATAGTGCCGGGCTCTCTGCTGGGCGGCGAGAGCCGCAAGAGCGAGAAGGCGAGACTGAGGAAGGGCCTTAACATCCTCATTGGCACACCGGGTCGCCTGGTGGATCACCTGCTGCACACGGCCAACTTTAAGCTGACAAAGCTTCAGTTCCTCATTCTGGACGAGGCCGATCGCCTGCTGGAGCTCGGCTACGAGCGGGATGTCAAGCAGCTGGTGGAGGCCATCGACAAGCAGCGCGCCGAGGAGAAGGACGTGCCCCAGCTGCAACGAATGCTGCTAAGCGCCACGCTCACCTCCCAGGTCCAGGAGCTGGCCGGCCTCACCCTGCGGAATCCCCTCTACATTGACAACAGCGATGAGGCGGCCAGTGCCGCTCTAAAGTCCAGGGAGGGCTACCAAAAGGAGTCCATAGAGGCCCAACTGGAGGCGGAGGATGACGGCCTGGGCGAGTATCAGGAGGATGTCACCGGTGTGCTGAGCATACCCGAGAACCTTCAACTCAGCTATGTGGTGGTGCCGCCCAAGTTGCGCCTAGTGGCCCTCTCCTCGCTGCTGGCCAAGGAAAAGGACGCCAGTCCGAAGCACTTCAAGGCCATTGTGTTTATGAGCACCACGGAGATGGTGAACTTCCACCACGACATGCTGAACGAGGCTCTGACCAGAAGGGTGCTCGACGAGGAGGATGAGGAGCAAGAGGCCTCGGACGACGGTGGCGACACGCCTCTGTTGGAGGGACTGCGCTTCTTCAAGTGAGTGTTTGTTTGTTGGATGAACGAGGAGTCCTTGAATATTCCAAAAAATTATTTCCTCTGCAGATTACACGGTTCCATGACGCAGACGGAGCGGCAGGGCGTCTTTCGTGGCTTCCAGTCCTGCGACACCTGCGTTCTCCTGGCCACCGATGTTGTGGGTCGAGGGATTGACGTGCCGGACATTAAGCTGGTGGTGCAGTACACTCCGCCGCAGACCACAGCGGATTTTGTGCATCGCGTGGGTCGCACGGCTCGAGCCGGACGCAAGGGTCGGGCGGTGCTCTTCCTGGCGCCAAGCGAGGCGCAGTATGTGAGGCATCTGGAGAAGAAGCGCATACGCATCCAGCAGGGCGACATGTATGCCTACCTGCAGACGCTGTTGCCCAAGGACGAGGAGGCGAGGACAGTGCAGGAGGCGGCCTCCAATCTGCAGCACAAGTTTCAGTCGCTGCTCGAGGATGATAAGGAGTTGCACGACAAGTCCTGCAAAGGTGAGTGACAAGTTCAAGAAAATTTTGGGAAATATATAGGGAAAATCTAGCCGAAAAGGAGACCTAAACCTTGCTGATATTCCTGTTTAGGAAGATGCAGCTTTAACTCATTTGTTGTAATAATTGAACATATTCTTCCTTCTGCTTTAATCCCGAATCAATGTTTCCTTTAAAAGAATAATACCACCGTCCTTGCTGGGCGGGTTCCCATGGCACTTACTTTTCCAATTGCCCCAACCCTCGGTTCCCGGCGAACAAACTAGCAATTTAATCCTTTCACCAAAGAACATTAACTTTGTAATTACGATTTTTTTACAACACTGCCCAGGGGGAGGCGGAAAAAAAACAGAGATATTGCGAGGGAAAAACACACAAACCAAACCCTCTGACATTTTTCCAATTATAAGTTTGACCGCCCACTTCGTCCAGGTCCAGTTATCATCCGGCGCACGTTAAAAACACAAAAATTATTTCATATTTGAAGTTAATTTCGATTGCGTGTCAAATGAACAGCCCTCCGCCTTGCTCCCCGTCCCGGGCTGTAGCCAGGACCTCCATCAGTCAACGCGGACAGTTACCACCAGCGACTCCTTTCATCGCCCCGATCCTTTTTTTTCCAGCCTTTCACTCGTTTCTAGGTTTTATTTTATTTGTTTTTTTAAAGCTACTTACTGGTGGTTAAAGAGTGGGGTTTTTGGTGAGATTTCTTTTTACATTTAGTAATTATTTATTAAAGACACTTTTTTTTGTTTTTTTTAATTTATTTGATATATATTTAACTGGGGAATGCTAGTTTATTCCCCTACTTTTACAACTCGTACAATCCCTGTCTTTATCCCGCTAAAGTTGTAATTTTAATGCCCAAAAAGGATGCTTAAGAAAAAGACCAACTAGATAAGTACCAAAAGCAAGCTTCCGTTCGATTGAAACATTGGTAAAAAGAGGTGTGAGAGCTGGAGTCTCCTCCCATCAAGTCTCCAAGGAGGCTCCATGCATGAATCATAACAAGAAATAAAGCTAAGCGATTCGAAACAGGAAGCGGAAACTGAACGAAATACCCAAATGGCTTTCAGGCCAAGCGCAAAACAATAGCAAAATGCCAAGATAAATACGACCAAGTCAAGGGAAATGGGTAGGGACGGGGCCTAGAAGGGGATACGACGGAGGGAGGTCTGGTCAAAATGGCAACTCAAATTGCACTTAAGCGCCGAGTCAAGCGTCAAGACAGGAAGCCACTCTTGGCAGAACTTAAGAGCCAAAAGGAGAGGGTGCCACAGGAGGGATGCAGCCTGCTCCTGCTCCTGCTGCTGCTGCTGCTGCTGCTCTGCTGCGTCCAATCAAAAAGCCATTAAAAAGTATTACGCTTGAACAAAACTGTACAAAGCAGCAGATAAAAGCAGCTAGAAAAGGACCGAAAATTGGCTAGCAAAAGGGATGAAGCTGCAGCAGCAGGATAAAGCGAAGCATCAGGATTGGAGCCGAAGGTAGCTCTTAATATTTGAGCTGAGAGACAAGAAGAAAAACGGAAACAAAGGTTCAATAGTTAACCAAACCCCTCCTTGAATATTCCCTCCTTAGTCTCCATTTTCCAATGTCCTCTTTAAAGGCTTGTTAAAATCATTCATTTGCCATTGAATACACGTTACCAGTGACCGATAATCCCCTCAATTCGCACTGATCCTGGGAGTTAATTATCGACTTACTAGCGTATTTCTTTCTCCGCCTTTTATCCGTCCCATTGTCTCGCATTATCCCGCCGAGAAGTGCTGCTGAGCTAATGCTTTCACATTTAAGCCTCTGATGGCTCATAAGGCCGCCCACGACACCCCCGATTAGCTCTATAACCCATACATCCGACGCGGCGGATGGGGGAAGCCCTCGAAGTACCCCTTGCAGGGGTGGCTAAAGGAACTGAGACAACGGGGAAAAACAATCACAACAATTTGCCACGCCTACACACAAATGAAAACCGCATGGACACGCGCTCTGTGCAAAGTACAGTGGGTTCTCGATTAATCGAAGCCAACTTTAAATGTAAATTGAAATTTTATAGAGTTTTCTAGATTTATTTGAAGGGTTTGTAAGGTTAAATTTTAGCTTTAGAGATTTGGGTGTCCGTTTGTCGACCTTTTGGGGTGTCTACTGTGTTTTCTGCTTGCACTCTGTGAGACCCAGAATTGAGACGCCGACGTGCGCATTAGCCACAGTCGCTGCTGCAACCACCCAGCCAAGTCAGGCAGGATACTATCCAGGAACAACCACAACCACACCCACATCCACTCCCTCACCCACTCCACTTCAATGGGACATTCCTGGCTTTGCCTCGAGACAATGGCTGGGTGGTAGGAGGGCAAGGCAAAGTGGCATAAAAAGCCATTTTGTGCGGTTTCTCTGTGCGGTGGATTTGTGAAAGTCCTCCGAATCCCAAATGACATTTATTTTATTCGCCACTTCCGGCTGACAGACGTCTCTAAACATCCGCTGCCGTCGCCGTCGTCGTCATACTTTTTGTTTGCCTAATGTCTGCCACTTGACTGTAATCGCATTTGCGGCAATTAAGCCAGACCAAAAAGCCAAGGGCTTGACTTTGGCAGGACCAAGGAAGTCAGCACAGATACAGAATACACTGCTGTGAGTTAATTGCCGGGGCAGGATCGTCTTTGCATCCATCTCTGCCGTTTCTGCTTCCTCTTCAGGATGTCCTTCTGGCAGGGCAGGAGGATTCGGTGCGGTCTGCGGTTACTCTTCGTCTTTCAATTATGAGCTTAGATCCTGGGCGAAGCAAATGCAACTATTATGAATTTATTTGGGAATTATTTCAGAGACCATCTAACATAGTTATGTTGTCTTTTATATCAAGGGGGAATATACATTAATGTTAATATTTGTATAACTTGAGTTTAATGGTTTTAACATTTAGTTATTATTAAGATCCCTGCTTTTCTCCAGCTCCTCTGCAGCAATTGAACTTCAAACAAAAAACTATACAACGTTAGATACACATCCCCATATACATAGTTATTGTTGCAACAAAGATACATTTTGAATTTACATATCCACTCCACTCGCACCGCACTCGCACTCTGTCGCTGTCAATTTGATCCCTGCGCGAGATCCTTATCGGGGTAACAATTGCGGTCTTTGTTGCCGAGTGGCTCCGGCTCCGACTCCGGCTCCGGCTCCCAGCTCCGTTGGTAATTTGATATCATTGTTGTATAATTTGGAATTGCCTGGCATAAGTGCTGCGTAATTAGCAAGGACATGCCCACAACAGCGAACCGCAGCGACGACAGTGACAGCCACAACCGCCGCCGTATACATTATATATTATATGTATGCACACACAATAGACCCCAGCCAGGCTTGGGTTGTGGATGTGAAATCCTTTGCTGACATTGCTCATTTGTCATTTTAACGAATTTATTTTGTAATGAATGCGGCACACACACACACACACACACACATGCATTCAGTGCTGGCACTTAAGCCAAGACATCAATTAATTCTAAAAGCATTAACATCTCCATCTCCTACCCCGAAACGCTCTTCATTTTTATTGTTTCTTCCGTCCCCGCAGCCTTTGTGTCCTGGATGAAGTTCTACTCGACATTTCCCAAGGAGCTGAAGCCCGTCTTTAACGTTCGCATCGCCCACATGGGCCATTTTGCCAAGAGCTTTGCTTTGAAGGAGGCGCCCAGCAAGTTTGCCGCCAAGCATGCCGCGCCCAAGGCGGCCCCGCCCACCAACCGGCTGACCTACACGGAGCGGTAAGCGAACGGATTGGGACTTTTCTTTGGAGGCTTCTAAAATTTGTGCCTACTTCTAGGGATCCCGAGAAGGTACAGGCCCAGAAGCGGGCCAAGCGACGCATGTTTACGACCAAGGTCGGCGAAGATGGACGCCAGATGCAGCAACAGCCGCGAGAGGAGTCAGGAAGAGCTCCCAACTCCGTGGGCGGACGGAGCAGCTTCTTGAAGAGCCTGAGCAAGTCCAGGGCCCTGCATACATCCGAGTTCGATAGCGGATTGCCGCCAGTGGGACCGGCCAAGCGACGTAAGATGGGGTAGGAGAAGGAGTCCAAGGAGGAGGAGGAGGAGCAGGAGAACTGTCCGGATGGAATGGCGCTTTATGCGCGCCATTTTGCCCAAGCCTGCTCAAGCGTTTAATCGAAAAGAAAATTGCCCCGTATATATATATACGTATAAGTTGATGTATATATAGGCGCGGAGATTCAAGTAAAAAAATGGCAAAAGAAAACCCAAGGATAAGCGCATCATAAAAGTTTCATTTTTCTCAACTTTTAAGCCCGGACGTCCTGCGGGAGGAGCAGCTGCCTCCCGCCTGCCAGCATATTTTAAGCTAAACTTTGCTTCCTTTTTTTTTCTCTTATACATATACTTTTGATTTTTCTCTTTTTGTTGTAATAATTTTGTAGGGGAAAATATTAGAAATCCATTTTCCGCTCACTGCAGATTCATTCAGTTTTGAAAATGTCAGGGATGATGGTTTTCCATCGGCACGTGTTGCCCTGCCCGATGGCTGTGTCGCTGTTTGCCTTTTTATGCAACTGAAGCGCATAATTTGTTGGACAAGGCATAAATAAATATCAAATACTTGAATGTAAACACTCTCGGCTCTCATTCATTTTCCAGGACACGTGACCCTGGGGGTTGGGGGCAGTCTACCCAGTAGGTATTATGGCACTTAATTGAGGCCTCTCTCGTTGGGGGATCGAAGGACCTCTAATTAGGCGCTCGGCGATTGATTTTTAATTGTCTGTCTTTCCGTCTGTCACTCAAAGTCGAGAGTCAATCAAGCGTGAACAATCGGAGCCCCAAAAGTCGATTCCTAATTACGTGCGAGTGTCAACATATGAAATAATATTTTCCCATAAATGCGGCCATTAAAAGGAAACCCCCTTGCAGGCGTGGAAATGGGTTATCGATGTTCTATATTTATATCTATATTCTGATATTGGAGCGATTCACACCTTTACTTCGTCCAGGTAAGTAAGATTGGTTGGTGTTTGCAGCTGAAACAAGTAAAAAGCCACTGCTAAACCTCAAAGATAATAATACTTCGACTTTGATTCAATTTAAAATATTTTAAAATCGTTAAAAACTAATATATTTCAGGTTTTACGAGTAAATTTTAATTTTTTAAATAAAATTAAGGGGAAGACATATTTTTACTTTCGTCTATTGCCTTTTCATTGAGTCAAAAAGATGAACACTAGGAGACATTTCCAACCCTATAAAGTATATATATTTATTCTTGATCAGCATCAACAGCCGATTCGATCTAGCCATGTCCGTCTGTCCGTTTATAAGCAAACTAGACCCTCAGTTTTAAAGCTATCTGAATGAAACTTTGGATATAGACTTCTGAACACTCTCACTGCTATATATGTAGGAACGGGCCGGATCGGACGACTATATCATATAGCTGTCATACAAATGATTGACTAATTTTTAGAAAAATAATTATAACTTGGGTGTTTTTCAACATATTTTCATCATCTTCACTGCGTTGCAAACTTCTGACTGAAATTATAATATCCTGCAGGGGTATTAAAACTTACAATTAATTAAAACAAGACAGCGAGGCTAAAAATGGGCTTGTTTAGGTCTAAAAAAGAGTCTTTCAGGTCAATTGTATACCCCTCGGCTTGTGCCCACTTATGGGCAGATAAAAGGAATAGAGTTGCAAGGACATAACAAGCACATACACATATACATGCAGGCTGAAAAAAAAACGCCACTGACATCCAACATCTGTTGGTATTACACTCATTCGATTGATTCGAGACCAATGTTCGCATGTGTGTGATTAGAGCCAACTTAATTGGATCAGAGGTCCTGCCTGCTGCCGGCAAGGATGTGCCGGAGAAAGTGGCTCGTTACCGCAAAACGCCACCCCCCACCCCCAGTGTAAGCCCCCCAAAAGGGTTGGCCGTGGAAAATTGGTAATGTGATTGCACTAATGGCTTGAATTATGGACGCATTAGGGTAAATTAAAATCATTCACTCAACTGGCTGCGAGGAGGTCGTCCTGGGGGTTGTAATAAAGTTGCCATTGTTGGCTGGCTGGTCAGGTGCAAATGTTGTCCGTTTTTTCCCTCCCTTGCTATACAGTTTTCCTATTTTCCTGCTCCCTTCGTGGGGGTAATCACGACCCAACTCAGCTGTCAGCATTTTTTTTGTCGTCGTTAAAAAGAATAAAACTAACGTGGCCCTCGGCGTTGACAATTGGGCGGAGCTCGTCCAGGAACGAGCATTCTATTGGGCTTAGGGAAACGCAGAAAGGTGACAATTATTCCAGATAGTTGTGGGTTTCCCCCTTCACCAAAGTATGGGTTACGTTACGCGATTGGCTGCTCCCCAGGAAGTGCCAGCTTTGAGTTTTAAATTCAACAAACTAATGTATATACCCCGCGACTTGGTCCAGGGTAGCATCGGAAAGTTATGGAGCTGGAGTGCTGCTTGGATTTATGGCGCACAGCGCCAACTGCCAATTTAAAGACAATTTGGCCAAGAGGCGAGATTTCAGCTACATAAATTGCATCACAAATGCAAACAATTAGCCGCTTTTTTCGCGAACCTGTAGCTGCATCCCAGCATCCCAGCTATGACAGATGATCCTCTCGGTACTGATAAAATATCGACCCCGTTGAGCGTTGAAATTAATTGGGAGTTGACGCGAGGCGACGATGGGCCTAATGGGAATGCCCAGGCTTCCCAGGATGCGTACAACAGAAGCAAGAACAAACAAAGGTTTTGAGGCTTTATTTTGGGATTTTGAATTGTTTAGGAAGATCGTGAACCGGGTTTTTCAAATAAAAAGGTATCATTTGATGTCGTTCCATTATAAAATTGTTATTTTAACACTTTTCTAGCTGGAAATGTCTTCAAAGTTCTGGGAATTTGAGAGACTATGAAACCAGAGATACTTCTTAAAAATTGCAAAACAATAATGGGAAAACCTGTTGAGTTTCATACAAAAAAATGATTGAGAATATATAATTAAAATTTTAGATTATAAATTATAGAGAATATCTAATGTAGAATATAGAATTATGTTTAAATGTCTCTTTAATTTGCAATACAATTCTCTTAGTTTAAAATGAATAAAGTTAAGCAGCAACATAATATTCCATATGTAACCTTCATTACTTTCTGTGTGCGAGGTATCCCAAAGTCCATAGGCATCTCCAAACTTAACCAGCGGAAGTACCGCCAAGGCAGCAGGAGACTCACCCGTGGGGCATCGTTGGCGGTCAGTGGACCGCTGATATAGCCAGATCCCCAGCTTCATATACACATTCAGCTGCGGCGGCGGTCGCAAATTATCAACAAATTAGACTTTTCGTCCAAAGAGCCGACGAATTCGAGCTGCAACCTGGAGCCAGAGCCGGGTCATTTGGTTTGATTTGATTTCATTTGTTCGCATGTCTTGTTGTCATTTCTTTGGGGCCCAAGGATGGGGGTCTTCCGGGGGGGAGATGCCTCGGATTGGATCCTTTTCGGAAAGATTTCTCATCGGAGCTACGTTTTATGGGACGCCGCTGGTAAAGTGATTTCTTCAACGCTTTGTTAGCGCACCGGATTGATGCGGCTGTCATTAGCCGATTTCGTTTTCGGCCTAAACGGGACCCAACAGTGAGAGAAAAATATACGGCAAAAGAGTAAGGATTTGAAAGGAATTTCTTAGGAATTTCAAGAGGAAATTGTGCTCAAAGTTCATACAACTATTTTGAGAATAGAAACCATAAACAATTGGCTGAAAAAAATATAACAAAAAATACATTAGCCTGTTTTTTTTGTCTTATTTATATTTACTTTTTTTGTATGTGATTTTTCTCTCTGTGCAGAGATCTGCCTCCCCCTTCGATGGGCCATTATCACGATCTCTGTTTGCGAAATGCGTTTTTAACGTGCTTTTAATTGTGTGTTCCCCACCTCAGCTGTCCGCTCCTCCTGCCCCCCTGGCTGGCTGGCTGGCTGCCTGCCCTCCTCTCCTCTCTCAGTGCTCGCGGCTCGCTTGGCAAATTAAATCAAATTTGAACTAATTAACATAAATAAATTTACACAAATCCAATAGCAATATGGCTCGTTACAGGCCTTCACACTTTCCGCTTCACTGTGCGGCAGCCACCCCCTAGGAAGTCCTCCTCATCATCCTCATCTCCCATCCCTCCCTTCGGTGCTGGCATTTACAAGCGATATCTGTCAAACGGGACAAGTTGCATTTGCAAATAAATAGACGGGCACTCGTTCGAACGGAAACGGAAGCTGACGAGCCACGAAGCCTGCCTGCCGCAAGGGGTTGCTCAGGGGGCCGGGTTGGGGGAGGAGGGTGAATGGTGTTAGCTGTGCTTCAACGCCTGCGCTTAAAGTTTTTAGGCGCCGGAAAATTAATTGGACTTGGAGCACAGTGGGGAGAGAGCCTAGGGATCTTCTTCTTTTGCGTTTATTTCAATTTTAAAAATATAAATAAATATAAATTTTAATTTCTAGAAAGGCAAACTAAAAAAGAGTAACAACTACTAACGCTATTGCCTTTCCTTGGCTTTTTGAATCCTTGGCCAGAGGATGTGCTTCGACATTCGGATTGTATTCTCGCTAAGCTGCGGTTGCCCAAGCGGCGTATGCGCAATGTAACCAAGTCCGGCGTTCGCCCCACACTCCCTCCCCACTTGCCACACTTCCCTGCCACCCTTAACCACTAATCCCCAACCGCCCGACGAGCCCCAAAAGAGCCACTACCACCCATTGCGTTCTCAGTTCCCAGTTCCCAGTTCCCAGTTATTTACTGCTTTATTTGCGGTCTTGTCAAAGCAATCAACACAGTCAGAGCGTGTCCTTTTCCTGCCTCACCCCCGCCCTGTGTCCCCTCATTACCTCCTTGGGCCGAGGTGGTGGATTTTATTTACTTGTCTGGCGGCTAGCGAGTCCCGTCCCGGCTGATTCGTTGGCTCCGGTTTGTATTTGTAGAATGATTTTTCAATAATTTATGTATGACGTTGTCGACAACAAGGACAGCCAACAGCATGGCGGCACAGGGGGTGCGGCGGGGTGTGCGGCCGGGGGCAGCAGCACTTGATTTAATGCGCGGGGTGTTACTTTCAACACCCTCCAATCAAAATAATAACAGAAACGGCTGAAACGCCAGAAACGGCAGAAACAGAGCACTATTGACTGGCGCTGTGACAATGCAATTATAAATGGTGACAAAATAATTTCCGCTGCGTGATTTTTATGACAGTTGTTCACCGTACGGGTGGCATTCTGCTCTGCTGAACATTGCCGAATTAAATCAGAATTAAATAGTTTAACTCCCGGACGAACGTACGAACCAACGGACGAACATACGGGGCAATATTTTCTTGACCATCTTCGTCTCCGTCTCTGCTCATTTCAAATGCCATTTTAATGACCATAATTGGTTAGGATGTGGCCAAGGCATAATTTCAGTTCATCCGTTACTGGGTTTCCTGTCCTGACCAGTGCTGTCCTGTCCTGGTCGCGTCCTGATCCCCTTCCTATGTGGGTGCTTCCCACAGTCAGTCACTGGCAGAGTCAAGGCTGACAC